AATTCAGGCCCAATTCAAAACGTGATTCAGCAACTTTTGATTTGAAATTGAGATCTTTCTAGAGTGTTATTTTTCTCGAAATATACAGCTGAAGCTGAGCTGAATCTGAGCTGAAACTTCATCAGGTTAGTTGTTCAGCATCCTTCTTTAGATTTTGAGCACTTTTGTTGCTTAAAACGAACAAAATGCACAAATTACAAATGATGGACTATACCTTTAAATGATTTACAAAATGTAGACAGCAGCTGAAAAGAGAATGGCAAAAAAGGACCTAACAAACCCCCCCCCCCCCAATAAAACCAAAACCGCCCCCCCCCAAAAAAAGAGCAAAAACATGATGGTTTAAACGCAGCTTATCCACATATTGAAGGGCTGTTCGAAAGCAGAAATTATCAAAGATTGTATCAATTACAGAACATTACAGTCAGTGAAAATTAATGAAAAACTGATAGCATATGCACATTTTCAATTCCCTTCTATTTTTGTCCTTGTTTTTGTCCTTGGAAAAAAAAAATTCTCTTGCAGGATACATGAGACTGAATTACCGGGTTTCATTGTCCCAATAGTTGCTATTTTTGCTGCTGGTACCCAATAATTGAGGCCATATACCGGTACCAGTAATATTTGCAGCACTCATGTACTGTCTGTGATCTGCCATAAAATTCTGTTTGGTATTACAAAATATGGATCTGCATATATAAGGAATATTAAATGAGGATTTTGTTTACGATGAGTAGTGGCTTTTATGTTTTAATTCATATTCATAAATAGTCGAGACAGTTTACCAGCTCCTACTTCAGGTCAAGAGACTGTCGGGTCGGTGGTTTTAAACTGCTGAGAACACACCGGCTGGTTTGAAACACTTTCTCCTGCACCGCTGTGTTCTGCGCCACATCTCACATGACCGCATAATCCACATGACCGTTATCAAATTTTGAAGTGCATTTATCTCAAGTAACATTTTTTTCTGGGGGGGGATGTGGTGTTTGGATAAACCAATTTCTGTGAAAGTATGACCCAGCTGCCACTAAGTACGCAGCCGACAAATTGAACGGACACGGATACCTTCCTACCCAGATTTAGGTAACACCAAAGTGGATGACAAAATTATTTTCCAATCTCAGATTTCGCCACGTTGCAATATTTTTCCTTTTTTAAGCTTTGGAGGTGGCATTGTGGGGTTGGATAAACATCCTAGATGGAGTAAGTCCCAGCTTTGTAACCCTTACGGGATATCTGAGCCAGTATGCGTGGGCCGGCCATTATGCGCTGGTACCCTGCACTTAGCCGCTTCGCTCCATCAACACTAAATGTCTCGGATGTCGGTGTCGATCGGGCGTTGTGTATAAGCCAGGGACTCCTGATCACAGCTGAAATTGAAGAACCCGTTGCGAGTTTCGCGTGTGCATCATCTGCTGTGCGGCACATGTGTATTTGCATCCGTTCGCCGGTGAAAAGTGCAGATCAACTTGTCCATCACCGCGCCGGCATTTGGGAAAGGGCGGTGTGTACGGACGGAAGGCGAGATGCTCAAACGTTTTAGACATGCGACTCTACCTCCTTGACATGTTAGCTGTTACATCGACCTTGCATGTTTAGGTAGTCAGTGAGCAAATTCTGTAGCACAGGCAGATGTATATACGTCCATTTTTTTTTTTTGCCATCTTCTGCAGCAGAATATTTTTCGCAGAGCACAAGTCAGTTCGTGTCTCCAGACTGGCATTTTCGCTGAAAATAATTTGTCCAAAATCATTTCAAGATTATAAAGTACCGTAATTATTTATTTATTTTCAGGAGTACAAAGAAACAAAATAGCTGGAAGTATACATGTACACTACAAACAGCTCAGTTTTTCATTTCCATTGGAAAACTGGTTGGTGTATTGCCTTGAAACAAATGAATTTATTGAGTAGTAGTAGTGTGGACAACAATATAACAAATGTTACATCAAAAGACACAGAGAACAAGTAGATGTGTAATTCATTCATACATTATTCTCTTTTTTGTGTGTGTAAAACAGTTGAACATTTTCAGTTGAGATATAAACATACATGTTTGCAGTAGCCATGAAATGTTTTGTCCTCAACAAAATAACATATACGTGTATGGCCTTTATTATATATTTTTGGTAAACGTTTTTCTACTCCGATTAGAAAACAACACCAGTACACAACTGCGCTAGACCAATATGCCTCATCCATTTCAATCAACCAGAACCAACAAGAGAAAGCAGACGTGTCTGGCCAAGCACACTAAACGCCAGCTGCCAAAGCTATTCAGGCATCCATTTATCAGAGGGCCATGCTATATCCTTTCCTGGAGGCTGGCCTGCATTGCTGACAGGAAACCCTGTGTTTATTAATGGGTAAAATCCTAACAGAATCCTCAAAACTGCCCTCTCCAATTTCCAGATTTTTCCATTTAGCAAATTTGCATTCATATTTTTTTCCCTAGCGAGAGTGGTGCGAAGACGAGGAGCACCTACAATTAAGACGTGGGTCACATCAGGGAGCAGTCCTAGGTTTCCCTGTCGTTTTGGGGGAATGCAGACAGTGTAGAAAGGAACGGATTTTTAGCGCTTGATTTTATGATGTTTCTTGAAATTTTGGACTCGTTGGCAAATAATTGGTTGGGGCTCTTGGCAAAATCTGATGATGGTGTTGCCCCCCCCCCTCTTCCCTGACAAACCTCTGTAATACCTGTCTAATGATTTTTGGAGGGAAGGATTCTAAAAAAAAAAAATCCTTAATTTAAAATTGGCTCTTACTTTCTGTGCACATCGGTCTAGTTTTTGTACACGTCAGTCTATAACACAGGAAATTAACATGGGCAAAAACAACTCCATGTATTAAATATGGCCATAGTTTAGGTGTCTTCTTATTTATTACTGCGTGTATATTCGCCACATCTAACATACACACTTATGTCTGTGTGTACTTAAAATATGCTGATGAAATTGTGCAAAAATTCGACAGCACAAATTTGTGACGTGTAAGTTTCAGCACGGTTGAAATTTGCAGCCAACAAACATGATTACAGGGCAAGAAATTGGACACGCATGAACGGTTCACGGCCTCAATCTAATAAGGCACGGCAGGGTTTGCACCATGGCCGCTGTTAAGTTAACATTCATGTTTGCTGTTTGTCCCTACCCTGTTCCCAGACATTACTCTGGTGGTTCCTGTCTAATGGTAATAAAACTCATAACAGGTTCCCCACGCAGCCGCTGTCGCGTTGTTTGCAGAGCAAAAATTACAGTCTGCGCAAAATTGGCCCCACGGGGGTGGAATCGCAAACTCCCTCCTTTCAAATGAGAAAGAGAATCCCGCTTTAATCAAAAACGAGGATGTTTTCTCCAGGAATTGGGTTGTTGTTAGGAAAAGGCAGAATTTCAGCAGGATACACGAGCACCATGACATGCAAGATATCAGATCAGCTGTCACAAATGTTTTCTTTTTTATACCAAAATGACAAGTTAGCTGGATGGAAGAGTGTTTGCGTGGGAAGCAACATTACTCCTGAGGCTAATATGTGACCCAAACAAGAACAGGACTTAAACACTTCCGTAGCCTCATGCATTACGTTTATTTAAGCTGAGCGCTGCATTTACTCTAAAAACAAAGATGTTGACAAGCTGGAAGGATGCTGCAAGCATGAATTTCAGTCGGCAGAGCTTCGTCACTGTACTCCAAAGATAGCAGGTTCAATTCCTGTTGGGGTCCCTTTTTAGTAACAATGTTAACCTAAAAATTTATAACATTCCTTAACTTTATATTGTGCTGTGATGCATACGCACAATTTTTATGTGGGGGTGGGGGGGGGGGGGGATCGCTAGGCTAGACACCATGTAATACTTGGTGGCAGTGTTTATTTTGGAAAGTCCTCAAATTACAGTCATTATACAGCAATATGCCATCAAACCACAATATACATGTACATGTAGTGCTGTGAGTGCTGCTTGTATATTCTACACGTGTAGGCAGAATTTTTATGACGTCATAATTGATTGTTATCCCAAATTGAATAGCAGCGCAGTGAGCAATTAGTAATGCACATGAATGTGTATACCTTTGGTGCGCAGGCAGGGCTGAATGCCACTCAAAATGGCGTCACAAAATTCTCTATAACGAGGCTGTTCCTTAAAGGTAACATGGACACCGTTTGCAAACAAAATTGTTTCTAGCAATTCAAGGAGCAGAGATACAATAAGTCTGAAACAGGTTATTAAAAAACTAACCTATCGAAATTTCAGCTCAGTAGATATCACTTTTTGAGAAAACTCTGAAAATGTGTCTTCATATTTCTTGATGCAAAGCCTACTGGTTACCATTGAAATCGCAATGTTTTCGTCCTAACCATCTCAAGCAAATGATAGTAATTCCTCTTTTGTTGAAAATTATACCTATTATATACTGACAATCAAGTAGGATATTTCATGATATTGTGACAGTTTTTTAATGTTTGTCAATGGGGTCCATTGCTTTGAATGTCTACCAGCATTGGTTATATTCTAATGAGCATATGCTGTAAAGTACGACTCGGTGAATAATTTGGGTTCTGATGAGTAGGAGTAATAATGATGTCCATGTAATGCGCAGATTACAAGTTCATGTTCCCTCCTGAACGTGTTTGTCTACACTTTGAAAATTCATATTTTTATGCAAAAGATCAGACATGTCTGATAAAACCCTCTTTTAAACCCGAGTCAGGCATATTGATGATTTTTGTCTCATAGTGCTGCAAATTATTTGATCTTGCAATGCTATGCAAGAAAAAAAAAAGTCCCGCCGGCAAAGCAGGGCCGTGATCTTCAACTTACAAGAGCGGATGCTTTTACCACTTCACCACTCATAGAGTTTTAGCCGTGAGCCATTTCAGAATGCGGCGCATTGACGCTAACCTTCTCCGGCATCAAACTTGAAAGTTTGGCAAACTGTAAAAGTACCATTTTTAATTATTTTTTTTTCATGCGGGATGTGTTTTTCTGCTTTTTTTTGCAGGACGGACCCTGATCTGGAGTTGCAAGCATTGTTCAGACGTCACTTTACCAAGCTCCGATATTTCCAGGGCTCTGTGTTCAATCCCGCTGATCTGCAGAGAGTCAAGGTATAATTTGGCAAAACTTACATTGAATTTAAAAGATTAAACTCTTTCCAAAAAAAAAAGTATAGGTCTGTTTAAACAATTAGATTTGTTTTGTTTTTAATTGGTTTGTCCAATTTGTCAGTATATTGGATTTGAGGTTTAGAACTTAAAGTGACTAAGGTTTTTTTTAGCTTTACAAAATTAGTGGACCCACAGGACCTCCTGTTCCTGCGAGCATGTTCACCACTGAAAAGAGTTTAAAGTTTAGTTAAACGTACATTCAAACGGTCAAAGAATCAACCATTATATATATTCATAATTGTTGTATTTTATTAATCTACATTCCTTTGTCGCTGTTCATCAGAGGCTGTCCAACTTCAAGACACAGCTGACTTATCTTTCACCCAACTAAATGTCCATTTCAAAATCAATCTCAGACACTTGTTTTAATGAAAGTACTTGTATTATCAGAGTTATAGTCAAGTAGATCACCATTGAAATCACAAGTGAAATCACCAGCAAATTTACAATTGAAATCACCAGTGAATAAGTAAAATCACAAGTGAAATCACCATTGAAATCACCATTGAAATCACAAGTGAAATCACCAGTGAAATCACCATTGAAATCACCAGCGAAATCACCATTGAAATCACCAGCGAAATCACCATTGAAATCACCAGCGAAATCACAAGTGAAATCACCAGCGAAATCACAAGTGAAATCACCAGTGAAATCAGTAAGGAAATCACAACTCGGCCACAAGGGAAGTATGGTGACAAAAGAATACTTTTTTCCAAAGTATATTTTAAAAACTTGTCACTCAACTTGAGACTGGATAAGTTTGTAATTGACCTGAGTGACTTGATACAACCTCTAAGGACCTCAGTGCAATGGTTTGCAAAATTCTTTCTTTTTTGGTTTCATTGTAGCTGAATGAATCGGATGCCTGTTTGATCCTGTGTAACAAGTACAGCCCCAAGCCGGACACGGAGGACTCAGGACAGATCATGCGAGTCATCTCTATCAAGAACTTCAACCCTGAGATGAGAGTGATTGTACAGCTCATACAAGACCACAGCAAGGTTAGGCCACAGCCAAATCTCTTGTCTAGAGCAAACAAGGGAAGGAGGTTTTTTTTACCACTTTTGATAGCCCCGTGGACACACCGTACATAAGGCCCCCCTCCCCACAGCGTACGGTTTGTACATTGTCCGTGTATGCTTTAGAAAATGTTGGTATAATTATGGATGACCCCTTGGCCTATGTTTATGTTTATCTCATCTGTGGTGACTTCTTCCTTCTTCTAGACGCATCTAATGAACATTCCCAGTTGGAATCAAGCTTACGGCGATGATGTCATCTGCATCGCTGCTCTCAAGCTGGGTTTCATGGCCCAGACCTGCCTGGCTCCTGGATTCTCTACCATGATGGCCAACCTGTTTGCCATGCGCTCCAGCTCAGAGGTAGGCAGGCTTGAACCTCCCACCCCCTTACCCCAACCCCCTCACCCCAACCCCCTCGTTAGAAAGAGGGTGTGTGACCCATGGGACTATCAGAGCTATGGGATCATGACATCTCACCCTCCCACCCCAACCGCCAACCCCCAACCCCCAACCCCCCTCCCCCAACCCCCCTCCCCCACCCCCACGCCCACGCCCACGGCCCAGTCCCACCCCCACCCCAACGGGAGAATGGGGAAACTTGTAGTTGATCATTGTGTTCAAAATGTCAAATGGTTAAAAAAAGGAATATCCAAAAAGAAGAATGGTTGGAAATATAGACTTGTTAAACCTGGTATATCTGTTTCATTGTTTGATGGTCCAAGTGGGCATTTGATGTGGTTCAAGCATGAATGCTGCTGGAATAGAGACTAATAAATCAGTCATTTAGTGAAAGACAGTGAGTTTTGTCCGTACATGTGATGTATTAAATTTATCATTGTGATTTAGTTTAGCTGCATGCTTTGCGCCGAAATGGCAGCATGGAATTGTGTATACATACTTCCCAGGGAGCTGGCTGAGATGTTTCATTGGCCCAATGAGCAGGGTAATAATGACGAAGCGCCTTGAGCACCAATACTGGTGGATAGGTGCGCTTTACGAATACGCATTACTATTCTTCTTATTGTTATTGTTTGGGGAAGTTTAAGTGACAGACTTTTTGGCGTTTTCCCCCACTTCAGATTCATATTAAACCTGTGAAAGATGACCCAAATGAACGGGTCTCGGAGGTGAGGTGTTTAAATCATGCACATTTACTCGCAATTTATGCACAGTTTCTTCCAGTTATTTTCTCTTGGGCTCTGTGGTCTCCAGGCAGCTTGACCAGTACTTCCAATCTTAAAAGTTTCATGTCTTATAGTTACCGGTAGTATCAATCATGAAATTCTAAGATATACAAATTCAGAGAGTTTTGAATTTCTTCGGTTTCTGTCTTTCTGGCATTGTGTGATGGATGACAACTTTAACATTTTCCGACACTCTTTTTTTTTCCCACACAAATATTGTTTAACATTTTGCATCTCAAATCCACCAAATACCTTTGTCACTCTTGGATTGCTATCCCGTGTAACACCTCTTCTTTCTTGTTTTGCAAATTCTGAGTATATATGAGAAGGTTTGTTGGAGATCTGTCAGAAAAAATATTTGGTGATGGTTTTCTTATTTTCATTAACTACAGGCCTGCATCCTTTTGCAGTATGTAGTACATTAGACAACTTGCTGTAGTATAAATCACCATAATTTCAAATATTAAAGGCCAAAAAAAAAATTCTGCTTCCGATTACATGACATTTGAAAATAGGGTAGGTAGGTAGGGAATACTTTTTTTTTGGGGGGGGGGGGCAATTTTCTTTGTGTACGATCAAATAGAGGTGTAGTAAAGAGTAAAAGGTAGTAATTGATGGTTTTCGAGTTTTTATCCTCATTTTCCCCCCAAAAAATTAGGGTAGGGGCTGTCAAAATAGGGTAGGTAGGGTAACCAGAAGCACAACTATTTGTTTTTTTGGCCTCAGTTCTCCAGCTAATTCTTGCGTAGAAAATTAGTTTTTAATTTTAAAGGGATTTCTTATCATGCTTCTGAAGTTTTTCAAATTGGGTATTTTCCATACTTTCTGGGTGAATTTCAGCCCAAAAAAACCCACCCATGTCATTATGCATGTTGGATGATTTGATAACACACGGTCGTAACTTTCATGAATGCTACCGGTAAGTTAAATTTCAAAGTAGTATAGCAATTAAGTTTATTTGTACAAAGTATGTGTCACAAGGACAAGTTTATATGGTAGTTTGTTTTGTATCAAGAAGTAAATCAAACCAAATTGAATCTGTTTCCTTGGACCAAGTCACAGTTGTAGTGGAAAGCTTGCCTAGAGTCAGAATGAGAATTAACACATTAGTGCTATAGCCGTTAATGAGAGACGAAAAGTTGCATAAACTTTGGTAGTATTACCTACTTTATTACAGATGTTGTGAAGCAATTGGCCTATCGCCGTTTGGGAGTTGGTCCACGCCCCTTATAGGGCAGCCTTCAATATTGACTAGCTGTTCGCGAGGTCAGCGAAGTTCGCGAACTTATTTGGATCCTAAGTTGCGAGTAAACATCGAGCTCTGCAGGTTCATTTGCATCGCATGACAATGCGCCTTTGTTATGCTAAAACTATGCTAATATGCTACATTTGTACAGCTGCTGAGTTCGCAAAGTGCGCGAACCTATCGTACGCGGAGTTGGCGTAACCAGCTACCGGTCAGTGCTCCAGTAATATTCAGGCTTTGTTGCGTCGGCGGTATTTGTTTAAAACCCTATTTGCAGATAAGTAGGATCCAGTTGCCACAAAGCAGCTTAAAAAAGAAAACAAAACAGACACAAAAATCTTTCAGATCAAAAAGGTTTTTTTTTTTATAATAGAGTGCTTCCAATAACAAATTTAGATGTTTGATTTTGAGTTAATTTAACTGTAATGTAACAAGTGTGTGAGTATATCAGTCGGGGTTATTTGAGACACTAACCTTACCCAAAAAAACCCAACTAGTCATAACACAGTAGTTAAAAAACCCTAACTTGTCGAAAGTTGTTGATTATTACTACGTTAATAAACTTACATATAAATATTGGAACAAATATATATTGGCAAAACATGAGTATGGGACTGAGAAATGTTACCAATATTGTTAGGAAATACTTAGGACAACGTAGTGATCAATACGCTATGTATACATTGAGCATTCCAGGGGTGTGAAATCTCAGCTTTATAGCTGATTTCAGCTTTTTTTGTTTTGGATTTCAGCTATTTTCCCTCACTTGCTGTGTACAAAAGTATAGGAGATTTCCAAAGTTCAGTTTTTTTACACCTTTTTCAGCTGTTTTCAGCTATTTTCAGCTATTTTTGTCAGAGGTCACTCACACCCCTGGCATTCGATGTGTGAACATTTCGCACATTGGGTGTAGGTTGCTTCTTCGTCAGCTGTTCGGATATACGTCCAACCCAAGGATCTTTGCCATAATAGTGAATGCCCAACGTATACATAGAGTTTGTCTAACGAATGGCTAATGAATGTGACGACGGGGACTTGGAGAGCGTATGGGTCAGCGGAGACACGTCACGTGACCGGCCGCAGCACGCTAGGCATACGTTGGCCATTCCTTGTGTACGTTCAACATTCGTTGGATGGACGCTACGCATGTGTTGTCTTTTGTTCCTATGGACGTTAGTTATACGCCCAGCATTCATTCCTCATTCGTTGGACATTTGTCTTATACATCAGGAGTTCGCTACAAAACAGATTTTGGCTAAGAATTTGAGCGTATCTGGACTTTGCCAAATTTCGAGAAAAAAATTCAGTACGCTAGGCATACATGTAAGTTAGCTCTATTCACTACTATGTGACAGGGGCTTTAAGGAGAAGCACTACGCACAAACATTCTGTACCAGTTGTAGCCCTGCAAGCACATAATTCTCGGTTAAGAGAAGGGCAGATTTGTTAACAATCCTCCACAATTCCTTCAAACCTGTGAAATATGCCAACATTCTTGGCTGTCTCTAGCAGGATCTGTGCTTATGATAAACAGAGCTATGGAACTGGGCCCCGGTCATGGATAAGCAAAGCAATTTGCATGATATTATAGGGTTTTTGTGTGATTACACCTGTTTTGCTCCCGTTAACTGCTGCATTTCATTGCTTCAGGAAATACTCATTTGCATGGCAGATGTTCCCTTCTCACCAGCCTACGTCCGACGGAATAGATAACGGTGGTTCTGCTTCGCCGATAGACAAAAATCCTTTAAGCCCATGGGTTATGAAACACAAACAAATATTTTACGCATATTGCACCATGCAGTCACTATGCACAGCTGTTAATTCCAACCCATGCTGTTTTAGTTAATTGCCAATTTTCAGTGTAAAAAACCCCAAATCTACACACATTTGACAAGTGAATTGAAATGGAAAGTCTTTTCCCATACTTGTTAAGCGTGTGATGAATTTGTCAGCTTTCAGATCCGTTATCACTGGCGATTTTGGAAAAAGTGTTTTTTCCCCCGGACTTCCATCGTTTAAAGATTTTGTTTTGGTTAGTGTGAGGCTACTTACACGTATAATTAAATTCCAGTTCACCCACTGGGTGGTGAACCATGAAGGACCTCCATGGGTGAACCAATTTCTTTGTGTGTGTGTGGTTTGTTTGGTTTTTTCATTTTTTCCATATGTCCATTCTGTGCAAATTCCTCCTCCATAAATTATTATAATGATAAATTTCCCTCTCCCGTCCGTGCAGTAATTCTCCCTCGGTGCGTAATCCTTTTAATCCCATAATTTCATCCTTCAAAACGCTGAGAACTCAACCGTACATGTACGTTAAGCGCATATCCGGCCAGAACTATTTATAGATTCCATCCAGATACTTTGAAGTTCATCGACCAGGGACTTAAATTGATCAAAAGCCGCAGATTTTAGCCAAATCTTTTAAGAAGGGTTGACGTGCAAGCTTTGCAGTGGAAAAAGAGCATTGATATTTCATGGCTCTTATCATTTCATCAGTAAAATGCAAGTCCTCTTGTTTCCTTGATGTAAAAAGGTTTTTTTCTAACTACAAAAACTAAACAAATTTATATAAATGAAATAGAAAAATATATTTCTACCACCATGGATATACACTGTACAATGTATGTAAGATACCGTTGGTCTTGTGGTAAAGGTCTATACTCATGTTTTTTTAATTTTAATTTAAAAAAAATCCTAACCATTAATGTAATCCACAATCCTTCCCTTTGATTCTTCCAAATTGTTTGTAAATAACCTTTCCAAACACACTGTGAACTCTCCGAAGCCACTAACAAGTTAAATCAATTGAATTACGCTCGTCGAGTGTGGTCCAGCAACTATGCCTTAATCAAAATGTATTCCTACTTTCTTATTTCTCAATTGGTTTTTCTCAAAAAGGGCAGGGCACCCCTGGAGCAATGGAATGCTGTAAAATGTTCTTGTTAAATGAACGCTACTTGAAGTGTCTGAGAGAATTTCATTATTTGTTGAAATGTTAGAAAGCTGAGCTGGACCGGTATCGGTACATATGCTCCTGTTTAAGTAAAGGACTGACATATTTCCATTTAGGTTTGGAATTTGGCAAGTCCAGGGTGGATGCAGAAAAAGGTCGTTGTCAATTAAACAGTCTTTGATAATTATTTGGGAAAAATCCATAATGATACAGAGTTCTGAATGGAATATAAATTCAATTTTCTTCCATCAGTTTTGTTGTCATTGATTTTCTTTTTTTTTTGGAGGGGGGATTTTTGAGTTCTTATTTTTGGAATGGTCTAGTACTCTTGAAGCGATAGATTCTCTATTTTGGGTCATAGAAAATCTCAATGTCAATTGTGATCTTGCCTTGTGTTATTGTGTTTTATCAGTAAATGAATAATTAAACAAGGTCAAATTCTTTAAAAACAAGATCATTCTGAAAGTATTCTGGTATAAAGGTACATTTAAGGCAATATTGAAATGTTACCTTTTTGCCAGTGTTTTTTTCTAAATTTAAAGGCACCGGTATTGCAATGTTTTCATTTTATTTGTTATGGCTGCTGAGGTACATTAGCATGCATGTTCATGTATGGGACATTACAGGCTTGAAAACTCATCATCATCTTTAAGTAAAGATAGTGAAGAATGAAACAATATGTGGGTAGCACACTTCTGAAAAATCCAAGATCATCTCTTGTTTTAGATTTCTCTCTATTTTCCTCTGTAGCTTGGTTTGGGTTGAATTCTTGATCTGTTGATGGTTGTCCATTTCATTAATTTCTTTGGGTATTCATGAACAAAGTTATAAGTTAATTATTAATGATGAGAATGGGATAAAGTATGCATGGCCATGTAAATTAGAAAGTGGAGGATAATTTGCATATAATGCTTGCTAATGAACGTTCTAAGGCCTGGGAAAAAAAAACTTGTTGTGTCAAAGGTAAGTATTTTTGTTTGCAACTTTTTCAAGATCTTGTCAGTTTTTGTAAGATTTCTGGAAATTTTGCTCAATGGAAGCATTGAGTGGAAAATGAGGCTAACCTGAAGGAACAAGTTTTGGGCAGCAGCTTCTAAACCCGCGGCTTCTAAACATCGGCGAGAAAATCAAATTTCTTCTCAAATCTGGCCATGCGTTGCTCTTACATCTGCGTAGTCTGGGGAAAAAAAAATCTGTTTTGATATACCAATGTGGAAATGAATTTTTTTGATGAAGTGAAATCAATTTGACTTGTTCTTAGAAGGAAATATATGTCAAATCGTCCGGAATAGTTGTCAGTGCAGGATGAGTCTATTAGTTTTGTTAATTTAAGAAAACACTAAAGTGACAAATTAAAAATCTCTATCGTAGCCATACGAATATATGGCTTACCAGTATAATTAAAATGGTTTGTTAACTCTTTCAGTGCCCGCGAAATTTGAAAAGTTTAACCCTAAATTGCCCAACTTCGAGCGTTTTTTTTTTTATTGTTCAAAATTCTGTAAAAAAAAAAGGAAATAAGTTTTACTCACTAAATGTGTTGTTGTTGCTCTCTGGTATATCCTTGGTATATTGGAAAGTCAATAGTAGTCACATACATAGTGATACACCCTGAAACACTGTCCTGCACACAGGGGAATTCCGCACTTTTTGCAGAAAATACGAGTGTAAGTGCTGCGCCCTCTCGCAAGAACTCGAATGAAACAAATAAACACAGGTCATACCTGAATGAAAATGATATTATTAGAAAGAGCGTGAGCGCCCCCTTGTGATAACATGCTTACTCTACCTCGTACGTGTACGAAGTTTGGCAATTTTAAATACGAACATTACCTCGTACATGTACGAGGTTGGCAATTTCGAACTAACAAATATACCTCGTACATGTACGACTTTGGCACTGAAAGAATTAAAAGTTTCACAAACTTAGATATATATAAAGTGTAAATGTGCCAATATGGACATTGCAGCACATGCTCAGAATACTCCACAGCTTATACTTAATTTACATGGGACACAGACGTGCCGTCCAGTCCACAATTCACAGTCAAATAGCAAGTGATCTCAGCCAGTAGTGTATTCAATGCTTGTCGTATTCTTATGTACCGGGTACACATTGAATGTTTTGTAAGATTTCTTTGGCTAACTATATATTCATGTTTTCATTTATACTGCAGACTCAGTCAGTGGTGAAAAATGCATCCTCTCCCACAGAGACATACCTTGTAAGTTGACAGTGTGACGGGTCGAAGAGGTTTGGTATTGTCAATTTGTTTTGTCCATTTTCATTTCCTGAGAAGTAGTTAGTTTTCCCTGGAGCTTTCTGTCAATATTTCAAGTTACACACAGAAATAAGGTACCACTACACATCCCTGTTGTGGAACGAAAGGAAAGAGAGTTTCGATTGAAATTTCTAAAAAAAAAAAAAAAATTATTCCAGAAATGTCTTATTTTAGCCTGAGAGAAATGGGCAGTGTCTTTTGTTCCACCTACCCATAGGAAGAAAAAACTTTTCCCTTTACATTTTCAAATATAAAATTGTAGAAAATTGTGCTTGATTTTAACAAAATTGATGAAAAGCTTTGTGTCCGCCTTACTTTCCTTTTTGTTGAGAAGGGGTCGACAGAGTTTTTTGAAACTCAAAGAACAACAAAGAAAGACATTCTTTTTATCTGAGGATTTGAGATCTGCTTGTCATGGTTTTTTTATGCACTCAAATTATAAGCACAAATTGTCAAGGTAAAAATAGTCAAATTTTCAGGAGAAATGGAGCAATGCACAATTTTGGGAAAGATTGTTGAATTGCCCACATCCCTGGGCAATGTCTCTGGATCTAGCCTTCATTTGAATGGTCATTTCAGACACTGTAGCTTGTTGTGTAGCTATAGAAATAGAGTTCAGAACTACTAACATTTCTTGACTTTTAATGCCATATTTTTCCACATTTCTCTTCTTTATGTATTTAATTGAATGGTCCTGTTATTACCGGTGCTTATATCTATCCCTTTTATTTGTGATCTGCTCTGTGACGGAATTCACAAGATGTGAACAATCTTCATCAGTCATTCACTTTTTTTTCTCCAAAATGGCCAACTCTCACATAGCGCGCATCATGTTACTATCAGGGCTGAACTTTGCCATGTTTTACATCAAAGTTTCCCCAAATAAATGTATATTTCACAAAGAAAAAATTAACTTCCAGTTGCAATTACAGTTGTTGAGAATTTACAAAGTAGCTTTCCCAACAGTGATCGTACTACGGCCACCATTTGGCAGCATTTTTAAAGACTTATGCGGCTGACACATTTGCATGGGCTCACTTTACATTCACGCTAACGTTCGCAGGAATGGAATGCAACCCTTGTCTTCACAGAGCAGACCACACTTATACTTACTGGTAGTGTTTGAAATTAACATTTAGATTAACCCTAGACCCTAGAAACCCTTTGATTGTTGTATATCTTTCACATGTTTTCTCTTTCTCTTTTTATTGGTGTGTTTTGATACTGTGTGATCTTCGTGTATATTGCTGTGCCCCTGTCTCTTCCTGCCATTGGCCTAAATGGTACGAACCGTAAGATTAACTGTCAAATTCATTAAAATTAATGGCCGATATTAACACCCAAGGTGTGGTCTCGTAACAACTTATTTTTTTTAAACCAAAATTTACTAGTGCCCCTTGAACAGAGACGTTGAAAAAATGGGGGACCACCAACATAGGGTTGGAGAGCTCAGTTGGTAGAGCACCGGAACGGCAATCCGGAGGTCGCAGGTTCAAACCCCGCTCCAGTCAATTTCATTGTTCAACTTTTAAAGAGCATTATTCCAGAGGTTTTCAAAAAGGCATAAGTAAACTACATTCATAGTATGCCAAACGTGACACACTCTCCTTACAGAGCCACGAGTTACTTCAAATTTTCCAAAAAAAGGCTTTGAGGCCAAATTTTAAATTCACTTGAGAAATACTGTAGAAAAATCATTCATTAATGATTTTATACACTGTGCTGAAAGGCTTTATTCAATGACAAAAATCACTTTAATCAAAGAATGAGTCGTTTTCTACAATTTAATCGCAAGAAACTTGTCCTTCGCTGTGAATCGAATCAAAATGTCAAACCGAGGAATTTCCGACCTTTAAAAAAAAAATCCAGGCTCTGTACTACAGAAAAATTTAAACATTGTGTTTCTGATAATAGAGATTATCACTTGTTTACGTTGAGCCCATTGTATCCCGTGTTCCCCGGGTGTACAATTTTGCTGAATAATACATGGGTTTCTGAGAATAGCTATTGAATATAACACCATCTGCCAATGTGTAGCGTTAGAAATTCAGCATGCCAGAATATTAACCCACATTTGTTTTTCTCATATAGCATAGTATCTCTGTCTTTCTCAATTTGTTTTACTCTTAAACATTAATTGAGACTCACCTTGCAGTGTGTAACAGCTTGTATGGTTCCAAAAGTTTGGTCCATCTGGTGGGGCTATATTTTTTTTAACAAAAACTACAATTTCTATACTTAAAATTCAGTTCACTATAATGGTGCATGTCCCATTAAATTCTTGGAAAAGTAGAGGGAAAATTATAAATATAACCATTAATTTCCCTCCCCCATTAAAAAAACCCCCCAAACCAAAAACACTTTCAATAGAGAAATAACTCCTTTTAGTGACAAGTGCCATCAGTTCTCAAAAGATTTTAAAAAAACGGTTGGAGATCGGTACATTGTGGGAGTTATTTTATAACTTGAGCACATATTGAGTTCGGACTTCCGCGGTGGATTTCACCCCTATTTTGAAAACTATCCATTGATAGACATTATTATAACCAAGTACCAGTATGTAAACGTCACATTCCTTTCGCCAATGCATGTATCATGCACTGTTGCAGGAACAATTCTATAATCTGCAGTAACCTTGGGTGGGGGGGGGGGGGGGGGGGAATTACAAGCCGGTATTCAATTCCTGTGAACTTTTCACTTCAAGGCTGAGGATTATGCTTTATTCTGAGTGGCTTTGTTAACATTGGAAAATATCTCCCATGCAGATTCCCTCTGTTAAAAACGCACAACATTTTGAAAATATATTTGCTTACTGTCTTTTTCTTTGAACAAGAAATGCTTAGATTTCAAGTTAGCCATTTTTAGATGTTTCTTTGCCTCTTTTCCTGGTAATGTTGAAAGTACTTTTGCTCACAGTTTTACAAGAATTGTAATTTTTGAAAAATGTAATTTTTTTAGGAGAGTCCAGAGGGTTGGATGTCTCACTATCTTCATGGCTGCGGCAATGAGATCTATACTGAGAGTCTGTCCAGAGCATTCGATGGCATGAACGCACCAGAAGTAGTCAAGTGAGTATAGAAGAATGAGGGGGGGGGGGGCGCAAATATTTTCTCTCAAACGACATCCGCATATGGGTGTATGCTATGGCATTTTGGACTTTAATTTTCTAAAAACATGAGAAGAAAATATAAAATTAGAAAAAAAATGAATTCGAACGTAATGAAATTCAGACTTTACCGGTATTTCCCTTAAAAAAAAATCTTTCGAAGCCTCAGGTTAGAAAAGAAAAAAAACTTGGGTACAAAACGGTGATTCGAACCCGCAACCTTGCGTTGCAAAATCATGACCCTCTATCGACTGAGCTATTGCACTGCTCGCCAAAACGTGGAGAAAAAAAATTAATTATATACCTGCGTACGTGTCATAAAAGTATCATAGAGGGCGCTAAACAACCATGTATGTGGATGTAGTTCGGGAAAAGAAAATTCTCGGGAGGGGCAGGGGTCAGACCCAATAAATATACATGTAGATTATATTTATCCTTGGATATTGAGAGGCCTTGGGAATGAAATTTTTATTTCCTTTCACATGTATCTGATCACTAAGCTGATTGACGCTCATTGTCCGGATTGCGAGGTTTTGTGATGACAATTGACCATGCATAAAGTTAATGTGGAAATCATTAACACTTTTAAATTAGTGCGTATGCACACTCGTGTCATCACGATGTCAATGCTTCCAGATAAAACCTGCTCCAAGCAAAACCTGGATGGATACATATACTGATATGATACACCTAAAGTAAAAAAAAATGCAAAAACAAAGCATTAATGACTCATAAAGGCATGTAATACTTTGAATAGATAATTCAACTAACCTTGAAATCATTTACTCTAAACAGTGATGTCTGCTAGATGATAATATTGTTATGTCTTTATTTTTGTCCCAGGGAGTGTTTCACTAAGCTGAAGCTGCTTCTGATTGCTGTACAGCAGACTAACGAGTTTGACGAAGCTGAGTAAGCTCGAATTATCCAGAAAACAGTACTTACCAATTTGATTAAAAGACGTTACAAGTCCATTGAAATCAGTCACTTGTTAATCACAAGTCAGTAACAAGCCAGTCACAAGACAATCACAAGTCAGTCACAAGTTGATCACAAGGTGGTCACAAGTCAATCACAAGTCAGTAACAAGTCAATGACTAGTCGGTCCCAAGTCAGTCACAAGCCAGTCACAAGTCAATCACAAGTCAATCACTAGTCAATCACTAGTCAGTCACAAGTCAGTCACAAGTTGATCACAAGGCAGTCACAAGTCAGTAACAAGTCAATGACTAGTCTGTCCCAAGTCAGTCAAAAGTCAATCACAAGTCAATCACAAGTCAATCACTAGTCAGTCACAAGTCAGTCACAAGTCAATCACAAGTTGGTCACAGGTCAATCACAAGTCATTTACAAGTCAGTCACAAGTTAGTAACGAGTCAATCCCAAGTCGGTCACAAGTCAGTCACAAGTTAATTTACAAGTCAGTTACAAGTCAATGACAAGTAAGTGACAAGTCGGTCACAAGTCGGTCACAAGTCAGTCACAAGTCAGTCACAAGTCGGTCACAAGTCGGTCACAAGTCGGTCACAAGTCAGATACAAATCTGTTACAAGTCAATGACAAGTAAGTCACAAGTCATTCACAAGGCAGCCACAAGGCAGTCACAAGTTGATCACAAGTCAATGACAAGTCATTCATAAGTTAGTCGCATTTCAATCACAAGTCGATCACATTTCAATCGCAAGTCAATGACAAGTCAGTCACAAGTAAATCACAACACTATCACAAGCCATACAGTCTTTAAGTCGAGCCCAAAGTGATTCAGCTGACATGCATGCCTTCGTTATTGTTATCCCAATGTTACTCGTGACTTGATGTAAGATTTGACTTGTGGCCTGATTTGATTTCATGAACCTCTTAAACCTTGCACACTGGATCCCATCCACAGACATGTAAGTACATCTAATACTGCTTGACCAGGGCCCAATTTTATGGCACTGCTAAGCACAAAAAGTTGCTTAGCACAAAAAAGTCTGGCTTATAAAAGCAGGTTACCAGCCAAAACTCCATGCGATTTTCATGCTAAGCAAACAACAGCTGAATACTAATCATGAGCAGTATACATCACATGGAGTTTGGCTGGTAACCTGCTTTTATAAGCCAGACTTTTTTTGTGCTAAGCAAATATTTGTGCTTAGCAGCGCCGTGAAATTGGCCCCTGGTTGCAGGCCTGAATATTCATTTGATCGATTCCAAACGAAATTAACAATTTACAATTTGTGTTTACCTTGTAATTTCAGAATTATCATCAACCCTGGTCCACTGCTCCTCATCACCCAGGGCACTGTGGGATTCTTCCTGGCTCCAGATGCCACCGAAGCAAAGAGGTAAAATGGCGTTATGCCTAAAAGTACAAATCAATTTCCATATCTTCTTTAAAATTGATCTCCTTACAAGGCAGGAAGACAGGTATATATTACACCAAACTTCAATTTACATATCGTCAGTCCTGTTTGTGAAAATCTCACTAACATTCGTGTACATTTGTTGAAAACCACGCAAAAAATCACACAACCTTTATCCTCGATTAGCATTTGAAAAGCTGTCCCAGTATTTTTGTAGGGAAAAAGTAATTGTTTTTTTTAATGTAGTTAGTTATGCGGTTATTACAATGTTAGAAAAACCTCTTCAGTGATGCATAATATGGGCTTTACATGTACGATGGCTTGAATGGACCTAGGGGTGTATTTGACAGTCTTCCCCCACCCCCCCCCCACCCCCTCCCCCTTGTGAAATGTTCTGGAAGGCTTATTAGATATCCCACTTGGGGTTTCCGCGGCAGATTTTTTTATACTGGGATGAGAGTGGGAGAATCGTCGCTCTGTGAGTGATGAAGCGTGACGACGAGGCGTTCGGCCTGGAAGGATCGCTGTCAAGAAACGGGCAGTGATGATGAAAATGTGCAATATGAAGCAAATGCAATGTGGCTACATCGAGGATGCACAGTTAGCTTCAATTTCACATGCGTGCAGTGACTGCTAGCTTCTGATCAGTGACGTACATTGTATTAAAGTGGGGATGGTGCTTTCTCCCCCCCCCCCCCGAAGATTAAAAAAAAGGTGTTTGACAGCTTTGATGATTTGCTGGAACGCTGAGTGTCACCTGTTGTCTTATGGTGTCCAATTCCTTCTGTTTTGAACACTCAGTTGGTGTCCAGCCCCCCCCCCCACAACATTTTCTTTTGCCATGGCAGGCTGACTTCCTAAAAATTCCTTGCTATCTTCCTGAGCAGAATATCTGCTCCCCCCCCCCCCTAACAGCGATATCCTGTATAAGCCACTGCTTCCGATGTGCATGTTATTACGTTCCGGCTAAAAATGAAATAACAGCTATTACTGAATTGGGTGTGAGTTTATAATTGGGTGTCTCATTTGTGACCTGTTCTGTCAAAAGCAGACGCTTCTGGGCAGAGGTTGAAATTGAGATAGGGCCAAAAAACGCTGTGGGGGTGATTTTTTTCCATTTTCTAATTTTTGCATATTTGTAATCCTGAGCATGTCTAAAATATACTATAAAAGTTTGAAACACTAATTTGATCTCTAATTATAGTATTTTTGATGATTTGTTAAGGTATATCAGTTAAAGAAATGTCTGTTTTGTGACGTTCGCGTCCATTTTCTCTGTTTTCTACTTTTCGACCCAATGAACTTCAAAATAGCATAACTCTGCCCGGAATGACCGGTTTCAAAAATTAAACCACCTATTAAAAGGAAACAGAACTTATTTTAACAATATGCAAAAATATCATTTTTAACCTTATGCCCAGAAAAGTCTGATTTTGACAGAACAGGTCACATTTGTTGATAATTTAACTATGTTTCTTTCAGTCTGAATTAGGTTCATGTATTAAAGTGAACTCGAAAGTTGCGTATGTGAGAAATAAAATCGAGGTGGCAGAAACAAAATTTTGATTTTCAATTGAAATTTTTTTTCCCCCGAGCTTACAATAGATCAGATAGATTGCCCTTCGCAGTGTCTATTTTCGTATTTTTGGGGAATTTTGTTTATGACTCAAAGTTAAAGATTTTAGTTTGTATTTAAAGTTTTCCTGTCAAGCATCTGCTTTCCTAGTCTGACACATTTGTGTGTGTGTCAGACTAAGTGATTTTTCTTTCATATTTAGTGACTCCATTATTTTACGATTTGTTTAAAGGGAATGTACATCATTGGCTTTTGCTGCAATTTTCAGAAATGAACTATTTGAGGGATTAGTATAATGGATAAAATATTGTTTAACTGACATGTTTGAAGTTTTGTGTTCAAAAATGCTTGAAAAAACAAGAAAAACAAAAATGTTTCAGTAGTCTGGTTCCCTGACTCCACTGAAGATAAAATGGTTCAATTTATAGATGTCGGAAAATTGTAAGGTAAGGGAACCAGTCTAGCTGGCCTGCACCCGTTCATGAACATGTAACCAATTGCAAACAAAATTTGGACCGAAAAAAATTGTAAATCTGGAGCAGTAGTTGAAAAATAGTTAAGTTTTTCCAACAGTTGTCGGCCGACCACCGTTGGAAATGTATACAAAAATACCATTTTCCTGAAAATGACTTGACACCAGGTGCCATAATTTTACAGGATGCTTTAGACTGTCATTTACCAACATCCTATTAAGGTATTTCGTAAAAACTTGGTAGTTTTATTTTTCGATGTTTGCAAATGTTGTATATTCCCTTTAAGATGCAGAAAATGAAAACGTCCAAAGAACCACATAAAACATTCCCTTTTTTCAGGATGTCATATTTCCGAAATCGTAATATACAGGTACATAACAACAAATTTTAAAAGCAAAATGAGTTTCAATTCCCCGGTCGCTTCTGAAGTATGCCCGCTTTAACAAATCCTGATTGTCATTGATGATTGAATGTTCTTTTTGGTGATATCGGCAGGGCATACTACTACTGTCGGGCCTGCCACGGTGAAGGCGTCGGAGTGGAGAAGATTTGGAGGTGTGAATGTAAAGAGTGTGCGTGCTTGGATAACAGTGAGTTCCCAATTATTCATGCTCGTATTTTTTACTTTATTGTCCTAGTGTATTGAAGGCATATAGGATCATTCATAATACTTATCCCAAATCTTAAAGGGACACTGGTGTTTGAAATAGGCTAAGTAAACAATCCAAAACATGAAATTTTCGGAGATTTCAGGACCCAGTGCCCCTTTAAAAGCAACTTGCCAAATTAATTATCAAAAAGCCTACTTGGATTCAAGATCATACTTCAATTATTCCGTCTGGCTTGCTGTCTTTTGGAAGAAATCAAGAAATTTAGGTGATTTCCAAAAAATCAATAAATTGACTGATTTTTTTAGTAAAGAGTGCTATAGATGGAATCGTGTTTTCCTGATCAAACAATTGTGCATGGTTTTTCACTGTTTTCCCGAAAACTGTAATATTCACTGAGCTGAAACTTCAACAGGTTAGGGTTTTGAATTCAACGTTCATCTTCGGATTTTGAGTGGTGTTATTATTGTAAACGAACAAAATGCATGAAAAGCAAATGATCCTAAATGCATTTAAGACACATACTGGGGAGACAAGTTCCCAAAGGAACATAAGAGTCTTGCTATGCTTATCAGTGTCTGAATGAGGGCCTAGCACTACCATGCAAACTTGGGGAAATACAAATGAAAGTTATATGTTAAAGGAGAGAGTAAAATTTTCTTTCTGAAAAATATGTCTTAAGCCCGGTTCATACTCGGCGCGAAAGCGAACGCGAATTTGTGACGTAATGGCAAGTATTCGTGCTGTGAATTCGTAAAAGTTGAACATATTTTCGCAGTGAATGTTTCATGACGTCAAATTTGCTTCGCATTCGCATTCGCGTGAAGTATGAACCGGGCTTTAAAATTTGCTTTAGGGTTTGCCCTTCACTGACGTGTACGTACATTGTTACTTTCGTGAATACTGTATACTCATTGCAGCTTGTGAGTTTGTGAGAATAACAGTCGCAATCTTACTTGGGTGGGACTCGAACCCATGACACCCTGCTTACTAGTGCAGATGTTTTTATGCATCACTTCAGATAACAACAAATGATGTACATACATACTGAAATTTGGATCCTTGTGGAGACATTTCTTTGTTCTTGTGTAGTAAAGTTTTCGAGTTTAAAAGTGAAGTTTCAAAATGCTCTTATTTTAACCAGAATTAATTTCCTTGGCTGAAATTCGGACTTAATATCCCTTTTCTAAAACTCTTCCATTTGCGACGGATCAACCCATCTTGGAAATTCCTAGTTTTTGAGTAAAATCCATATATCTATTTCGTGAAAACCTTGTGGAGACGTATTCATCTATAGAAATTGCCCTGTGGAGACGTATACAATCTTTTGTTCCCTATTGTACACACGTCTCCAGAGGGCACAGTGTATCAGATCATGTATTTGCGCGCTGTTTTTTTTTCTCCCTTTTCTTGTTCTCCTTTACCAACTATAACTAAGTTTCTTCTCTGTGAGGCATTTGCCAAAAAAATACACAACAGATTTTATTCAAATGATTTACATTTCACTTACTCAATAACTTCACCTTTACCAATTTGACAAATTTTACTGTATCTTGCCGTTTGCTGTTTTCTTTCTTGTGATATCAGACCATTCTAAGAAATACACCCACAAAGACGGACACAAACTGCTAGCGATGACAAGACTTGGAGATGTTCACGAGCCAGGTAAGATAATTCCTTTAACCCGTTCGCGCCGGAGGCCGTGTATACACGCAAAGGTTTTGCGGTATTCGGAATGGATATATGACAGATAAACACGTAGGGAGCGAGGCCGACCCGCTCGCAGCAAGTGAGGAAAATATGAGTGTGCTGCCCGAGGGTGATGGCTTCCACCCGCCTGGCATGAGGTCGAGTGAAAAGTAATCCCGCGTCTCGTTCTGTTCTTGTCAAAAAAATCCCAGTGTGAACTGGTTTAAGGACGAGATTATTTGGCTACCTTTCATTCACAACTGAAGCGCAGTGATACCCATTTGTCTCATGCCAAGAGGGACGGTGCAATGATGCTTAGCTGCAATTTTCTTAGCAGCATGTATACTGATATTGGATTCCATCACGTTGATAAGAAATATTGAGATACTTTTTTTGGAATCAGTGGCCATGGCGTCAGAACATACCATGAACCGATCAACACCATCAGATCGTTTTTGGTTCACCCTAAAGATAAGACCTCACATCAAAACAAATAAGATGAAATTGCCCCAAAACTTATGTGATGCGATCAAGCTAAATGAGTTGTTTGTCGGGAATTTTTATTTGGAGATACAGGCCAAAATAGGGCCACTTCATCACATCAGTTGATCACATCTCTTGGTGTTCCAACTTCCATAACTTTTGAACTAAAGATGGTATCAGCATGCGGTTTTCACAGCAGTAATGCTGAGATTGTGCTCTTTACAAATCTGTAATAAAAAAAATTTGACCAGGGTCCACAAACGACTCGTGTAGCTTGATCGCATTACATATGTGGGTGAGACGTGGGTGGCAGATCGCTGGGCACCAGGTTAAAAAAAAAATTCCAACCTGAAGCTAGCCCCTTTAACAGCCATTGGTGAACACATCAAATATCACCAACACTACACTACAACGGCCGACCAGCGTTGGAAATTGATACACAAATACCATTTTTCTTGAAAATGACAGTACACCAGGTGCCATGATTTTACAGGATGCTTTAGACTGTCATTCACTAACTGTCCAGTAACGTATTTCATAATAATTTGGTAGTTTTGTTTTTTTGATGTTTGAAAATGTTGTATATTCCCTTTAAGAAAAAGACATTTTCGCCTGAAAAAAATTATAGTGATAGCTTTATAATTCATGGGTATTTTCTTTCGACTATTCCATTTAGCACCTGCGAGGTCAACGGGCGGCGAATTACCAGAATTGAAAATAAAAGGGTAAGCTTACTGGCCATTTCTTATAAGTACCGACACCTTGCAGGTATGCAGTGTTTCCCTCGAGTCAAATTATGAGCGATGTGGTGTATGTGGAATAAATTCTCTGAGATACATAACTTGAATACAGTTACACACTGCGTGCATATTGTGTATGAGTTACAGTATGGACTTTCATTCATCATACATGTACCTACTCTGCGGAATTCTTAGATTTGATATCCGAAGAAAATACATGTGCTGTTGATAAAAAAATTGACACACTACGAAACAGTGCAAGAGAAATCACAAATTGTTGTTTGCAAGTAAAGAATCAATATACAATTCTCTTTCCTATTTATACGTTAATATTCATTTTTTTAGGGTGAAAAAAATTAAATTGATTTTGTTAATAATAAGAACCCAACTTGGAGGAAATTGGCAAACCCTTGTCCTTCCCAGTAATTGGACTTTTCTTTGGATTTGTTATTCCTACAGAGTCAACCTGTCAGAATCATCAGATCACGATCAGCCGGCCTACGATTTCACCGGTCTCTTTCATTGGTCCCCGGCCAGGACAGTTGAAGACGCTCTGATTGTGAGTGCCATAAGCATCTCTCATTTCATTTTATATAACCGACATACAGATCCTTGTCATTTGATTGGTGGAACTCACATCACGTGTCATTCATTATCACTGTCATTCACGCCGCGACTCAAAAAGTACTATCCGCCCATGGGGATGAAAAATACTATTGAACAGTTAGGATCAGTCTTGTTCCATGATGCGGTATTTGTGTGCAAATGCATGCTGGTGTGAATGTTCAGTGTTGCGCGTATTGTTCCAAAGAGCCAGCGCTACAGCGTTGGGTTCAGACATTTTCTTGAAGGGGTGGTATGGAAGAGAGAGATACATTTTTTCACCAATTTTGTATTGAAATAAAAGTTCAAATATATCAAATGACAAGGATCTACATGTATATAATGTCGGTTATATACATGTAAAACAAATATTGAGTGGCTTTAAATTGTGAAATGGGAGGAATATTATCGCTCGGTAAAATCTGCATTTTTTATCAGTTCACTTGGCTTCACCGCGTGAAATGGAAAAGTCCAGATTTTACCGTGCGATAATATTCCTCCCATTCCACGCTGATCCACTCAATATTTGTATACCATTTCCACAATTATTGTAGTACCTTACTAAAATCAATTGAAATGTTGATAACAATCTGTACTTTACTGTGGTGAGCAAATGTTCACTGTAAACGCCAGTTCCATTTTTGGAAGTTGAAGAATTGAACAGGCTGAGTCATATTTAATAATCTGAAACCTAAACAAAAAGTAACTTGGTATTATCTGGAAGGTGATGAATACATCAGTAATTTTAAAGAATGGGCATTAATCCAATAGTGCATTGCCTGATACCTCTTAAACACTGCCCTAAACCCCCCAAGTACCTAACGGTTTAAAAGATTCATCAAGTACTATACAATGTAATAATACACTGTAGATTAAAGAGGTTGTGGAATGCTCGAAGACATTTCCGTAATTTTTCGGGTATATGTAGCCTAAGGTGTGATGAAATAAAACGAATATTGTGTCTGTCATGAAATGAGTACAAAGGTACTTTTGAGAGCTCAGGCCTTCATTTTTAAGGAGCGCTAGCACGATCGCGCTCCTTCGCGCTCCTTAACACGGTTTCTGGCGCGCGAATAATAGCGCTCCTGGGTAAATTTGTAAGCTTTTTTGTAAGTTTTTGTCTACATAAAAGCCAACAGTAAAATCTTGTCAATCCAAATTTCATATACTTGATTTCTTAACTTGTCATCCCGATGTTTGAACGATTTCGTTGCAAAACAAATCAACAAATACATGGTAGCCATTTTCTTTTCATCAACGACATGTAGCACGTTCCATTATGATCAAGGTTATGGCAGGATCGTCATTCAGACGTGCACCGCCGTTAAGTGAATAAAATGAAATAATAATTTCGGTTGAGATCAGTTTATAAATTAGTTTATAAATATTTATAATGTAAAACTAAATAAATAAACCTCCGATGAAGTGAAAACACAAAACAATTATGAAATGGATGGGCTGAGCAATTAAAACCACCTACTTTGTAATACCAACACCCCTATTTTCGATAAAATGGACGTGCTTCCAAATGGGCGGCCCAAGCACACGTGTTGAGTGTGGTGTGTGGGCGACGGTTCCCGTCCCACGCATAACGCGTACGGTACATAATGTTATGTACTTGTGTTGTGCGCGATCTAATACTGTGCAGCCAGACAACAGTGGGTAGGCCTATGTGAAATTACACCGTTTTTCTGGAAGTTATGATATTCCAAAGGGAGCCAGAGTTTTTGAACGGCATTTTGAATGATCTCCGGTACATCTACAAGAAACTAGCGTTCATTTTTGACAAGTTTGGGTTGGAAATACCTTACGAAAGGTCGAGCTCATTTGTCCCACAATGATAGAGTGCAGAGCGATTTTCCGTGTGTCGACTACCGGGATATGCCCGCAAGCGCGGCCAGTCAACTGGCCACCCGTGCACGTTGACATTGTTTGTGCGTAAAAATAAAATAAAGTGAGTATAATAAAAACGAAGTAAAATAGAACAAAATAGAAACACTAAAGAACCACAAGTCAACTCCAATTTGTTTTTCATTTTTATTTCCACATCAGGATGATTCACAAACAAGTAAAACTTAAACCTGTTAAATTGACATGGATTAAGCACTCAATTTGTAGTGAACAGTCGCATCTGTTTCTCAGTTCTGATGCAAGTGTGTGTGCATGACATGAAAGGCTTCAGGAAATGATTTGGATTTATTTTTTACTTTGAGCACAAAACATGAAATCGAGCTCCTCGGACTTCCCAGGAGAGCAGTTTTGGGTGCTCAAATTGAGCTCCTCGGATTTCCCAGGAGAGCGATTAACTGAGCTCCACGAATTTCTAAAAATGAAGGCCTGGAGCTGTTTTTCAGGTCCTGTTTCGACCCGAACATGCAATTTGTGTAAAAGTCGTCGGTGGGGGCAGCAAACAAAACATAGTAAATCGTGACGTAATAAACAGGACTCGTTTACACTTCGCTGCATAGGGAGTCCTGTTTATTACGTCACGATTTGCTATGTTTTGTTTGCTGCCCCCAACGACAACTTTTACACAAATTGCACGTTCGGGTCGAAACAGGACCTGAAAAACAGCTCTCAAAAGTACCTTTTGTATTCGTTTTTATTTCATCACACCTTAGGCTACATATACCCGAAAAATGACGGAAATGTCTTCGAGCATTCCACAACCTCTTCGAGCATTCCACAACCAATACAAGTGCTAAGGGGCTAATGCTGGAGTTGAAAAACGCCAAACCTTTTAGAAACTAATTTTGGAAAGCGAACTTTTACTGAACAAGCACTTGACATTTTTCTAATACTGATTTTCTGTAATTTCTCACTCTATAAAATAAACTGCCAACAACGAGGTCAGATAACTAGTCTTTGATTTTAAACACAGTTTTTCAGTTTTTGGGTTTTCTGACCCTGTCGCATGTTATTGAAATCTTTTCTACAGACATCAGCCCAGAAGCGTCGATACCTGGTCAATCACGTGATCGTCTGTCTCTTCGGGGATGAGTTGTCACCTCTGATCGGCATCAGGAACTTTGTCATGCCGCTGAGAGCCAGTAATTTCAAGTATGAAGACCTGAAGACCATTGTGTTCCTGGGCAACATCAAGTACATCGAGCGGGAGTGGGACAAGATTATGAACTTTCCCAAAGTCTTTGTCTGTAGTGTAAGTCGCAACTTACAATCATTAATACTCATCTCAGACTTGCGTTTCAGTGTCGTGCCAAACCAGATAATATAAGTTTTCCCGGCCAATTTTCTAAAATGTTCACTCAATTCTGAAAATCAGTCATTCATTTTCGTCTGAATTTGAATGCACGTCTTTAATCCCATTTCAATTCAACGAAAGTTCAATCGTTTTCATTGTCCGTGCATTTGGTTTTGAGAAACAGACGGCCAATTACGTTATCTGTGCATTCTTTTACGTAAGCATACCTTTTCGCGCAGATTTCTGGCATACAATTTCGTGAATGTGCAATCAAAAGTACGTTTTTCTCATTCAAAATAGCAGATTGCATCACATAACATTAAACTAAAAGTGAAATAGAATGACCAATGTCTGAAATTGCCATCTAAAAGCGAAAAGGAAGTCTTGTAAACGAATCTGAATGACCATAAACGAAACGTGCTGCTCAATCACTTAATTGATTGAACTGAAATGGAATCGAATGCTGTGGTATTGAAAATGAAACGCTTGTTCAGAGTGATTCTCAAATTCAGACGAAAATGAATGACCGATTTTCAGAAGTGAATGAACATTTTAGGAATTGGCTGGGAAAACCTATATTTGAAGCAAACGTATTAATTTTCCGTTGACAAGAGTCTGGAGTCATTCTGAGCAATTTCAACAGTCAATCTTTCGGATAGAGTCCCTCCTTCATGTTCTTAATTAAAGTATCTTCCTTAAACTTCTTAATGAAAGCTCCTAAAGTAGCAAACTTTTGCAAAGTTTGATGTGTGGTAATCGATATATGTGTCTTCTTTGTTTGGTAGACAATGAGTGTTTTAGACCTTAATACTAAATAAATAGACTCTTCAAATCCACTTTGGTAACTTCACCCAATGTTTTCATATTTCTGCTCTGTTCATTCTATCTCTTGACTCAGAGCTGAAAATATTGAATTACCCCGGTACAATAAAAAACAAAACAAATTTAGACAGTACGTTTTAATATGTAAAAACATAGTTGATTTCTAACATGTCTAAAACAGCCTTGAAATAGGCACACATTCATTCCGTTTCGTCTCCCTTGCATATTTTGGTCTGCTCAAAAACTGTAAGCCTTGTTAAGAAACAACACGTAAATGACTAAAAATGCAAATAAAAAAAGGTAGCTATTTAGGCATAACTGTACATGTATGTTTTTTAAATTTTAAAATTGTTTCGTCATGGACAGGGTTCGCCGCTAAGTCGCGCTGACATGCGTAACGTCAACGTGCACCAGAGTGCCATGTGCGTCATTCTGTCAGCCAACTTAGGGGACAGCATCGAGCAGGGACTGCAAGACAAAGAGACAATCTTATCCTCCTTGAATCTGAAATCAATCATGGCGGCGGGAGCTCACAGCCGACGTTCCAAGATCATCGCAGCCTATGCAGCTGGTTAGTATAGTGGAGTCCCTAATGTGGCACCCACTGACTTTCCCTCGACTTTCCTCATGCAGTGTTGCCAAACCTCTTTGTTGACCAGCTTCAAATTCATTCAGTTAAAATTCATTCAGTTAAATAGCTTCAACCAATGGGTGGCTTGTGTGTAAAATGCTCGCCTCTCACCAAGGTGACCACGGTTCGAATCCTGGCCGCAGATCACATGTGAGTAGAGTTGTGCATTGGTTCTCTCCTGTGCCACAAGGGTTTTTCTCCGGGCCCTCCAGTTTTCCTCCCTCCGGAAAAATCAAACACTTTTGATCTCAGGCTGTGCTCCGTGATCATATATGGGTTGATGTGGCCGGCAGTCATAGGTGCCTTTACGTGCCAGCAGCCCGACCACTGCGTCCTTCGCAATTCAGCGTACCAGCTGCGAGTAAGGATGATTAGCCTCCCAAATTATTATTATTATTATAACCTAAAGGTACATATGTCCAATTGGGCTACAAAACACATTTTAAACAAAATTATATCAACTGGAAAGAGCATTTTAAAAGTGGGATATAAATGTCCACACAACCATCCTCTAAAAACTGCGAATCTTTGTGTTAATTTGCAAGAACCATGCAAGAACGAATTTCGGAGGTCAATATTTTGACTCTCAAAAATCGAGCTGTTGATAATTAAATTGTGTTTTAAAACATTTTTTTCCATAAATGTAAGATTTTCTGTGACCAAGACCTTAATTTGAAATACTAAATTTTGGCGATCTGCATACAAATGTGCACCTTTAAAGGGAATGTACATCATTGGCTTTTGCTGTAATTTTCAGAAATTAACTATTTGAGGGGCTAGTAAAATATATCAAATATTGTTACACTGACATGTTTGAAGTTTCGTGTTCGAAAATGCTGGAAAAACCAAGAAAAAACAAAAATGTTCAAGTAGTCTGGTTCCCTGACTCCACTAAAGATAAAATGGATCAATTTATAGATGCCGGAAAATTGTAAGGTAAGGGAACCAGTTGTAGCTGGCCTGCACCCGTTCATGAACATGTAACCAATAGCAAACAAAATTTGGACCGACAAAAATTGTAAATTTAGAGCAGTAGTTGAAAAATAGTTAGGATTTTCCAACGGTGGTCGGCCGACCATTGTTGGAAATGTATACAAAAATACCATTTTCTTGAAAATGACTTCACACCAGGTGCCATAATTTTACAGGATGCTTTAGACTGTCATTTACCAACATCCAAGTAAGGTATTTCGTAAAAACTTGGTAGTTTTATTTTTCGATGTTTGCAAATGTTGTCTATTCCCTTTAAAACCAGTACGGTTTACAAATCAAATGTGCACCTTGATTCTAGAGCATGTGCAACATGTGCGTGTCAAGCTTGGCGCCACCTTGGCGCCACCTCAATCAAGTAATCCTTCCAATCCTCCACACCCTCTGCAGACACTACTCAGAAGCCACCCTTAGCTGTCACTCACAAGCCCCAAACTATTGATTGCCGTTTCATGTTGTTTCAGAGTCGCCGACTAGACTGAACGGCGGTAGCATCAAGAGGAGCCTCTTCACGCAAAGCTCGCCCAAAATCACCGTGCCAATGATCACCGAGCTAGGTAAATGTAAAGGCTTGTATACTGGACCGCTGGTCTGAGTACAATAGTTTTAAGTGCCAGTTTAAAGATATAGTCCATCATTTGTAATTTGTGCATTTTGTTCGTTTGAAGCAACAAAAGTGCTCAATATCTAAAGAAGGGTACTGAACAACTAACCTGATGAAGTTTCAGCTCAGCTTCAGCTGTATATTCCGAGAAATACAGCATTCTAGGATCTCAATTTCAAATCAAAAGTTGCTGAATCATGTTTTGAATTGGGCCTGAATTCAGCGTCCGAGACGCGTTCTCACTGAGCCGAATGCAGCTACGCGATGTCGCACACTGATCCGACGAATTATAGCAACCGCGCGCGCGTGTCGTGCCAATGCCCGCGCGCTTCGCCAAATAACAAATCGAACTACTAATTCAAATTTCCTACGGTGCGTCTTAAGAAGCACCGTTGGAAAGGCCTTCTTTCGTTGATTACTTCAGAATGACAGCTTGCCAGAAAGAATAATTTCACAGGAAGTTTAGTCCCCTTACTATCTTTCAACCAAGTATGTTTTTCAACAATAATTACACCAGTTACTTTTCGGATAGCTGCAAATGATGGACTATAGCTTTTAAGGCATTCTGTGGCTAAAAATGAACTAAACAAGACTAAACCACCTTCGAACTGGCAAGGCGCGCTTCAGAGCCAACATGGCCAAGTGGGGCCTCGTGGACAGTACCATGTAAATGTGGGACTGCAGACCAAACTGTAGACCATATTCTATCTGATTGCCCCATCTACCAATCTCTGCATGGAGCAGATCGACGGTCTAACTTATTTGGACCAGGAGACCAAATTATGGTTGACCCAAACTGCAAGTTGATATCTGAAGCTGTCTATACGACAAACGAAAGAAGCACTTTTGCAATTACCAATTTTGTTTCTCATTTGGGACTAGTCTTGTGAAAATACTTGTGATCTGGCAACAAGAAATTGAGCTACTGGTCCTGTTTTCTGCAAGATACATAACTCGGAATTTGAGCTCTGAATAAGCCTTAACTTGTTATATCTTAATAAGTGATACCTTTTACTTTAATAATTCACCCACCCACTAAACTGAGATCACTTGAGCCCTCTGTTTTTCCTTTAAATGGCATCATCCCGTGAGAAAAATGCAAAGACTCCAATTTGTTCCATTTTGTTCCAAATCTGCATTTTAACTTGAATTTTGGGTTTCAAAGTTTGTATTAATGTTTAGCTTCATTGCATAATATCTTTGCTTTATTAGGATTTGGATTCATTTTGAGTAAATAAAGAGAACTAGCCCTTTAAGCATGACAGGATGATCTTAAAAATGCAAGAACTAAATTTGTATTGTGATGTTTTTGAAAGCTCAATAGAAAGATTTTAATGACTTGAAATTGTTATTTTAGAAAAAAAATTGACTGCACAGAAATAGTTTTATGATGGTTGGTTTGAAAGCTCACAGTGATTTTGAACGTTTTGGATCTTGTATTTTCCTCGCAGTGAATGACATCAATGTGCAGTTTCTGGATGACGACGATGAAGATGATCCAGACACAGAGCTATATCTGACTCAGCCGTTTGCCTGCGGTACAGCCTTTGCTGTCAGCGTGCTAGATTCCCTCATGAGTGCAGTAAGTCTCTAGCTTAGTTCCTAGCTCCTTGCTGTATCTGACTCAGCTGTTTGCCTGTGGTACTGTCAGCGTGCTAGATTCCCTCATGAGTGCAGTAAGTCTCTAGCTTAGTTCCTAGCTTCTTGCTGTATCTGACTCAGATGTTTGCCTGTGGTACAGCCTTTGCTGTCAGCGTGCTAGATTCCCTCATGAGTGCAGTAAGTCTCTAGCTTGGTTCCTAGCTTCTTGCTGTATCTGGCTCAGCCGTTTGCCTGCGGTACAGCCTTTGCTGTCAGCGTGCTAGATTCCCTCATGAGTGCAGTAAGTCTCTAGCTTGGTTCCTAGCTCCTTGCTGTATCTGACTCAGCCGTTTGCCTGCGGTACAGCCTTTGCTGTCAGCGTGCTAGATTCCCTCATGAGTGCAGTAAGTCTCTAGCTTAGTTCCTAGCTTCTTGCTGTATCTGACTCAGCCGTTTGCCTGCGGTACAGCCTTTGCTGTCAGCGTGCTAGATTCCCTCATGAGTGCAGTAAGTCTCTAGCTTAGTTCCTAGCTTCTTGCTGTATCTGACTCAGCCGTTTGCCTGCGGTACAGCCTTTGCTGTCAGCGTGCTAGATTCCCTCATGAGTGCAGTAAGTCTCTAGCTTAGTTCCTAGCTCCTTGCTGTATCTGACTCATCCGTTTGCCTGCGGTACAGCCTTTGCTGTCAGCGTGCTAGATTCCCTCATGAGTGCAGTAAGTCTCTAGCTTAGTTCCTAGCTCCTTGCTGTATCTGACTCAGCCGTTTGCCTGCGGTACAGCCTTTGCTGTCAGCATGCTAGATTCCCTCATGAGTGCAGTAAGTCTCTAGCTTAGTTCCTAGCTCCTTGCTGTATCTGACTCAGCTGTTTGCCTGCGGTACAGCCTTTGCTGTCAGCGTGCTAGATTCCCTCATGAGTGCAGTAAGTCTCTAGCTTAGTTCCTAGCTTCTTGCTGTATCTGACTCAGCCGTTTGCCTGCGGTACAGCCTTTGCTGTCAGCATGCTAGATATCTCATGAGTGCAGTAACTCTCCAGGGTAGTTCCTAGCTTGACCAAGGTCACTTTCACTTGTACAAACATTTGTATCATTTGTTCTTAACTAGAGACTCGACTTCAATCCTATTTAGAACCTAAACATTAAGCTCCATGTTTTTTTTCTTCTTTTGCTAGACATACTTCAATGCAAACTCCCTGACTTTGATCCGAACCCTGATCACGGGCGGGACCAACGCTGATTTGGAGGAGATCTTGTCGGAGGGTGGGGAGTTACCCCCAGGAGTGCAGATTGGTAGAAGCCGACTCAAGGAGTTACTGCGAGACAGGTGTACAGTGGACCAGCTCAGTATCGGCACGGGGGTGTTCCAACACTGCAAGGTATGAGGGGAGGGGCTCTGTGACCAAAACTTGTTATGCTGTTCCTGTTACCTTGGTACTTTGTAATCTGCCATTCAAGTATCATTAAGAATGATTCCAAACAAATTTGTTGGGTAGGTAGTTTGCTATTCATAATCACTCTTGGAGGAAGACTGCATTAAGGAGTGCATCAGAATTATAAAATCATAGCTGTCAGATGCAACAGGGACAAGAAAATAAAGTAGACCCCAAATTTATAGATTGACCCACATGCTGTGTGTTCAAACCATAGAGCTATATTAAATTACTAGAGCGCCAACTCCTCATTCTTGCGCGCGGAGACGCTTTGAAGCCGTCCTGGGCGCAGACATTTTGAATTCATGTGCGTGTTTGTAGAACATATTGAAATTAGATGGATTGAAATTTAAAAGTGTACTCTACATGCAATGAATGGGCAAGTAAAACATACATGTACATGTACGCAAACAACTTAAGCGTGTCATGACAGTTCAAAAAACGTCACGGCAAAAAGCATATGCAGCGAATACGTGCACGGGTTTCGCTGTTTGCGTAGAGCAAAATGAAACGCTCATTTGCTGATCGTTCGTTTCGGTTTTGGGCGTATCGGCTTTGATAATGCACTGGTATGGAAGACAAACGCAGATATGCAAATAGCCGTACAAAAGCCGCACAAAATTTCTAGTTCTCCATAGGTTTGTGTACAAACATGGATGCGCCCATCAGGCATTACTTTGTACATCGAGTTAGCGCTCTAGTAATTTAATATAGCTCTATGGTTCAAACTGGCAATTGACAAGTGAGTTTTGCCAGGTCAAACCAATTCTAAGTTGAAATCTTCCTGATGCAAAAACTCTTCTTAAAGTAATGTGTTTAAAGGTTGATCATTCATGGTATTCAAGTATTTGTTGCCTATGTTTTCTACCGGTCAGGACGGCCACACGTATGGTTCCCTGTTCCTCCATGGGCTGGAGAGTGGCATCCTATGTCTGGGTATCTATCGCAATCTCATCATCTCGGGCAAATCGTCCGGGAAGCGCTACGTCATCACCAACCCCTCCCAGGAGTTTGAGCTTATGAGCGGGGACCGAATCTTCTGCCTCAAGCACTTTGAAGACCTGAACATGAACAACGAGATACCGGTACGAGAGACGGATCTGATTGGCTCGGATCTATAGTCCAGCTAGATTTAATCAACCAATCAAATGGCAGGATTGCCTAGATGCAAAATTGTATTCAGAAATTCAGTCTGTTCTTCAATCACTCTGCAGTAGCAATAGCATAATCAGGCAACAAAAATGTATTGTTTTGTGCTTCGTGCATGGTGTCAAATCACGTTTCATCAATTTTACATGAATATCCTTTTCGTAGGAAAAGATGCGCAATGTTTATCTTATAAAATTCTGTAATTAAAAGTCGCAAGACGTCCTAATAAGTTGCACTATTTTGGTGTCAAGTAATTAACAGAACATGCTCGATCGGATGTTGGAAGCTGCAGGCCAACGAATTCGTGTTCATGCACGAGTGACGTGATAGTGTCATGTAATTTCTGGATGTAGTGTTTTGAGTAAAAAAAATCAGGTTTTTGACCCCAGTGACCCTAGGATGACCTTTGACCCCAGTTTGGTCATGTGCATGTTGGGGCTGGGCTACTGATACTCTTGACAAAGTTTGGTTGAAATCGGTCAAAATATGTAGGAGCAATAGACAATGTCAACGTTTGTTACTAACTAACTAACTAACTAACTGAAGGACTACCGGAGAGACACGATGATTTGTTGGGCTGCTATCCCGCAGCTAGAAAATGTTGTTTACAATGTATTTTTAAGTTGTACACAAAGTTGTGATAAACATCGAATCCATTTCCCTTATCAAATAACCGTTTTTTTTTAAATTATTTTCTTGCTAACATTTTTTTCTGCACTTTTAAAGCTCAGTAATTCGTGCACTCAGACTAACAACGAAGTGACATAGAATTGTTTTTTCTTTTCTGCTTTTATTTATTTGAGTCAGAGTTATGATGTGATTGCCAAAGCATGCATGATTATTTTTGTATACAAAAAATGGTTCATGCTGGTTAGTTCTCGAAGCTGTCTTCCGATAAAATCAAGGGTCCCAAGTACGTTATCTTTGTCAGTAAAGACAGAGCTATTTTACCTTAAAATTAAATATTGCAGCAGACATAAATATTGTATGAAAGTTTGCCATTTTTGTGTGAACTATTTAATGTTAGTACCATTAATTATGATTGTAACCTTGACTGATTTATGTAGCGTAGTTACTACCAAACTGTTAGGATAGGTCATTATAATCGATTCCGAATTCTTGTCCACTCCGAATTTCTCGCAATGTGGTAGATTTCTTGGATCTTTTTGATTCTCGTCTGCTATAATCTTCAGTCGTGAAGCCCATTTCCTGACTAGATGACCCACTCCTCTCAATATTCTTAAAAGACTAATAAGTCCACGCTTATGAAAAGGCGAGTAGATGTGCTAAGATTGCATAAGAACTGACACTAAAGCAGCTTTTTGACAGTTTTGGAGTGAAAAAATCTTCAAATCCTCCTCAATCATCAAACATTACCAAAGTATTGTAACCTATCTCTTGTAAAATATTTACGAATATAACTCCAAATTGCAATATCTTGATATAAGTGGTAACTACCATCCAAATAAAGATAATTTTAACGTAAATATAATTTGATAATTTGAAATGTAAAAACAGAGTTTTGTGAGTTCTAACAATTAGTGTTGTGTACAAGTACTTTTTTTTTTAGTAGCGTGTTTCTTTTTACTTTTTAGAGGGCATCATGTATATAACTTTAGGAGCAACTTTTTCATTCATTAGATATGTAACTTTTTATGTTATACCTCGACTTGTCTGATAAACAAAAACAATAAAGATCTGGTTTAAATGCGTACTTAATTTATGTTAATTGTAAATACAACATGTACAGACTTCTGAATCGACGATTTAAATAACTCATTCTGTATCTTTGCATTTTATAATCTAAATCGCCCCAATATTTAAAAACAAAAAAAACATTAGCAGGGTATTATTGTAAATAGGTCAGTTCTGTTCTCGTTCTGTTCTCTTTTGTAAATCCGACATCTTGTAAATAGTCTGGCCAATTTGAATCCATCTTGCGTGGGTCAATGCAGACGTTTGTGGTGCCAATGTGAAAATGTAATCAGTTAAGCCAGGTTACACACACATGACTACTTATTTATTAGGGATGAATTTGGAAGATGAATCACAAAAACTCTTCTTTTTTTTTTCTTTATTCAAAAGAATTGAATGCATGCCTGACATGATCATTCAAACAGAATGTTGTTTTGAAGGATTTGGATGACTTCCAACCTAAATGCTGTACTTCTTTCAGTAACTTGTGTATACACGCTTAATTTGCATACAGCGGCCATATTTGGATTTGTTTAATTTTCATTCAGTAACAATAGATGCACAAGAGGTTTACTCGTGCGTGTCTCTGCGGAATAAACGCACTCCTCCAACATGGCTGCAATGCAAAGGCTCTATCGTCAGCACCTGGAAAAACAGCATTTTCTTTTTGGGTACTTAAGTTTCATTTCTTGCTAATATAATGTATATTCCTGTATACTCGGAATAGGTTAATGTACACATTAAAAATAATTTTTGGTACACTAATTATTAAACAAATTTGGGCTCTAGACTTCATGCACTAGTACCCGGTAACCCAAACTGGAAAAGGGGAAATTTGATGGAAAAAATAACACTTGTTTCTGTATGCCAACTAGTCATTTGATCTTGTATTCATCTATATGTAGGAATGGAAAATTGCACCACGCAGATTAACATTTTAAGAATGGATAAAGTTATGGCAAATATTTATTTAAAGCTATAGTCCATCATTTGCAGCCATCCGAAAAAGTAACTGGCGTATTATTATTGAAAAACATACTTGGTTGAAAGATAGTAAGTGGACTAAACTCCCTGTGAAATTAATCTTTCTGGCAAGCTATCATTTTGAAGTAATCAACGAAAGAAGGCCTTTCCAACGGTGCATCTTAAGACACACCGTAGGAAAATTTCAATTAGTAGTTCGTTTTGTTATTCAGCGCAGTGCGCGCAAGCATTGGCACGATGCACAGGCGCGCGCGGTTGCTATAATTCGTCGGATCAGTGCGCGACATCGCGTATAGCTGCAATTCAAAACAATTCAAAACACGATTCAGCAACTTTTGATTTTTAAATTGAGATCTTAGAATGCTGTTTTTCTCAGAATATACAGCTGAAGCTGAGCTGAAACTTCATCAGGTTAGTTGTTCAGTATCCTTTATTAGATTTTGAACACTTTTGTTGCTTCAAACGAACAAAATGCACAAACTACAAATGATGGACTATATCTTTAATGCAAAGGTTCCTGGGTCTAAAGTTGTGTTCGGTACATCAAAAATTTTGTTTTTGTGGGGTTTTTAAATTTAAAACTCACTGGCAAAGTCGGTGGTCAGCAATTATGCATGGAGCTAAAAGTAGAAAAACAAATAATTTTTTTAAAAAGAGAGGGTCCAATAGAGGTTCAAAATTCTGACTATAAAAAATTGATACCCAGTTTTTGAACCTGATGTTTACATCCGGGTGTGCATGAAAGTCCTTTATAACTTTCAATTGATGCTGAATTTTGGGTTCTTACAAGTGTTTTCATAGCCAACAATCCTCATTTTGGACACGATTTGTGAATCACTGTGTCATTGTGCCAATCAGTGTCAGGGGTGTGCATTCAAACCGAGTACCCGACTGTTGATGTCAGGAACTGGTTCCAGATTATGGGATCGGGTTCTGGTAACCAACTTTACAAATTATTTATTACTTCTCGGACAATGAAAAGGAAAGCTTTTGGAGTCATTTGTGGGAATTTTCAAAATGAAAACCAGGCTACATTGAAAATCAAATCAGATTTCACGTTTGTGTGTATTTTATAATGTGCAACAAATAACGTTTGCGAAAGTTGAAGTTTGCAATGTATACCTATGAAGCCCAGACGACTTCCTGGATTTGAATTTTGGGGTGGGGTTTCTTTTACAGGTACCCGGTTACCGGTGTACGGGTACCAGTTCCCGTGCTACCCGTAAATGCACACCGCTGATAATCAGTGTAACACAACAAGTTGTATTTATGTACATATTGTGAATCTATGCAGTATACTCCTTCCTCATGTACCCCAAGCCTGCCTTTTGCCAAGAACCATAGTACTAGCCAAGTCATTAGCATTGACCATTTTTGCAGTTGTTCATAGTATATTAAACAAAATTGTACATAATTCCTAAATTTTTCAAGCCAATAGTGTAAAATCCTGACATTGTTCTTGTCAGACGAGCACAATTTCACTTTTTCAACTCTTCAGCAATATAGAGAAATCTCTTATTAAATGTCACGATCAGAGTAATAATGTGTTTTCAACTTGTAACAAAGTACGTACTGCTGCATCTAAAAACCACATCCATATAACTGGTTATTTGATAGCATGTATATTCTGAACCTAGCAAAGCAATTGCACATAGCTGACAAATTGCACATTTTGTTGTCATTGCAAAACTTGTAGGAAAACAGCAGCCGTTATGGGAATGCTAGGACTCAGTAGCTAGATTTGATTTCCAATTTCTTCATTTGTATAAAGAAATTGAATTTCAAGGCAGGTCAAAAGTCACTCGATCGGTGTATGCAATTGTTTTGTTTAACCATTTACCAACTGAACTGTACTACATTGAATTACATTGTGTTTATTCATGATAAACCTGTTACACTTTAGAGTACTCAGTCGGTTTTGGGTGCTACAGGGAGTAATAGGCCATTTTCAGCGCCTTTTTCACTCAGTTTCACTTACATTTCCCATAATCATGCTGTATTTTGCAGTTTGCCGTAGGCCTAGCCAGTAAGTGTCATGGCTATCTTGTTTGTTGGCCGGGTTTTTTTTTTAGTTCACAACTTCTGAGGCTCAAGTAGAGGCTACTGTCTTGAAAAGTATGGCACCATTTTTTTGAGATTCTCATTTTATATTTGCATTGAAAGGGTACTAGACAGACATGACAACGATCTGCTGTAGACCTTTTTGTGGTTGGCACTTTTTGCCAACCATGGGTTGGCAAAGTATGGAAGGTCAACGTTGCAAAAAAACAGGAATGTTAGCGATCTTTCCAAACATATCATTGAATTGCTGGAGATACAAAATAACAAACAAACGTTACCAAAGATTTAATAAAAAGCCTCTTTCTTACATTATGAGGTTGTTAATATGCAATTTTTGGCAAAATCTGTTGCCAACCACTGCTTAAATTTATGTCCTTTTGGCAGCCCATACAAAATGGCGCTCAATATTTACAAATGAAAGAAAGGTCTATAGCTTACTATCTTGGTATTGGATTTCTAACTCTAAAAAAAAATAATAATAAGATGTAGAAGTTTAATTTTGTTTTGGTTAATTTGTATTTTTCTGCACTTAGAAATTTTGAGCGTATTTTTAGTTACTTAGCATTTGGAAACGAAAACTGATGAAAAAAAAATCATATTGGGCATTGAAATAACAAAGGTGTCCATTTTTTGTGTGTTGACAAGAATATTTAGAAATGTTCACAATTTTCAAAGAATGTTTAAAATGTTACCATTGTAAACATGCCTCTGTTCACCTCTCAACCAGTTGTGTTATGTCAATTGATAGTGGTATTTAGGATATTGAATTTTTGGACATAAAATCCTGATTTGGATTGATAGATGGTGAAATCTTAACTTCAACCGATGTGGAGCACTATTATTTTATTTAAACTAAATCAGTGTTTTGATAGGGTTTATTTCACTTATTGAATAGTAGTTTGTGTTGGATTCCAGTATTAACTCAAGTATGGTAGCACAAAAAGCAAAATACAACATTCCGCTAATAGTCGTTCAAATGTAGAAATATGTGTAAAATATTGTGTTTCTTCCCCCTATTTTTCCCCCTGATTTGACTTTCTACAAGGTACTGTTGTGATAACTACGCCGTTCTGCTGCATAATTTTGTGAAGATTCGCTAGTCAAATTTCGAAGCAACTCTAAACATATTTTGTTTTGTCTCTAGTAAGCAATCAGACTCCCTCTGTATGTGAAAGTATCCATTCTAATCTTGCTGTAGTTGAGAAAAACCTTTCTATGTCTTTTTCACACTTTTCTCCGCTATATTACCTTGATGTACTATCTTCTTCGAAAAAAATTACCTTTTTCTCATCTTGTCAACTATTCGAGAGGGAAAAGTAGCATTTGTTCACCTTTTTCAATCTTATATGCATGTACGCTACAATTACTGGAAATGAAAAAAGTATCTAATTAACATAATAGAAATATTCAGTACTTTCTATATGTTATAAACAATGCAATGTTCTCAATGTACATCAATCTAATGTACCTTTCTCTATTTCTCACTTTTGTCAAAAATAGCATTTTACGGTGACCACTTACTCTGGTGTATTCGTGCAAATATTTCAATGACAAAAAAATACATAATGTAAATAAAGATTTACCCTTTATAATGCCTACCAACCTTGTTTACAATAAAGTCTAAATAATTGTTACCACATATTGTTTGTTTTCTGATGGTGTCTTAGCTTTGTTTCTGTGTTTCCCTGATTCTTCAAAACCTTTCTCGATTTTCTTTTGAAGTTTAAGGAATTTGTTGAGGGAAAAATGTTTTGATGAAAACTGCGGTAAAAAAAAACGATCAGGGATCATGCTCCTGTGTGAGTTTATCAAAAAATATCTGCCATTTGCAAATTCATTTAGCTAAAAAAAATTTAGAATTTTTTTTTACTACCATTGTTTAGCAAACAAATACAAGGGGTATCATTACTAAATTTTCCACATTTTGTTAAGAAACACATTCTCGAGTTTTGAAGATGACAAAATTGGAGATGCTGCTAATTTTGTCCAATAAAATTTTGAAATTTGAAAGCAAAAATAGAAATGTAAGCAGTATAACATTTGAAAATTAATTTTAAAGGGCAAGTCCCCCTAGAAAAGTGAGGGAGAAAACCACAATTTGTCAAATAACAGATTTGATAATTAAACAATAGAAGAGGAACCCTTTATCAAATTTTAAAAATGTTTGAACAAACGCACGCCTTCTTTTTGACAATTTGAGAGTAAGACGACCAATGTTCTGATATATATAGGACAACACCTTTTTCTTTTATTGTGATTTCAAACATATATACCTTTAAATATTTTCTCATGCAAAGTTAAGTTCCACAAGTCTCCAACGTAAACGTCCATTTGGAAGTCAATTTAAAGGCTAGAATGAGATGAAGGCACAAACCGTTTGACACAATACTGAAGGAAGTACATAATTTGTATCAATGCCCGTTGCCAATACTATAACCAGAGCCCAATTTCATGAAACAGCGAAGCATGGAAAGCATAAGCAGAAAAGGGTTACCAGCTAAGCGTCATGCAATGTTAATTGCTTTCGGCTGGTTTCCAGCTAATTTTAGCTTAGCACAACAATTTACTGAATGACATTTCTTGCTAAGCGGTTTTATCAAATTGGAATGACGGCCCAATGTTATGACTTTGCTTACAGCAAGCGACAACATTTCTGCTGCCTGTAACTGAACATTATGCGCTTACAGTTGATTTTGCAGTACATGCATTTGTACACCCATAACTAAGGATTCTGTGCTTACATGGTTAGCGCAGAAAATGTCTTTGCTAGCGCTGTAAGCACAGAATAATAATAGAAGTTGCAGAATTAAAATTGGGCCATTTCATGTCAAATCTGAGAAATGATTATTGAAAATGAAAAGCGGTTCCGATTCAGCTAAAATTGTAACTTTGTCGAATTTGTATCACCAAGAATAATGAATTTTATAACTACGACAGCTAAAAGTTTTTATTGAGTATGTAAATGATTGCATTTGTCATGAAATGGCCCACTTGTTATTGGAATGAATATATATCTTATTTGTTCGTACATAAATACAAGAATGTAAAATTCTGTAATTCAGATACAAATATTGCTCTTACCACTTTATGACACTAATGTATTCTTGAAACATGATTCCAGTTAAATGTCTTCCGAATTTCATACGAGTTGTGCGACATTCCAATTCATTTTGTTCTCATTTAATTCCATATATTGCTAATATATTACATACAAACGTTAATACCCTAAAAAGTTAAAAAGAGCTCATGCAAATATTATAGACTGAAATTTCAACCATTATTTGATCAGGTATGAAAAAATATTGTTAAAAACCTATATTGATGTTTGGCACTGAATATTACAAAAAGAACCCTTAAAACAATAAAAGTTGACACATCCATGTTGCCTCCTCCAAACCACCACTCAAACACCATATAAACAACTACCCATTTTCCACAAGAGCCATATCGCCATGAACAAAAACATTATTTTGAGTAAAAATAAGAATATTTAGCATGAGCAAGTAACCTCTGTTAATACACGTGATAACGTAAAAAAATATCCATTCAAAACTAACATACAACCTTTTTTTTATGCAAAATATCAAACGATTGTCTGATTGTGATTAAAGCAAAGAATTTCAGCAGGAGCATTTTACATTGAATTTATGTTTGCACCATATTCAAAATTGTAATATTTTACTAATTCTATTCTATCTTTCCTAAACTACTAATAATGTGTCTCACCTAATATAAGTACACGTACAATATTAAAAACTCTAGCGTAAAAAAAATACTTTGTATATCTCCTCTTTCTTGTTTTTTTTTTGTCGTAAAAATTTATCACTTCATTTTACCACATTTCACGAATTGTAATTTGGCAAAATAATAAAATCTTATTTAGTTTTCTTTGTTTGCCCCATCGGAAATCAAGTCTTGAATACAAAATCGAATTTGATTCTTTCAAAATAGAGCAGATAAGAAGCTCCATCACTTGAAAAATAAAATGATTTTTAAAAACATATTGCGGAAAAAGATACGTGCAGTCAGTTAGTTGTACCCCCCCCCCAAAAAAATGTGTAGTATACCATGTAAGGTATAGTTAACATCATGTAACATTGCATGGCTAATGCAATGTTTAAGGCTATCATGTACATTCTCCATTGAGTAAAAACTGTAGAAGTTTGTCACAAAAAAAGCATTCGACAGACCGTCTTTTTGTCTCCAAAATCTAGACCCAAGCTCAACTGCATATTGAAAAAGAGGAAATTTCAGCAACGGACAAGACTTAGGAGTTGTAGTAGAATTAGAAAAGTTTATAAAGTCTTCAAAACTTGCAAAATGTTGGGTTTTTAAAGTTAAATACCGAGGTAAGTTATAAAATACAGTATTGAGTCACAGACAGAAGTGAAGCTAATTTAGATATATTTAGACTGAAATTGCCGTCCCTAACAATGTCTAGTTCCCAAACTGCAAGAAATGACAATGAAAATGCGTAAAGCAGGTTTTTAGCTTTATCATTATTTGCCCATTACAGTTCTACTTTCGTGTCACCAGACCACATTTACTCACAACCATATATAGAATTTTACACTCACTGTCAAAAACCAATGTTGTACAAGAATACCCATTTCTTTTATGATAAAAAAAAACTTAAGGAATGTGCAATCACTCGATGCTGATTGGTTAAAAAAATAATTTTCCAATGACCTGAATTTTGTTCTTAAAAAGGGTAGAAAAAGTTTACAAATAAGTCAAATTGTTTAAAATGTCATCGGCAGTTATTCAGCTGTTTTCTTTCTTAAATTGTTTATGTCCTACCTGTAAAAACCTCTTGCTACACGTTTTATGTTTGGTCACTACAAATATACCCCCAAAATTTAACAAATCAGTTTCCACTAAAAACCCATCTGTCGTTCTTCTTATTTTATATGGGGAATGGTCTTTTAAAGATGTTTTGTAAAAAACATAAAAAAGTTTCACAAAATCATATCAAGAGGACATACAACTATACCAGTCCACTAAGCTTAACTAAACCTTCACATTTTAACCCTGGTTATATTATGTAAACCTGTTGGAAGTTACTTTTTATAAGTGGTTAAAAACGTTAAAAAACACACTGACTGCCAGTCCTGGCAAGTCTCAAGAATTGCCTGCGGACATACTTAAAAACCTTCAACAGTTCAAGCCAGTAAACCTAGTTTCCACTAACCAGATTCAACCAAACACCAGTATCTACCACTAACCGGTTTCCAACTAACCAGGGTTAGTTTTACAATTAACGGTTAGTCTGAGGAGATGACATGAGAGTGTGGACAAAGAGCGTGGCTGGATCCAGATCGTCACCTTCCATGGACAGCAGAGGGACATGGTGATACCCTGAAAGAACAAGAAGAAATGTGTCAAATCAAAGGTGCAAAGTTAAAGCACTGAGGTTAAAGGGAATGTACATCATTGGCTTTTGCTGTAATTTTCAGAAATGAACTATTTGAGGGGTTAGTATAATAGATCAAATATTGTTACACTGACATGTTTGAAATTTTGTGTTAAAAAATGCTGGAAAAACCAAGAAAAACAAAAATGTTCAAATAGTCTGGTTCCCTGACTCCACTAAGGATAAAATGGATCAATTTATAGATGCCGGAAAATTGTAAGGTAAGGGAACCAGTTTAGCTGGCCTGCACCCGTTCATGAACATGTAACCAACAAGCAAGGAAAATTTGGACTGAAAAAATAGTAAATTTGGAGCAGTAGTTGAGAAATAGTTAGGTTTTTCCAACGGTAGTCGGCCGACCACCGTTGGAAATTTATGCAAAATACCACTTTTCTTGAAAATGACTTCACACCAGGTGCCATAATTTTACAGGATGCTTTAGACTGTCATTTATCAACATCCTAGTAAGGTTTTTCGTAAAAATGTGTTAGTTTTGTTTTTCGATGTTTGCAAATGTTGTATATTCCCTTTAACTGAGATATAGATTTTTTTTTAAAAGTCAACAGAAACTAGCACATTATTGTGAATTTCATGGTTGGTTTCTCAAAAGGAGTGCTCTGCCAAAAAAGAGGGATTTGAAAAGCCCAACGGCCATTGCGTCAGGAATATTTCAGCAATGCGTCATTCTATAAGTTTAGGGTACAAAGTGTGACATTTCTCCTGTTCCCTGTTACATTGGTACTTTATTTGCCGTTCGAGTGTCAGTAAGAATGACTTCAAATAATTGTATATTTATTGGGTAGGTTTGCTATTTGTAATCACTCTTGGAGGACAACTGCATTAAGGAGTGCATCCAGAATGATGTCAGATGTTACAGGGACAGGAAAAAAAGGGGACTGCAAATTTATACAATGACCTGACTTTCAGTGGAGTTTCAAAACGATTACTGGTATCATTTAAACATTTCTGTTTGTATGGCCTCCTAGTGTAAGTCAGTAATCAACTGTATCAATGGGGAATGTATAATAGACAACTGAATACCAATTTTGTCATACAGCATGCAGCCTTGCACCAACACGAAAATGGTATAAATTTGTGTAAGTTAAGATAAAAAGTAATGAATGTAAATGCACATTACAGTCCTGGAGCACTTGGGAGTGGTCAGGTAGTGCTTTCTATCAAGTCACAAGTTATCACAAGTCATCATTGGTCATCACAAGTCTTCACGGGTGATTGCAAGTCATCACAAGTCATCACAAGACATCACAAGTCATCACAAGACAATCACAAGTCATCACAAGACATCACAAGTCATCACAAGTCATCGCAAGTCATCACAAGTCATCACAAGTCAACATAAATCATCACAAGTCATCATAAATCATCACAAGTCATCACAAGTGACCACAAGTCATCACAAGTCCATTAAAAGTCATCACAAGTCCATTAAAAGTCATCACAAGTCATCACAAGTCCATTACAAGTCAATCAGCCCCATGTCAACTCACAAACTATTCAAATGAACTGTGACTAGGCATTCCTTCATTGTTGTTCATCCTGTGTTGTGACTGGACATGTGAATTAACCCGTGATTTACTTGTGACTAGACATGTGATGTACTTCTGATCCGTCACAGGAACCTCGCCTACACCATCATCCACCATGTAACCATCTTGTAGAGATCATTTCCAGCCTGTTCTTACCTAGTTGGATGCTGGCGATGGGAATGGTGTACTGAGCAATGAAATCATCCTTCAGTCGGTCGTGATCGTAGACGACAAATCGCAGCATGGCAAGCTCTGGGGATTTGATCTCAAACTCCATGATGTGGTTCCACTCTGGGTTGAACCCTGTAAGTAACAACAAAAGTATCTCAGTCCTCATTTCCTTATTTTTTGCGATCCCCTCCCCAATTTTCTGTTTAGCAGCTGCATGACCTTTGACGTTTTATTCCATTTTTCAAATCTGCAAGTTTTATCTGAGGACTGTAATGAGTGAACAATATTGCGTGTGCTTTCATTGACCAACCATTGTTTTCCACTACTTCTGTCTTTTCGTCGTACTCGGCATTGACATCCAGGACGAAGACCTTGACATAGGGGTCAATGATTTCCTTGGATCCGGATGGCTTGGGCAGTTGCTGACCGCTGATGACCTGCGAGCAAATGAAAACAGTTACAAGTGGTTTTCTTGGATAAGCAGGGAACAGAATAATGCCATGTCCCAAGTTACATGGCTATTCAGCTTGTAATTGTACACATGCACCTATGGAGACATTTGAGGACAGCCAGGGGCAAGTTCAGGCAAGGACCATTAGTCGACTAGTGCTTGATTTGTGATGTACCTCACGCCTGCGCACTGATAGCAACATGCGAACATCTCTAGTCAAACGCTGGTCAAAATGTCATCGCAAAACTTCTGGATCCTTGTTCACTGCTGTATGTTATGAATGCGCGCGGCTATTGGTTACCAGCGATGCAACCAGCCCCAGTAGGTTGTTTCGAAATAGTCAACCATCGTCGACTAGACAGAGTTCGGGCAAGCGTTAGTCGGACTATGGTTAACCATTGGTCAACTATAGTCCTTGCGCGAACTTGGCCCAACATGCAGGTTTACAGCACTGCTAAAGTTGCTATCACCTAACAGTATACAACAAGTGCAGGTTGAGCAGTCAACCAACTACAGTCAAGTTGTAAAAGTAGTTTTTAAAACAACGGCATTAAAAAATCTAGTTGTTGTGTTATAGTGAATGAACAGTCAACTAATAAAACAGGAGGAAAATAAGTTTTAAAGATGTCGGATAGAACAAAAACTAGTGGGGCAAGGTAAAACAGGACACACAAGTTGAGGTTCACCTGAAACAAAAAATTGACAAGCCCTTCAAATTTGTGCTTTGCCCCACTGTACTGCAAAATGGCAATTTCTGAATTTATGCTCATTTCTTGGTAGTCACATGTCTGTCTTACCCTGAGAGTGAGTTTCTGGGTGTACTGGTCTCCAGGGCTGTCAGGGTTGAACTGCATGTTGGCTGGGGACAATAATAATAATAATACCACATCAAAACATGAAATACGTGAATGTCAGCGTTGGATCATTTGAGAACACTGTGTCGTTCATTATAGTATACAAAATGTAGGCAGATTGACAACATTTTGCTTTCAGAAAACTTCTGCAATGATTAAAGGGACACTAGGTCCTGGAACAGCCCAATTGGGCTACAAAATGCGCTTTGAACGAGGTGATGATAATCGGAAATAAATTTTAAAAGTAGGATATAATATCCACACAACTATCCTTTCAAAACTGGGCATTTTTGTGTTATTCCTGTATTACGTGTGCGAGAACGAATTTCGGGGTCCACTTTTGCGACCCCATAAATTCGAGCTGTTTGGATGCTAGTTATATCATTCGTACGCGTAAAGTGTTCGCCTTTTCCGGACATTGAAGAAACCAAAATTTTTTGCATTGGTGATTGGTCACCGCGCGCTGTTCCCGAGACACACAACATGTATAGCGTACATGAGAACGACACGAAAAACGTATTCGTACTCCGTCATGTCCGATGTAAACAAGCGGTTTTTTTCCGTCTTTTCTCGGGAACGGTAAGACGTTAGGTTGGTTTCCTTTCAACCAGATGTTTGAAATAGGCTAAGTAAACAATCCAAAACATAACATTTTCGGGGATTTCAGGACCTAGTGCCCCTTTAAGACACCCATTCCCTCTTACTTTTAAATTATTTGTCATCCGGTTGATTACTAGTTTTAAGCAGCTTTTTGTTTATTTCTTAACTTTGAAAGTAAAACAATCACGATTGACAAAAGCGAGGTGCAGAGCAAACCCTTTTTGTTTTAGTTACCTTTGCGAAGAAAGACTGGCTTGAGAATGTAGCCACTGTTGCCGTTCTGCTGGAACTTGCCAAGGTTCAGATCCATCTCGTCACATGGTGTCTGGAAGTTCAGAGCAACTGTACAGAGACAAGTGGTTCAAATAGATAACAGATGTGATGATTTGAGAATTTCACAATGACGACGGTCAGAGCAGACTGACCGGAACGTTGAGTTTATACCTCTGGTTCTTTTCAGAACCATTCTCTTAGTTTGAGAAATCATTCCCACATGGCGATGTCGCACACTGATCTGACGAATTATAGCAATCGCGCGTGCGTGTGCGTCGTGCCAATGCTTGCGCGCTTCGCCGAACAACAAAAACGAACTACTAATTTAAATTTCCTATGGTGTGTCTTAAGAAGCACCGTTGGAAAGGCCTTCTTTAGTTGATTACTTCAAAATGACAGCTTGCCAGAAAGAATAATTTCACAGGGAGTTTAGTCCCCTTACTATCTTTCAACCAAGTATGTTTTTCAACAATAATTACGCCAGTTACTTTTCGGTTAGCTGCAAATGATGGACTATAGCTTTAAATTCATAATGCTTTGCATGGAGACAGTTAGTTTGAAAACTGAAAATACAAAAACCAAGATATGGCTTGGTCAGTACTTACCAATCTGTGAACCAATCGTCCACATCTTCATGGGGTTGTAGTTGGAGGAGTTTGTCCGTCGGCCACCAGGGTAGATCCTGGTCAGGAAGCGAGTGTTATGCTCTACCATCTCCTGACCGCTGTTCTTAGCCAAATCAAAGGCTTTACTCTCACCAAGGGAGACCATCTCATTGCATTTGTCTGAAAACAAAACAAGGTCAGAACATAAATGACACAACATTGTGGTCAAATACAAATTATATTTGTCAATTTCTATATAAATTCATTCAAATGATGTAATTTTTTAGCCAATGGTTAAAGAGCTGTTCCTTCATGTTTCATTTTCAAGAGGTTTCTGCTCTTAGCATAAAACGATTTTCAGATAAACCATTTCTGGAGTGTATTTAAAAAAAAACAACTATTGTACAATAATTTATAAGGGAACTATGATGGAAAAAAAAAATATTTATTGACAACAGCCTTTGATTTGAATTTAATTTGTTTAATTTTACCGTAAGTGGGAGAGTCCTCACTTTGCTTTGTCTAAGTTTCAGTTGTTTTGGGGAAATAATGTAGTATCCAGACGCCACTTCAGTGGTTGTGTACAAAGTCTACGCCGAGTCAAGAAATAGTATTTCCTGACAAAAATGTTTCTCAGTCCCAGATTCATGTCTTTGTCAATATTTTTGCAATGACTGACCTTTATTGAGATGATATATGAAGAAAAAAATAGCATCAGGTTGCAACCTTCTTTCCATTTTTAGTAGAGAACAGTTTGTAGAATGACAGTCTTGCAAACACTGATTACATCTATGAAAATCGGAAAGACAAAATCAAGTAAAGACTCACGGTTTTCCTTGGAATGTTGAAAACTCTTGAAGTGGACACTCTTGCAGACGTTGACCAGGTTGGAGATTTCCCTGGCAAGTTTCAACTTAGACTGTTACAAAACAAATTACAAATTATCAGTCTTGAATTTAAAACTGTATGATCGTGTAAAGCTTGATCTTGCAAATAACAATGTATTGGTTGTTTGTCATAATTGAGTGACATAAATTCCTGCATGAAAAGTTAATTATTCAATAGCAATGGCAATTATTGGCACGATTTGGCAGGCATTACAGTCAGCATCTACTGCGCAAAAGCTTTCTAAGCACACAAAAAATAATGAAAAAAAAAAATCAACTTAACTAAAACAAGAACAAAAAAGAAAACAAAAAAGAACTAGAGGTTCGCGTTTGTTGTTACAAACGCAGAGTGGTCGGGCAGGCATTTTTGTTCATTAAACACTGCCGAGTTAAGTTATGAATAGTTTTATGTAAGAACGAAGGATCAAAAATTAAATCCTTTACAGTACAATCAATTATTTTTTGATAAAATTAAGTAAAACATTCTATGTACACATTTAAGTTATTTCTGGCTTGATGACGTAATTATCCAAAAACTGAAAGTGAATACTGATTTAGTTCGGAGTGGATACATGTTCATTGTGCGGAAGTTAAATAATGTATGAAAATATGAAAAATGTAAGTGTATGTATTCATAATATCTAACTTCCAGTTTCATCACGTCACAGTATTTGGAAGCATGCAAAAAGTGGACATTGTAATGGATATCGTTATTTGGGCTACGAAGATATTCGACATGGATCGAATGATATAAAATAGACTTAAAATGCGGGTCGTTTTCAAATTCTCATAGAAGTAACTTCCGGTCTGATGACGTCATGAATTTGAAACCTTGCTAAGTTATCTGTGGTTATTCAAAGAATATCAAGGGGCGATTTGATAAAATTTGAACGGATGGTTTTCAAATTAACGAAAGCAAACACTGTTTTATGTGTCGCTAGGGGGCGCCCTTTCGAAAGATGACGTCATCACACTGCGTTTGAGTCTGGCATTCCTCACTAAACACTTTCATAATCTATATGAGTGTAGTAAAATGAACCCGCTTTTGAGTTATATTTGGTATTTATTGCACTTCCGGTAACACCGGAAGTGAAGGTCAAGCGTTTTTTTGTCCGGGAACAAGAAATGTTTCTCACGGCATAGTCTACAACCTCACGAAAAAAACGAACACGATAATCTATTTAGTTCAAAAGATATAGTGTAAACTATTTGGTCAAAATTTGCCCTTAAATCGCTTGTAATTTGATACCCGATGACGTCATGCTGACGTAACAAAATGTATAACATCTTCGTAACATGGTACAAGTTCACACAAGGTTTTGTGATTGTACCGTAAACCGTTCGGAAGAAATTTTGCTTTGTTTTTATTTCAGGCTAACGTCTTCATTTTGAATTCATCTAACTTTGACCTTCCGGTAGACCCGGAAGTAAAGGTCAAGCGACTTTATGTACGCGACAAAAAATGTTGAGTAATTAATGGTCTATCTCATTACAGAATACAAACATCATTGATTATTTAGTTCAAGAGTTATAAGTGAAAGTAATTGGTCACTTTTCCACCTAAAATCACTTGTAATTTGACACCTGATGACGTAATCATGACGTCAGAGTAACATGCACCACTTCGGATGAGGGTCGATATATATTGAAAGTTACAAGTTCATACCATATACCGTTTAAGAGAAAACCCGCGGAGAAGTGTTGTCCGGAAAAAGAAAGAAAGAAAGAAAGTAAGAAAGAAAGAAAGAAAGAAAGATTAATCGTAACAGATCCAAAGAGTGGTCGGGTTGTGCCTGACCACTCAAAAAGCAGTATATGCATAAATGCAGCGGCATGGGTGTTTTTCAATTAGTATCCATAATGTACATTCAAAACCAAAAGACGTTTGATCATGGGGTATGACATACTTCCCTTAATGCTTGGGGGTTTGATTGTAACATAACATAATGACAATGTCACCGACTGGGATGACAAATGTAGGAATCTAGGATGGCGCTGTAGTGCTTATCTTGCCTCCCACTACTCTGACCATGGATCAAATCACGCCCAGCCCAACACAGGTTGGGTTTACAATCCCTGAAAGGTTCTGTCCTGGGGTTTTGCCCTCCGTTATCGGACTTTTTCATCCAACATTTAAAAAAACAAACACTTCACAAACGTCGTCCTTCCAGAGGTTTCTTCACTGAGACTTGCTCGAGCATGAAAGTTTGCTCTCATTACCGGTTCCATCATAACCGTGACGGTGTCGCAAGCTCCTGATATTAGCTCTGTAATTCAAGTCCCAAAAGGTACCTTTCCATTTACATGGGCAATGGTGCTTTTGAAAAATCCTTTATTTTATCAGAAATAATTGTGCCAATCAAAGGAACATCTGAAGTCATGGTTGGTCCAGAATCACTGTACTGGGGGTGTCATTTTTTATTTACTTGTGCGCTTTTCTATGGAGTTTTCCTCGTCCCCACCAGGTTCCCATATGAAAGCGCACATGTAAACAAAGTGTGATGTCATCAGTACGGAAGCTTATTCTTACCAAGCAGGTATGGGCTCCATGCGCAAACAAGAGAGGGCGCTTTTTTACCATGGGACACACCGAGTATAATGAAAAGCCATAACAACGAACACCGCTATAACATACGCCATTATAACAAACACTGCTATAACGAATGCTAAAGTAACAAACACCACTATAACGAACATATGACTATAGTATAAAGAACAGTCCCTCTGGCTCCCACAAAAATAAATTTTATTATAATGCACAATCACTATAACGAATGCCACTACAACGAACACTGCTATAATGAACGCCATTACAATGAATACCGCCATAACGAACGCCACTATAACGAACACCGCTATAACGAACACCGCCATAACGAACGCTACAATAGTGAACACCGCTATAACGAATGCCACTAACACAAACACCGCTATAATGAACACCGCTATAACGAACACCACTATAACGAACACTGCTATAAGGAACGCAGCTATAATGAACGCAGCTATAATGAACGCCACTATAACGAACACCGCTTTAACGAATGCCACTATGACGAACACCGCTATAACAAACGCCACTACAACAAACACCGCTATAAGAACGCCACTATAATGAACACCGCTATAACGAACACCGCCATAACGAAAGCCACTGCAAGGAACGCCGCTATAACGAACGCCACTATAACGAACACCGCTATAATGAACGTCACTACAACGAACACCGCAACAACGAAGTCCACTATAAAGAACACCGCAAAAACAAATGCCACTACAATGATCACTGCTATAACGAACACCGCTATAACAAATGCCACTACAATGAACACCGCTATAACGAACGCCACTATAACAAACATTTGGCTAATGCCCCCTTGACTTCCAAACAACTACATTACATTATAATACACAATAATATAATGTTAATAATTTATTTTTAGTATAGCATTTTACATAAAAATCTAAAAACACTTAAACCACATAAAAAGTAAAGTTAGTTAAAAAGTAGTAGTTAAAAATAAGACCTTTAAAAAAAGAACTGTCTTAAGCTGCAATTTAAAAATTCCCACATTAATGTTTCTAAAATAAGCTAAGTCTGTTCCATCAAATAGATGCATAGATGGTTAATCCATGATCATCATATGCCTTGCTGTGGACGAACCTTAGGATGGTTAAGCTTAACCCATCACAACTTTGAATGTGAATGTTGGACACCTGAACTGACATCAACTCTGTTAGGTACTGAGGCCCAGACTCACCACAGCGGACAAGTTTAACCAGTTCGCGCCGGGATTATTTTGACATTGACTGGATCCAGGCACAAGATTTCTTTTCATGAACCTCGATGCCAGACTGGTTCAGGCCGTCATCTGCGGGTAGCACACCCTGATATTTCCACCCTCGCTCGCTGCGAGCGGGTCGCAGACAGATATTTCCGGCCTCGCTTGTTGTGTGTTTATCCGTCATCCGTTCCGCATACCACAAAACCTTTGCGCGTATACACGTCATCCGACGTGAACTGGTTAAAAATAAGACAAAGGATCTTGAATTCAACCCGCACCGTAACCGGAGGCTCATCTTGTTCCTGAGGTATGGGTGTCATATCTGCATGACGATCCGTTTTTCTTCTGTTAACCAGTCGTGCGGCAGCATTCTGAATATGTTGCAATTTCTTGTTCTGATAATCGTATAAACCAGAAAATAAGCTGTTACAATAATCCAAGCAAGAAGAAACGAATGCATGTATTAGTTTCTCTATGTGATTGATCCAAAAGATTCCTAAGTTTACCAATCCGCCATAGTGAGTGAGACGCCACCTATACAGGATTCAATGCGTGTCAGCATAGTCAGCATGGGAGAAATACGAATCTGACAGTCATCTGCATATAAACGTGGCGCACTCCGAAGCTTACCCAACTTTCCTCGTGTAGTGTTGCCAAACCTCTTTGTTGACAAACCTCAAATTCATGCAGTAAACTACTGGTACTTTTACCTTATTAATGCGTGCTATTCAACCTCTGTGAACAATTTCGGTGTCATAAAATTTACTCCGAAATTCAAAAACGGTGGCGTCCGGAAATTGGGCACAAATTCGCAGAGTGTTCCCTAACATGGCGCACTTAAATAAATCTCGGAAAATTCCAAATTAACATTTAAGAATTTCTGTTAACTTGATAAATTCTGATAAATCATTATTATCTCTACTTACATACCCAGCCAGATGTTTGTCAGAAAATTGTTTTCTTATTTTTTCGGGGCATTTTTCAAGGGTTCACATTGCACTTGAAAATAAAACCGAAAAATCACGCCAAAATGAGTTTTTCTTCTAACTTTGTAACGGGTAAATAAACTCGCGATTTATGAACGAGAGTGTTTAGAACTTGATGAAATGTCACTTTCTGTGAAATTTCAGTTAAAACTTTTGCTCTAGCTACATGTAGGCGCTACAGGCGAAAAATCAAAGTGCGCCACGTTGGGGGCCTCGCCACGATCAGGTGCATCAACAATATAACAGAGTTTAGACCATGACGGGTGATAATGTCCTCGAGTGGATCCATATACAAGGAGAACAAAACGGGTCCAAGTACAGAACCCGTGGAACGTCTGCCTCTTTGACAGTATTGACCCAACTGACACCCTTTGGGTTCTCATTCTCAAAAAAAAAAGGTCAAAAACAACCAATCATAAACTTTCCCCCAATCCCAAAACGAATAACGAACGACCACTATAAGGATCATGTTTAATGGGCCCCATCGTGTTCATTATAGCGGTGTTCTACTGTATAGCGAAAAGTACGTACGGCTTATTTTATTCTGAACATGCACAAAGCCAAAGTGGTCTCCCCCAACTCTCCTTTTCTTGCCGTTGAGGGCGTATTTGTGCACGGAGCCCATTTGATTGTAACTAGTGGCACAATTATCTCTGTACACAAGGAATACTCTGCACAGTCACACACTAACATGGACAATTGAATACCTATCAGCAAAAAAATACACGGAAGTCTTTTCTCAAGGCCTATTTACACATACGCGATTTTGTCACGACGACTTTGTCGTGTGGCATTGTCGCAGACAAGTGTTTACAAATACGCCATATGTTGATTGTGCTGAGCATACTATTTACTGCTGTTGGATGAAATGTGCATTTTATGGATTTTTGTATTATAAGTAATCACAGCCGAGTGAACACTGAGCAGGTATAGATAACTGAAATAGCTTAAATGAAGTAGCAAGCATACTCTGTGTGCAAAACTAAATATTTGCTTGTTGTGACCTGTGATATGATAGTACATAATACTCATGAAGTGCACATATCTACCGGTACCCCTAGTTGTGCTGGAGGCGTTACATCACTATTACCCCTGCTCAGTGGGCCCATAAAACAATCAGCAGACCATCTCATCTCCCTGGGGAGTAAAAAACTTGATGCTGCCATTTTGGTAAGAGGCAGCCAAAATTAAGTAACCATCTCTGTCCTCACAGGTACCCATTTACTCCTGGGTGGGGAGAAGCAATGAGTGACAAAGTGCCTCGCCCAAGGGCACACACACGCCATAACCCCAGGCCGGACTCGAACCCACAACCTGCAGAACCCACAGATCTTTACTTGATGCTCCAGACCACAAGGTCATAGCACTCCACGAGATATGTAAGACAACATTTCTGCTATCAAACATTTCGTCAAAAGGCAGCCTGACCACGACGACAAAAAAAAACTAGACCGTCTAAAAGCAAAAGAAGTACTACAGAGGTGCCATACACTACAACTATGAAACAGACAGTTACATTACACTACAAGTGCAAAACGTTGGAGGCAAAACGTGGGAGGCAAAACCAACTAAAGACGTTACCTCAATACGGGATACGGAAGGATCATTGGTGGATATAAAATCCATCAATTGGGATAATCGGTCTTTGTTCTGACTTGGCTTGCGTTATCAAGAAGAAAGCAAGACAGGAAAATGTTAACGCATGCAAATAAGCAGGTTTTATATTAATCATAAAACAAAACATGAATATTCATAAGCAGTTGACAATTCTGAAAATGAACAACTCGCAAGATGCACATGCTCTAACTTGGAATGCAAGCACTCGAAGTAAGTCAAACTTAACAAATTAACATAGATCCACAGCAAACTGTGCTTACAATTGTAAGTCTTGAGAAGAGCGAAAGTGAAGAAATGCATGTTAATAAATACTTCTGCCATGTTAGACAATTTTGGCGAAACTGCAACTTTAGCACGTTTGCGCGTTGCTTTAGTGCGCAAGCATACGTTATATCACAAATCAACCACTACTTGACTAACGCGCGAATTTGCTGCTTGCCTGTCGTTTTGGTTGAATTTTTCCCTTAAAAAGGATGTAACAGCCTTCAGCATTGCTTACCATTTTTCACAATTTTGTACATTTTTTAAAAACATTTTTGCAGATATCAAATCATGAAAATATTAAGCAAAAAATATAAGTAGAATGTCCGTCAAAGACGTTGTTAAATAAAAAATGGGTCATGTTCTAAAAAAGGGAACATTTTTCTAAAAAAGGGAAAATTGGTTGCAAATGCTGGACATTTTGGCACAAATGAAATGCAGCCCCAGTCTCATAACACCTGAATGTTATAAGCGATTATTTTCAATGTTAATAGTGGCATGAAAATTAAAAGAAAAATTTTAGAAAGTGAGTGAGAAAGTGAACAAACCTGCCCTTCCTTCTTAGAGCTCTGTAAGACAAAGTGAAGTAGGTGTGGATGGACGGTGCCAGTGCAGGGAAGTTGGATTAAAACAAAAACAGAACACAGGTGTTAAACATTAAAAGGTAAAGTATGATTAAACTTTGAATCAAATTAGGTTTTGCCCTTCACCGACGTTTAAACACTGTATACTCAGTGTGTTACCTCCCGAGTGAAAGTTGGAAAAATCACTCGGGTGGGACTCGAACCCACGACCTCCTGCTTTCTAGTGCAGATGTCTTGCCACTCGACCACCGAGCTAGCAGGATCGATTGGCCGGTTCGAATCTGATGTACATAGCAGCGGGTACCACATAAACTATTATAAGATGGAATTTTTGCGCCGGGGTGATATAAATCAAATTAGGTTTTGATTTATATCACCCCGGCGCAAAAAATTCCATCTTATAATGATTAAATTTTGAAACATTTACTCCAGTGTGTTATTTCATTAGAAAGGTTTGGGGGATGTCTAATACTTGGTGGTAGTGAAGAGCATTCCGCCTTTTAGAATGGAAAAGTGATAAGATCCTTACACAAAAACTGTGGAAAACGGCTCGAAAGAAAAAACAAGGCAGAAACAGTATGCCCCTTCGGCTTCGTCGGTGGGGCATAAAAATATGTAACAAACACTGCAATAAAATTAATTTTTTCACAGCAATTGTACTGTCCTTAAGATTGGTATCATTTAGCCTCCCTCACAGATATCTTTGCCGTTGATATTAATTCTGACAAATTATTTTGGTTAGTGGAATAGATTACTTAGAAATAAGAAACAAGTTTTAAAAAGTGTAAAAGATGGGAAAGGGGTTATCTGTGAATGACAGTAAGCTCATGTTGAGACAACTTACATCGAAAACAAACTTTGTAACTATTTAATTGGAAAATGTGATTTATCATCTAAACCAAAACAGGAAACTGACTAGGTGAGTACCGGATTATTATACTGAACAAAGAAATTGGAAAATGAAACTGCAAATTTCGGAATATTGTTTCCCGTGATCTGGAGGCCACAGGCTGATATCCCACTCTGGCCAATTTCTTTATTCAACCTAAGAATTGTTTAATAAGGGAATAAACGTGTGTTTGGTCGGTATTAAACACTCTGTTTAAGACCAGTTGGAGTCTGGATGGGTGATAATTACCCGAGGCAAAGCTGAGGGTAATTATCAGCACTCCAGACTCCAACCAGTCTTAAACAGAGTGTTTAAAACCGACCAAACACATATTTATTCCCATTCATAAATACCTTTTCGGTCAAAGTAACAAATCTTTTCGGTCCAAAATTCAAACAAGTCAAAAACTAGACGTTGCCAACCATTTTGTTCAACAATTTTTCTTCATGGTTGATGAAACACCCCTCTGACAATAATATAGGATGACCCTCTACAACTCGTTACCTTATAAGGACATTGGCGTGCGTGTCGCGCGTACTGCGCGATGTCGCACAAAACGCAGCTGGGCTGGTGTGGTTTGAATTTTGGACCATTAATACTGATTCACTGGTAGAATTGTGCATGCCCAGGTGAGGAATGTGAACGTTCAACCGATGAAACGTTAAAAGGCACCGGATTTCATGGGAGTCCAAATTTCATGTGACACTGGAAAAGTGTTTAAGACCAGCTAGCCGTGTCTTTATCATCCATTTAAGACCGGCCACGTGACGGGCTCTCGACCAATAGGAATGAATAAACTGTATAAGGTATTCATGAATTCAAGTTAAAATGGAGAAATTGAAAGAAGCATTCCAACCTTCTTGTCCTTTTTAGCCAGTTCTTCTTGGAATTCCGGATCGTTGGATTCCAACTCGGCCGCTTCATCCTCATCACTCACATCGCCGTCATCTTCTTGAGTAGTCTCAGCCGCAGCCGGTGCCGGTAGCTTCTTGTTCTGTCAGACGTAGAAAACAAAACACTTACAAAGTTTAACTTGTCATTCACCCTTCAACCCATACATAGGCCAACCTACACATTTTTTTCCAGATATCATCAGGGTTTTTTGTTTTTTAGTGCTAACCCTTCATGAGTTTGTAAACTGAAATCTTGTTGAAATTGTTACACAAATTTCATTAAAGGTTTCAACTTTTACTAGATGATGGAGGAGATGGATATTTATTTCCAGTACCATACTATATCTATTTCCTTGTAAAAATGGTGCCAATATTCAATGCACATGCAAAAGTTGTTAAAAAACTAAAATCTAAACAGACACACACATGGATTGTACCCAAAATTTCCAAATGCTTTGACTGAAACATCCAGTGAGATTTTTTTTTTTTAAAGACGTTTAGACGTAGACATCATTTTCGATAAATTTTCCCCAGGTTTTGTACCTTGACGAGTACTTTCCCCTTCAGGTCCTCAGGAGAAGGCAGAACTGTCTGCTCCGATGTGATATCCTTCATGTAAATCTTATCTGGTTAATCTACAGTCAAGGAACACTATAATTGAATACATCCTTTTTGGTATAAATTTTCTCATTAACCATAAAAGGCCTGGGCCCAATTTCTTGGCTCTGTTTACAGTTAGCGAAAAATCCCTGCTTACTATAGCAGGAAATTATGTGCTTACGGTAAGCGTATTGCACCCGTTGGCAAGGAATTTGGGCTTATGCGCATGCGTACATCCCTGACGTCTCCTGACGATGACTAGGGCAGGCTAGTCGAAACGTTGAGACCAAAGACAAGTTCTTTTAGAACTTAAAGCAGGACTGTTCTTATCAGAACAAAAACTACTCTGTGAAAGTTGATAATAAGCAGGACAAGTTCTTTTCAGAACTAAATATCTGTAGGAAATGCACTCTTCAAAAGTGTGGAATATTAATGATCATTATTACAAATCTTTGATTAAACTAAAACTCTGAAGAGCACAGATTTCTCAAAAAATGAAATTATTTTTCATAACATTGAGTGATTTGATTTTATGCAGGGTGTGGAATAGCGCTGGTATTTTCAGGAAGCTGTGTCCTGTTTGTGGTTGGTATTTTCAAGGATACCGCCAAACGTTGCCTTGATGTGGTGTGCCATGACCTTCTGCTGCTCGATGCTACAGTGATTCTCCAAGGATAATATCAATGGGTACCTAGCAGGAAGAAGGGAAATAAACGCAGTACACAATCGGTTGTTAACTTGGTGCAAAAAGGGCAAAATTTGCCCAAAATTAATTACCTTAAAATCAACATACGTGTATATCGACAGATGACGATTACGAAAAAAGTGGTAAACATGTTTTTTTGTCTGAACTTGTGCAAAGTGCTAAATTTCCCAAAAAAAATAATACAATAACTCATAATTCTGAACTAATGTTCATACTGAGGTAATATGTCGCCTATTATTTATGAGCTCAAGTAAGATTCTAACTTTCAAACACTCTTTCAAAAATGTCAGAAACAGAGTTAAAACGCATATAAAAATGTTGCTTTTGAGGTCTTGTCGATAATCAGTATCTAAAAATCTTATTTATGAGAAGAATAAATTCTCAAGTAGTTTCAGTTCATTTTATGGTGCTTTGTCTCACTTGGCCATAGTAAAATGTTTCTTTTATGTTAAATTCATGGAACTTGAAAATAGGATGCAACACTGACCGTGTGTATAAAATGAAAACCCTTTTTCAGATGGTTTCAGAAGCCCAAAATCAGAATAAAGAAGTATTTTTTGTTTTTGTTAAAACGAAACATACAATTTAAAAATTCATCAGGAGGGAAAATCCAAATCCATTGCTTGAAGAGCATGAAGTGTGCATCTTTAATCAAGACTTTTGTTATTCTTGAAGTTTTAATCATGTTTCGATACACAGTGGACATTACAGAATGCGCTTACTCTGACGTTGCGAAGGCGTATTTTCCAATGGCCTCCATTGCATCCTTGAACTTGATCTTGGAGGTGAGTGTGTGACCGTGGTAGACAACAGGCTCCTTGTCGGAACCATCCCAACAATCCACTACAAAAATCACCAGAAAAAATCCATCAGGCAAGGTGCATGATTATATATTTCTATAATAACTTAAAGAGAATATACAACATTTGCAAACGTCGAAAAACAAAACTACCAAATTCTGAAGTCTTTTTGAAGAAAACTTGTATTGTTGTATTAATTTCCAACGGTGGTCAGCCGACCACCGTTGGAAAAACCTAACTAGTTTTCAACTACTGCTCCATATTTACCAATTTTTTTTTTTCAGTTCTAATTTTGTTTTCTATTGGTTACATGTTCATGAACAGGTGCAGGCCAGCTAGACTGGTTCCCTTACCTTACAATTTTCCGGCATCTATAAATTGATCCATTTCATCTTTAGTGGAGACAGGGAACCAAACAACTTGAACATTTTTGTTTTTCTTGGTTTTTCCAGCATTTTCGAACAAAAAACTTCAAACATGTCAGAGTAACAATATTTGATCTATTATACTAACCCCTCGATTAGTTCATTTCTGAAAATTACAGCAAAAGCCAATGATGTACATTCCCTTTAAACTGTACAAGGAATTATAAAAAAAAAACATACATTGCCTTGGTAGAAAAGAACTTTTCCATCTTAAATAATCACAGGACTAGTGAGGGTTTGCTGTAACATCATGTGAAAGAATCTCTTTTGCGAAGATGTGTGGTTCTGAAAGAAACGGTTGGTTGTGAAACTCGACTGAGGGGTGACTTCTTATGTGTTACATGCATACAGTAGCATTTGGAAGCATTAAACTCCATCTGCCATTTTGATGAGTCACTGCTATACTTACACTCCACACATCTACAGCCTCTCTGCAAAGCTCGCACATATGCCTCAGTGCTGCTAGGCCCTCGTAGCTGATCCTTCATCAAATAGCTGTGAGTAGATAGGATAAAACAACAATAGCAACACAAAATCATCCAATGTGGGTGAGGTATCCTACTGCCGTTTCATGAAGAATAAAACCCGTTTCAGGTCCCAAAAGAATTTGAAAGGGAAATGTGCACTTTGCAAAAATTTCCTTCATGCAGCATTTTATACAAATGTACAAAAAAAAAAGACACCTTTAATTTCAGGTACGATCAAGTTTTTACCGTGATTCTTCATTAAGCATTTGAGAATAAAAAACCCTACATTATAAAAGAATAAAAACTAAATGAATAAACAAAATTCAGACAACTATTTTTTTGCCATCCTCCCAGATGTGGGGAATAATGTGAAACACTTTGCTGCTAGGTTCTGAGGTACATGTTCATGTACACTACAACCTGGGCCCAATATCATAGCGCTGCTTAACACTAACAGCCCATTTTGTGCTTACCGAGCCTCCATCTATTTCATGGAGACCGCAAACAGTAAGCATAGCAAAAGCAAGCTTAACCCAGAGGAAAAAGTTGCTTAAATCAGTCACGTAACAATGACGTATGTGTGCAACCGTTAGCACGTTCCCGCCATGACATAGTGCTTAAGCAGCAGCTTGATTTTCTGCTATAGTAAGCACAACTTTTCTGCTAACTGTTAAAGCCAGAGTCAATCATTTGCAGCTATCCAAAAAGTAACTGGCGTATTTATTGTTGAAAAACATACTTGGTTGAAAGATAGTAAGGGGACTAAACTCCCTGTGAAATAATTCTTCTGGCAAGCCGTAATTTTGAAGAAATCAACAAAAGAAGGCCTTTCCAACAGTGCTTCTTAAGAAGCACTGTAGGAAATTCAAATTAGTAGTTCGTTTTGTTATTCGGCGAAGCGCGCGCAAGCATTGGCACGACGCACACGCGGTTGCTATAATTCATCGGATCAGTGCGTGACATCGCGTAGCTGCATTCGGCTCAGTGAGAACGTGTCTCCGACGCTGAATTCAGGCCCAATTCAAAACATGATTCAGCAACTTCTGATTTGAAATCGAGATCCTAGAATGTTGTTTTTCTCGAAATATACAGCTAAAGCTGAGCTGAAACTTCATCAGGTTAGTTGTTCAGCACCCTTCTTTAGATCTTGGGCACTTTTGTTGCTTCAAATGAACAAAATGCCCAAATTACAAATGATGGACTACCGGTATATCTTTAAGCAGCAGCATGATTTTCTGCTATAGTAAGCACAACTTTTCTGCTAACTGTTAAACAGCGCTATGAAATTGGGCCGTGTATACTGCAATGTAGAAGTCGAGTCCATCACGAGTCCATCACGAGTCCATCACGAGTCCATCACAACTCCTTCAGTCTCGAGTCACGCCACAAGCTCTTCAAATGAACTGGGATAAAGGCATTCTTTCTTTCCTTTTTTTTTCACCCACTGTTACTTGTGAAGCGACTTGTGATTTACTTATGACAGGACTTGCGATTTACTTATGACTTGCGATGGACTTGTGATAGACTCGACTACAGCATCGATATATCTTTGCAACTTAATAAGGTGGAAAGCCTATTTGTCAAGATCATGCATGCTCACGTGTTGTGCGAGGAGTTGATGAAGTAATGACAGAACGGCTGTTTCATGTCCTGGTAGACGGTGCTGTGAAACGGGTTGAAGAGCAAACCATTGGCACCCTTCATGAACAACTGGAACCCTGCGTGTGTGCACAGAAGAGTGTGAGGGAAACGGGGGAAAGTGGTGTGCAAATAGTGGCAAGGCACCAGACTATACTGAGGTCTCAGACAAAAACTGTTGGAAAACAGCCTCCAAATCTTCAATTGATTCTACAACCGTAAACGCATGACGTGATGAAAGTTAACAAAAAGTGGCCACATTGGATAGGTGATTTAGTTGACCTGGCCACATTATACAGCCACATTGCAAGTAGAACTGAAATGAGTTGATAGATTTTAATTTAGCTGCTCTGAGTGAAAACTGCTATTCAGCGATTAATTTTAACTGAGGAAAAATGCTGATCACACCTACAAAAAAGGAGGCCGTCCAACAGTTTCATCTAAGATTGCACACAGTACTGCTTTGATAAAGACAAAGAAACCAACGAAAGTGGACAAACAAACCTGCAATAGTTCCAAACATACCCATTTTAAAATACATTTTTTTGGGGGGGGGGGGAGGGGCTGGGGGAAGGGGTGTCATTGTCAACCACCGTTTTAAGGTTCTGTCCACGGATCACAAAAAAGGTGTGCGTTCTTTCAGCAAAATGAAAACAATTCACACACATCCCTATGTGATCCCTATGTGATTTAAAACGGTGGTTGTGTTTAAAATTCCGTAACTTGAAAAGTACATGAGTGATTTGAATGCTTCTTGTACTAAAAGAAAGCTTTCGAATTGGGTTTTCATGTCCTAGATTTTGAAAGTGCTACATGCAAGACTTTACTAAAACAATGGTAATTCAGTAAACACTACTGAAAACAAACACCATAAAATCATTGAAGAAAAATCTGGAGTCATGCAATGTACACCAATCCAATGTTCCAAGAAAGACCTGTGTCTACAATTGTTCTAAGTGTCTTTATGGATTGGAGGGGACAATTAACCAGCAAAAATACAAACCATCAAAGCTGAGAATGTTACGCTTGCGGCAATCGTCCGACGGCTCATACTTCTCGATGATTTCCTTGCACCATGGGGCTTTGATTTGAAATCGCTGGAAAAATTGGAAGCATCAGAAAAAGAAGGATAACAGAAAGGGAATTTTAGCTGATGGTAAAAAGTGCCATGATATTGTGCATGCATTACCCCCAGTTTCCACTAGGACATACCTTCATTTCTTCATGCATGAACTCCACAAACTCTTCCAAGGTCCAGTAGTCATCCTCCCCTGAGTACCTAACCAAGCACAAGAAATAATGAAGTGAAAGGGTGTTAATGCATTACTTCTTGGCTAATTGCTGACACTGTGTGTGGACAGCTTCGCCTTGGGAGATAGTCCCAATCATCCAACACCCCGGGGGCATTAGTTTTCACTATTTCCCCACAAACCATGTTGTATATTATGTGCTTGCCTGCATTTGTCAAATTTCATACCACAGAATGACCCAGTGCAGAAATGCAATAGAATGGCATTAAAGTTCATCGTTCCTTTTTTCCTTCCTCATTCATTTTTACCATAGGATGGCCACTATGTGCACTAGTTGGACTTCCCTGCTGGTCCACTGGGCCCCAAAAACACCAGCCTATGAATATTCATTGTTCACCAGAAAAAGAAAGAAAGTACACTTTCACTCCCTTCCCTGCTTGTAATAAGAAAAATGTTGCATTAAAATATCACTTTTGAGCTACATGTCCATCAGTGCTTTGAAAAAGTGACAACTACATTTGTACCTTAAGTACATGTATACATGTACATATACATGTACACACAAGAACGATATTGTGTTGGGAACACAGTGCACATGTATGTAGGCCTACATTGTGTCTTTTTAGCAAAAAGTACATGTATGAGTGCTTGGTAGGGTGAGTTGAGTGCATGAACAGTAGTGCTGTGTAGGCTGCATGTTTTCCATACCTCAGAAACTAACTTGGGTACATTTCAGATCCTGCACCCTGTGTGTCTGTTAACTATAGTACAAGCAGGGTTGACGATTGAAATCTGGAGGCAAACCGTGTGTAAATACATGATACTGTCATTGCCGGTACATGTCATAGATGAAATGAAAGTTATAAGATGACAACTGAGCTTCAAGTCATTACATGACAAGGTAATCTAGTTCCTTCGTTATCCAAATCTAACTCAGGAAAACGTAAATTTGGGTCTTGTGGAGTTCATTCTTTTAATAACCTCCCTGCGACACTTAAACATCCGTTGCCTCCCACTCTTGCCAGTTTTAAGCGCCTCTACATGAACCTGACAGTTTAATATTATATGGTACATGTATGTCTTGTTTTTGTCTTTTTACTGCGAATGTAACAACCATGATTAATCTTGTCTCATTGTACTGCATATCAATCTTCTTAATTATATCTTTGTAATGTTTTTAATGCCTGTTCTATTTTTATACCATTGTATGCTTGTTGTAACTGCTGGGCACCTTTGAAAAACAGTGTTCCACTGAAAGGTCTCTCCAGGATAAACAAGAAATAAATGTAATGTAATAAAAAAAATGTAATTAATAAAATTACATCATGGTTACGCTTAAGGATGCAACAAGTGCAGAACCTGTTTAGACTTTGGAGAGGATCAAATTGAAGTTTCCATTTGTTTGAAATGTGGTAAATGAAAGCAGAACATTTTACACATACATGTATGATAACCAGGTGTGGGGCAGTGTAATACACAGGCGTGCACACATAATTACAATCATTTGTAGCTGTTAAGGATCCATTGGTCATACCGGTATGCTTCACCTGCCAAATATGATGAATGAATTCAGCGTGTTGGCCACCGGTATCAAATGAGGGGAATAATCGTCATAGTGATTTTTGGCAAGGTATACACCTCAAGAGTTGTAAAATATGTGATAGCATTGCAGCGGTGGCAGCTTTTTGGGTGTTATCACCCTTTTTTTCAAAATGTCCATCAAAATGCTTGTTACCACTCTAGGGGCGGTATACCTTGCGCATGCGCACTATAATCATTTATGCCCTGATCTGATACTGGCCAAACCTCCAGGCTGATGGCCTATTAGATTTTTGAGAAGAATTTAACTCTTATGACTTGTGAATCTTTCAAAATTATTTCAGTACAATTAATTAACAAAAAGTGTTATGATTTAATATGTAGCACTGTGAAGTCAATGCCACTAAATAAACCAAGGGGAAAAAAACAAACCCATTTAGAATTCCTAAATTGTTGGCATACTTTGAATACCCAGCCCCTATTCATTCTCAGTACGTTTTCGCATGGATTCCCCAGCCTACACACTTTATCTACCGGTAGTAAAGTAATTTTTCTCAATGGTTTATCAAGCATGACTAGATCACACAGTGCCTGATGCCATTAACTGCTTGCAGGTCAGTCAAGCAGAGAAGGTCCCAAAAGAAATTCGTGTTTTGAAGGCTGAGAATACAAACAGGCCTATTGACTGCAGTTTTGCTGTCCTTTTTAAAGGCAATTTCAGTATTTACATGTATCGCCTACTCATATTGAAATCAACAAGAGTCCAGTGGAACCAGGTCAGATAAAAAACAAACAAGTTGTCAACCAGTTTAAACACTGGTTGACCATAGCTTTTGGATTTTCTATCCGGTTAGAGTCTCTCAATCCTGGTCCTGAGTGACCAGGGTTGGATTTTACCCACGTAGAGCACCAAACTCAAGTAGAAGCCATGTTGGATTCTTGCTAATGTCAAAGGATTTCCCAAAAACTTGAGGATCAGCCTGAGTCCAACATTTTTATAACAAAGTTAATTTGCTTCAGTTTTTGGCAGGAATTCATGGAGGACCGAGACGTATTCTTTCCTCTACCTTTCTTTGCTTTCAGAACAACATTTAGGAAACGTCAAACTTATGAGTTTTTGTGAACAGTAAATTTAGCAGATATCTTAAATTCTGCAACATTGGGATATAGCTGACAATGGCGGAGGTCATTGTTATACTGACCAGTTACAACTTCTGGAGTCACAATTTGTTTATGTTTTACGTCAGTTCCATTCATGTATTACTTCTTGTCCTTGAGAGTCTGATCAGTGATTAAAGGGACACTAGGTCCTGGAACAGCCCAATTGGGCTACAAAACGCGCTTTAAACAAAATGATTTTAATTGGAAATAACATTTAAAAGTAGGATTTAAACATCCACACAACTATCCTTTCAAAACTGGGCGTTTTTGTGTAATTCCTGTATTCTGCGTGCGAGAACGAATTTTGGGGTCCACTTTTGCGACCCCATAAATTCGAGCTGTTTGGATGCTAGTTATGATTTCATTCGTGAAGTGTTCGTCTTTTGCGGACATTGAAGAAACCACTATTTTTGCATTGGTGATTGGTCACCGCTGTTCCCGAGACACACAACGTTTATATCGTACACTGAGAACAACACGAAAAATGTATTCGTGCTCCGCCTCCGATGTAAACAAGCGGTTTTTTTGGGTCTTTTCTCAGGAATGGTAAGACATTAGGTTGGTTTCCTTTCAACCAGATGTTTGAAATAGGCTATCGGTAAGTAAACAATCCAAAACATGAAATTTTCGAGGATTTCAGGACCTTGTGCCCCTTTAAGCATTACTCTCTCTCAGGACTGAAGTTAGAGGAAACAAGGAATATATGAGGTGAACCAGCCAGCTGACCCCGGCAAGCTCGGTGGTCAAGTGATAAGACATCTGCACTAGTAAGTAGGAGGTCGTGGGTTTGAGTCCCACCCGAGTGATTTTTTTCTCAGGATCACTGGGGACAACACTGAGTATACAGTGTCTTAAAAAATGTTGGTGAAGGGCAAAACCCAATGTTGAATGTACTGGTATTGCATTTTGCAAGTTAATCCCATGCAATCAGGATTAAAAAAAATGGCCCTGGCAAGAATCAAATCGGGGTCACCAAAGGTGCAAATTAAGGGAAGAACCACTGCACCAACCCGATCGCCTTACATGAAACAATAAGTGAGCTTTACTTTCAAACCTGGCAGTTGTTGTAAGCAAATGTGCAATGGTCTGTACAAAACACTAATAACGGGTGCATCATGTCATGCGCCATCACTGGACAGAACTACATGTAATAAAACAGTATTGGCTGGCATGATTGTGCTCAGGGGAAGAGCCTCGATGTTGTTTGACTTTCTTTATGGATGACAAATGTATGTATCACACAATGAGAATGCAACACACAAAGGCATTGAGTGGAGGTTGAATGATATGCACATAAAATTTGTGTATGTGACGTCCATGAAAAACACTACCAATGTCAAATGTTATTAATAACAGGAGGTTCAGCTGCAATAACAATCGTCATGAAAGGCAGTTCAGAGAAGTCTTTGTATCAGTCATTTGTTTTAACCGACAGCTTTGCAAATTTGATGCCTGAAAGAAAATTGTCACTTTCACTTATTAACACGTTTTACTTTTACCATCAGATAAACTGAGCACATCTATCATTGAATTGTGTTACAATTTATAAGACAATTATAACCAATTTTTTTTATCGAAAGAACCTTTGACATTTTTTGCATCATACCAGTAGTTGCCTAAAGCAGTCAACAGCATCTATCAACAAGATCTGCTTGGACAGTAGTAGCAGCTTGTAATAATGACAATTGATGTCAGTGGGGGATAACTGATGAGCCGTATGAGCTTCAGAAACCTTCAATACTTTTTCCTGATGAGTTTTTCTCATATTACAATGGTCACCATCCATAAAATTACGTGTCTGTAATATGAAGCTTTATTAGGACCTAGAAATGTAAGGAATTGCTGAGTGTTATGACAATGACAATATACAAATAGGCTGACATGTGGAAATGTTATTCTTGACACAGCTTTGGACGACTGAAGTAGGCTCACATTGGAGTCTTTTCTTTCATTGGGGGGGGGGGGGGTGTTATTTATGAGGTATTTCTATAGATGAGATCTTTTGGAAATTCTCTGAATATCTGATGGTTATATTCAAAATTGGCACAAAATTTAAGAAATCCTTAAGTGAACTTTATTCAAAATTTCAAGGTCTGAAGATAAACTTTTGTTTGAAGGTGTTTACAAACAAACTGACAAGCTAAGTTTCCCTCTGAATGTCCCCTTGGAGAGAACATGGGTGCACATTCAAAGACCAACTTCACACAAATTTCTGGAAGAAAATTAGTAGCAAAAATACAAGAAGAGACACATCAAGTTGTCTCAACTAACAAAAAACGCAAAGTTAAACAACATCAACAAAATCACAGTCCAATTTTTTCCACAATCTGACACGCCCCCATCTGGTCTGTAGTGGGCTTGTTTTGACAACAGTAACATGAAACACACCCGGTGATTCATTGGGAGTTCCTGTTGCTATAAATGGCACAGTCCGGTGACCGAGGCACAAAAGCAAACACTACAAGCTCTAAGCCCTGTCCACACAGACCCCCACAGACTAAGAAGATTGGATCCTTCCCCTCAATTGGCAAAGGAATTGCTATGAAATATGATGGGAAAAAAGGCATCTACAATAGCATTGGCCAACAAAATAAAGACTATCTTTTTTTTCTTGGAGCATCGAAGCTATACTTGTAAATCTGATTGTCCATGGGAATATTTAGTGACCATTACCAAATGTTGAGAATTTGGTGCAGAGAAATACCCCCTCCCCCCAAAAAAAATTAATAAATATATAAAAAAGTAACTAAAATTAGCCAGAAGCTCATATAATAAAGGTTTTGACCCGTCTCAAAACTTTCAATATATGTACATGTAAAAAGATATTCTCATATGAAATCCTCATTGTATCACAAATATTTAGGTGCTTAATTCTCATGAAAAGTAGTTGAAAGTACACCTCAGCTAAAAGGCAGTATCTTGTCCGACCTATTCCTTTCATTTCAGCCTGTTGCCAGTATAACATGCTAAGCCAAACCCTGCATACATGTACATGTACATTCAGCAATGAGTTCTACTCCCATGACGTCACCACCCACTTTTCAGCTCCCCAACCAAAGTCTTGCAGGAAACCCCCAAATTATCCGCCCATCTCCCTGCGGAAGCCGTGGGTGCTATATGCACCCTTTCATTCATGGCCTATCCTCCCACATACACGTACTCAGTCAATGGACTAGACCTTAAAAGGCAAGATTAAATGAAAAGCCCTAACCATGAATCACTGCTGTCACAAAGCTCACTTTGCTGTGACACTAAATGGGACGCTTCAACCATATCCTTAACCATTGGAGTTGTTTCTGTGATCAGGAATGCTGTTTTTCCAAGTTTGGAGGCCGGTTCATACATGTACTTTATGCAAATGCAATGCGATGTTGATCTCACAAGCATCTGCTGCGAAATTCGCCGGAGTTGAAATGTTTTTGACTTTTGCGAATTCGCAGCGCGAAAACTTGATCTGGCGGGCGTCACAAATTCGCATTTGGGTTTGCTATCGCGCCGAGTACGAACCGGACTTGACACAAGGGTTTTGGATTTAAAAGGGTTTTGGATTGAAAAAAAAACATGCTCTCAATTCCTTTGTACATTTGAACTTTGTGCAGCTCTCTACTGAAGTGTTGTGGTGAAGGAAGGGGCACATGTCTGGTGCAGACCAGAAAAAAGGCTTTGGAGATAAGGTCTTGGGAAAACCAAGTAAAATGTAAAAATGTGCAGCCTACTGATATGTTTTAAAGAAGGGTACATCTACTTTTCACGTGCATTTTTGTGCTCCCCACTATTGCAAGATCTTCCGTACAATGTACAACAGCACAGGAATGGGTATATTTGTGCATAAAGTGAAACTATTTGAAATCCTCTGATGAATTTGATCAGAAATTTGTACTTACAAGTTGCCAAATAGTCGTTTACCTGGTCTAGATGCATCAATTTATTGAAAAATAAGTTGTTAGTATAGTGCAAACAATACCCCCAGTATGTGTCAGCTCTGTGTGCTATGTGGTGATACTGATTAGTTTTTGAGACCACAAATGATTTGGAATATACTCTGAACTACCCAAATCTCGAGATCATTTTACTTTTGATAATACCGATGCCAACATTTCTGTGTCCATTAAATCAAGTTTTATTAAAGGAAGAAAAACTAATGCAGCACAATAATATGCATTCCATATTTCTGTTTTGGTATAAAGTTATGTCTTGGAAAAGCCCTGTGAAGTGTCATTAATTATTAAACAGAGCTGACACATGAACATATTACTATTAAGAAAATGGTTATTAGCATAGTAGTTATTTCAGGTGTTACACAGCGATATTTTTTCAAACTAAAGCAACATGTTAGTTTCTACTGGAGTTTGTTTCCTTAAAATATGCATCCATCTATAGATTTTTTTGTTTTTTTTCTGGGAGGGATTTGTGGCTTTAAAAATGGAAACATTTTGGGCACTATAAAGGGAATCAAGGATTAGTATATTAAAAGTAATATCGAGAATGTCAAGAGTGGATTCGTATTTCTGATTTTTCAAATCACCTGAGAACCTTTGGTCCTCCAATTCAGGCTCAAGACTGAACTCATATGTACAAAGGAGATGTTAGGAGCAGGGGAAGCGGGTATTTTTTTAAATGGAGGAAACAAAACAGAAAGTTGTTCTTACTCTTGAAAGACTTTGACTAGTTCCGGTCTGCGGGTGACCATCCGGTAGAAATTGATGAACTCTTCGGCATCCAGAGCGTTGGAGACCGTCTTGCCCTTGGCATCTTCATGCGTCCGCACATCGGCTTTCTGTTATATAATTGGCAAAGGTCAAATGTCAAACTAATGAGCTCAAAGGTATGCATACAAAATCAAAGAAACAAATGCGTTAAACATCCTTTCAAAAACCAGAAACTTCTGTGCAGAGCTTGAATGGAGATATAAAAACACAACATGGGCGCGACCTTTTCATGGCTTTCAGTTTTTTACAAATTTGTAATTTTTCAATATGTCTAAAATATCCTGTCAAAGTTTCTGATTGAAATTTTACCTCTTAAGGTAATGTTGTTGGATGATTTGTAGAGTTATAACAATTCAAGAAAATGCACAACCTAAAACTTTTATCAGGCAATTTCTGTATTTACGTCTGCACGAAAACAAAATAGGCATTATTTGGCCAAGGAAAGTTGGCTTCATCAATGACCACCAGTGTAAAGGGGGAAATCTACTTTTTAACAACTCCCAAAAATGGATTTTCTACCAGATACCCAGAAGTGTCTGTTTTTGACAGAAAGCATCAATCTTTAGGGTTTACTGTGAAACTGTCAAGCTTTGGTAGTGGATGTGTCAATATTTTCACTCAGTCCTATATCATGTCAAACTTGTTGGCCTCACTTTGAACTTGGAGAGATGAGGTTCTTATCTTTGGCAATGGTACAATTTGTGCATCTGATGAGGTTTATTGCTGCTAACACGTTGGTGGCCTACAACGAGTCTTGTTCATGTAGCTTGATATAGCTAGTTTTAGCAGTCATTTGAATGTTTGGATTGGTTGGCCCAAGTATAAGTTTACACAGCAATTGTGTCGACAAAGTTAATAGGTTGATAGTATTTGCTAAAAGCAAACACAACCAGACTTAGGTGAAGTAGAAATGTTGGTTGGAGTGAGGGGTAGGAAAACACAGAAATGGGTAGGGCTGTTAAGGATGGAGAAAGAAATCATGGAAACGACACTCAAAGTTTGGGGAGAATTGGCGCTACCTTGAAGTGTCAACACATGAATTCATTCAGGATTGAGTTATACATGTATGCCCTTCACTGACATTATTTCATAAGCATTATACACTTGGTGACATCCGAGGAATTGCCAGAAAACTTCACAACTTTACTTGGGTGGGACTTGAACCCACGACCTCCTGCTTACTAGCGCAGCCGTCTTACCCCTCCACCATCGAGCTTGTCACTCAACAGCCCAAATCAATGTTTGTGAGTTGAGCCTATCTATATTAACTATATCTATCTATATTAACTCCCTAGGCCTTTTTGCTAGGATGTAGCCTCAATCCTGCAAAATCCTCCAATTGGCCACATGGAAAAATAGCATATATAGCCTCAATCCTGCAATTTCCTCCATTATTTCTTGAATGTGGTCTGTGGAGAGGTGACCACTGCCTGAATCCTGCAAAATCCTGCAAAAAGGCTGAGCATAAACAACACAAGGTCCGGCCCAAGACATTGACACAGTGCGTCCTCCGAAATTAGCAACGCACTTGGCCATGTAACCTCAATCCTGCAAATTCCTCCAATTTGCAAAAAGAATTTTGGAGGATTTGGGATGGTTAGGGTTAATAAACTAAATTAGAGGACTACCTCAAAGAGTTTCTTGGCGTGGTTCTTGTCCATCTTGACATTCATCTTCTTGAGGAGTTTCAGGCATTCCTCAAAGTCTACTGAGCCATCCTGGTTCCTGTCAGCCTTCTCAAAGGCCTCCCTGATCCAACTATGGTTCCAAACAGGTCAAGGATCATTAAACAAAAATCATTTTTCCAATAGGATTCAGTACAAAAACTTGGGACTCCTTACTCCTCCATATGAATTGAAGAGTTATGCTCAGTCGGTTCCAACAGAAACACACAGACACACAATTACAAATGGCAACGACACAATGACAAACTCCTTGAAGTAATTTTATGTACATGAGCCACTGGCATGCAGCTTGTAAGAGAAATTTTAAATCTGCAGGAAACCAGTTGGATATTCTTGGTACTGAGACTTTCAAGGGAAAGATCGAGCCCAAGTAAAGTATATATAATGGCTTGGCTAATTTCCTCAAGCCTGATAAAATTTTCCAAAACCAAATTTTGAAGGAACTGGGAAGTTCAGGGTTAAAGGTACACTGTAAGTTTAAAACACACTTTCTACTTTCAAAGGAGTCATCGATCCCAGTAGCCCCAGCAATCTCAAAGGATCGTTATCTCGGGTGGGGTAAATTTACATTATTGGCTTACTTTAGACAAAGTAGGGGAAGTTAAATGATAGATATTTTCCATGTGGCAAACATAGTTTTCTAGAGGGGTGCAACTTCTGTTCAGCAAAGTGAATTCTACAATGTTCCAGTCAGTGTGGGGAAGTGCCACCCTTAGGTACATGTATACCCAGTGAGACTGTGTTCACCTTCCTAAATCCTTTAAAAACAATCCTCAAAATCTTTTGGTTGATGCCAAAGGATCTGGCCGGGATAACGGTTATTTAGGAAACTTCAAGTCAAAGGATACACAGCTTGTTTGTCTTTGACATTGATGTTCTGAGACTTCTTCTGGGACCATCGTAGCCCCTGGACCCACATACGAGCTTCCTCCTTTGTGGGAGCCACCAGGTTGATGGTATGATTCTCGGCTCCGACGATAAGGGCAAAGCACAGCTCCGAGGCGTACTTGGACTTGATCTTGTTGTTCTTGAAGGTGTCGGTCTCATGGCCCGTCCTGACCTCATGGATGTCCTGCACGGGAACTGTTGGAGAAAAAAAAAGTATATTCAACAGATTTGGCAGGCATGAAATATAAAGAGTTGTCATCAAGTCAATCAAGTCAGTCGCAAGTCAGTCTCAAGTCAGGGGTGTGAGTGACCACTGATAAAAATAGCTGAAAACAGCTGAAAAAAAAGTGTAAAAAAGCTGAACTTTTGAAATCTCCTATACTTTTGTACACAGCAAGTGAGGGAAAACAGCTGAAATCCAAAACAAAATTTCACACCCCTGTCACACGTCAGTCACAAGTCAATCACAAGTCAATCACAAGTCAGTCACAAGTCAATCACAAGTCAGTTACAAGTCAGTCACAAGTCAATCACAAGTCAGTCACAAGTCAGTCACAAGTCAATCACAAGTCAATCCCACGTCAGTCACAATTCAATCACAAGCTCATGAAAACTTAAAGTGCAGTAGTACACATGCATGTATAACATGGTTGTAGTACAACTTTATAGCCCCCCCCCCCATCCCCCAAACTCTTCAGCCACTGACTAACATTTATTCTTGAATTGCCTTAGAATGCAGGAGAAATCATCATACGGTACATTTCAAAAATGTCCGGGGGCATGCCCCTGCACCCCGCAAGCAAATCAGCCAACATAAAAAAAACCATCTTTGCCTTATGAATATGCATGAATCGTAAATAAAATTAGACAACTATAGCTTCTTTTACTGCCCCTTCTTCACCAAAATTAGATTCAACTAAAATATTTCCACTGTGGAGATGACTTACTCTTGGATCGAGACGACGTTTTCTTCGAGGGGTGGTATTCTAGCACTAGGCAGTCATCGCTCAAGACAAAGTTACGGCTGTAGGTTTTGGAACCATTCTCTCGGACTTTGGTGAATTTGGTTCCATTGTGCATGTGTTGCAATACCGGATTCACTGAAGAAAAAAAAGACGAATATGGCAACAAAAATGTTAAATTAGGTCAAGAAAGAGGACAAAATTAAACTGAAATGCATAAATTTGAAACTCATAGACCAAAAAGTATTACAAAAATGCCAGCCAGGAAAGCCATTACAGATAATTATAGAAGCAGCTACGGTACATGCTACAATTAATTTAACAGGCAATCTACCAGTTGCATAGATAATGAGATATTTGTACCGCATTAAACCACTTACATGTAAACTGAAACTGCCATTAAGTACAGTGTTAATGGTACAGGGTATGCCATTAAGTGTATTAAACCCATAAATTATCACTGTTGAGTCATGTGAGTAGAACACATCCACATTTCTAAATTAATTTCTGAATTACAAACACGTGTATGCAAACTAGGCAGCGATCGGGACAACAAAATCTGGTACGCGTTTTTGTTACCATGGAAACATAGTTCATTATTCATTTCCTTCGTTTCCTTGACTCCAGGTTCATTTTAGATGAACAACCCTCTGTGGTGTGTTACTCAGCTTCCTGTGAAACGTCAGTTCTCTCTCCCCCCCCCCCCTAACAAAATTTCTGGTTTTTCAAAGTATCCAGGTTTTTACATGACCGCAACTGAGACTTTTTCTAACAGGAAAATAGCTATTAACAGAGAATATGGAAATGTTGATATTTTGATTTTGGATTGTTGTCTTTACTTGTTTTTTATTTTAGTTATACCGGTAGTAATTTGCATAATGTCATAATTTACATCAGCAGACAGTACAACTTTTTTATGCTTGCTCATGGTACATGTACATAATGAACATACTATTACATGTACATAGTATTTCTTCTTAAATGTACATTTAAATGTGTTTAGCCTTGACTTATGAATGATGTTTGTACAGTGTGTAACTGTGTTTTTTGTACAGCAGTAATTATGTACGTATATTATGTGTTAACCTTGCTCTTTGAATTAATGCATTTGATACATTGTGGAAAATCTTTACGTTTGTAGTTTCATTATCTTCGATTTTTTTCTATTGAAAAAGGATCTTGTAACCAATGCCTTATGGTATTAAAAGTAATGTTCACTTGATTTTACTACGTTTCCTTTAATAACAGTACTATTTACCTGGTATCTTGTACACATATATAATTATGTACTTTGCACCGTACAAACGTAAGCAAATCTTCCCAAAAAGTACCTTTATTGATTATTCACAACAAATACGGTAGACTGATTTGAATGAAATATGGTGATATATTTTTGTACATGGATATATTATTAGATCACTACAAAAGTACACAAATTGTCAACAACTTGTGAGTACAGAAAGTGAAAACATAGCGAGAATTGCTTCCATGCATTACAATAATACAAACCACTTTACTTTACTTGTGAACTACCCGTAGCATAGATAACGTGGGCAGTGGACATGCATACGTGTGTTCTTTAATCAATGAAACCATTACATGGGCGCAAAACAAATAAATTGATCTGATAGTCCTGGTGTTATCAGTTTCAGTCTGTCAAAGCTGTGAATTATGACATCCTCCTTCGCATATTTCATAGAATGGAACACACTCAGCCTTATCAAATGATAGGATTTTCAGTCCCTAAGTCTGATTATTGAGAAGATACTCAAAGTCCAAATTATTACAATCAATTTAATTACAAACATGAGGCCACGAAAAAAAAATACCTGTGTCTCCGGTTACCCCACCCAACCTAGCAAATCATGCAGAAACTAAATCTTTTATTCAACAAAATTTTTTTATATAAATAAAAATTTACGGTGCTGCCCCAACCCTAGTTTTTACGGACATTGTCCTGCATTTTTTTTGAAATTTTTATTTATTTTTGTGTAAGTTGGTCGGCAGTACGGTGCAGTCTTGCTGCAATGTGCAACAAAAGCGTAACAAATGCAGAATGAACAGTTGATTCAAGTGTTAATAAGGGAATAAATGTGTGCTGCAGAGGTTTTTATCACTCTGTTTAAGACCACTTAGAGTCTGGGTGCTGATAATTACCCGAGCCGGAGGCGAGGGTAATTATCAGCACCCAGACTCTAAGTGGTCTTAAACAGAGTGATAAATACCGACGGAGCACATATTTATTCCCATTCATAAATACCTTTTCGGTAAAAAAAAATCATATAATTCGTTCAAAACATCCCGATTTTGTTCAACAAATTCACTTTATGCTTTTTAAAACATCCCTCTTGCAAAATAATGGAGTCGCGCAGAACGCACCTGGCGCGTTGCGTTTTGAATTTAGAACTATAAAATTCTGACTCCCTGGTAGTGTTGCGCATGCCTACGTGAGGATTGTGAACGTTCAACCAATGAAACGATAAGAGGCACTGGATTTTTAGGAGTCCACATTTTATTGTGACACTGGAAAAGTGTTTAAGACCAGCTAGCCATGTCTTTATCATCCGTTTAAGACCGGCCACGTGACGGGCTCTCGACCAATAGGAATGCGTAAACTGTCTTAGGTATTTATGAATTACTATTAATGTTGCAAAACAGTTTTTTAAATGACTTGATCCCAATCATCCCATCCTAATTTTTCCTGGCTTTAAAACTCTAGGCCAACCCACCCACTTTAATTTCTTTTTTAATTAATGGGAAACACAACATTATTTTTTCTTGGCCAGATGAAATGTACATATGGTACGTGTACATGAGGCATGTGAGTACATGCAGACATACTTGTACATACATTGTACTTGTGCATACGCATGTGTACCGGGGTATACATGTACATGTGACAAGTATTCAAACTGTATTTTCAACTCACTTGTCATATACCCTCCTAACGAAAATTATGAAGTGCCGGTATGTAGTAAGCTCATTGCATACATGTACATGTACCGGTATATAACTTGCAGAATGGTAGTTGGTACATGATGTACAATGCATACAAAAAATGTACATGTACAGGGTACACATATTGAGCTGATATGGGTGAATTGCACTGCATACACTCCAGCTACTGAGACCAAACAACTTTTTTTTATGGAAATGGCCTGAATGTGATGTTTAGGGTCAAGTTTGTTTTTTTCACAGTTGGTTCTGTCTGACACATGACTTTGTCCGGTACGACACACGAAACACAACCATTCATAAGATGAAATTTGCTTCGGGATGATGTAAATTCAATATTGCGTTTTGCCCTTCACCGACATTTGAACCTTCCCAGAACTCTGAGATAACATTATGATTGGACTTGTACAAAAAGAATGATTTAGATGTGTCTGCTACAGACATTGTGACCTCAAAAGAAGTAACTGATTAGAGCGCTGCACTTCTTAATGATGGCAATATTCAAAAGTGTCCTGTACGACACATTTTGCCTGTCTAGCTTACACGACAACTGTCCTTTATTTTGTAAACTTTTTCTATTTGATAAAGCAATCATAATATCTGACCTGTGTTCATATGTTTTACAATTTTTCAAGTTGGTAACAAGAATTAACCACTGATCAATTAATTCATAGAGTTTTTTACCCACATTCACTGTCGGAAAAAAAGTGAATTTTCTGTGCCCCAAATGACACATTAAATTTCAGCAACAAATGTTACCCTGAAAAGTAAATTAAAAAAAAAAATTATTGAACAATGATGCCTAGTGGTTCCACTCTTTGACTGTGCCCCAGGAATCTTATTTATTCTGATACATTGTACTTTCTAAAACAGGCTTGAAAACAATCTGTGAATGTTCAGTACAACACATGTACTATGTATGTGTACATATTCGGCCCATACATGTACATGTACATGTACTGTACCCGGTACATATGTATACTTTTGTACAAAAAGATCCTTTCCTAATTCACAAACAGTGTCATTCATTCTCTTGAATGTGAAACAGCAATTTTCCTAAACAATTTAAAGCAGGATCCAACGTCGATCTGACATGAAATTAACTCACAGCCTGCATTCTCAAACATGACCCCTGAGTGGCTGTGATTAATATGTAACTTTTGCCAAAGTATGATAATATCCTACCTTCGTGATCTTCCATATTTTCCCAGTGCATGCAAACTGAAATATTGTTCCAAGTGAACACCACCTCTTTATATATCAAAGTCTACACTTTACACTGAACTATGCACTGATTCAAGGGCACGGCCCAACATCCTGGAATTACTATTTGCATTTCAAAGGAACAAAAGAAAAAAACTTAGTGTCAATGCCAAATTTAGATTGAGAAGGAATTCCATATATAAATGCCAATGTTTCAAAGGCTGTTTCCACGCTTGCTGATTCTGTAGGCCTACTCATTGAAAAATAAAATCCACCAAAAAAGGAAAAAAATTGTATTGATCTGTATTCTGTTTATTAAAAACTAACAACAATTTACACAGTACAATGTACAATGGGCTGAGGGGGCAGAGCTGTGCAGTAAAGCATGCCCTCGGGACTTCAGGATTAAATCTCAGTCCTAGATTACCGGTACAGACCACGTGCACAGCACATTATAAACTGTAGCGTATACTATACAAGTTCTAAATTCATTGTTGAAGATTTTCTTTTCAAACAACATAAATCTCAAAGTGCATGATATGGTCTTGATCTGAAGTATTTTCTAAATAAATTTATAAGAAAAACTGATGTGACATTGTGAAAGTACATTGTATTTTTCCACTCTTTACATAAGGCCAAAAAAAAAAAATATTCGGTCTCTGGTCAGACCAAAGTTCTGGAATTGATGCGGCCACGCTTTTTGCTTTTTTTTTTTTTTTTCAAGCTTGGATTGTACAGACAAGTGGGGTAGGCCTACTATTTTGCTTTTTTGGTGTCCTCATGTACATTGGTGTCCTCCATAATTTGCCACGGTGCTTTCGATCATTTGCCTTGGTGCAATTTCCCATTTCTCGGTGCTCTTTGGTAAAACAAATTGAGGAGGTGCGGAAATAGAGGGCGCTGTTGGAGCTACCGCGGAACATTTTGAAAAAAAAAAAAGATCGACGCGCATGATTAAAATCGACGCGCGCGCTGACCAGAGACCGACTTATTTTTTTGGGGGGCCTAATTTACAGTCTTTTGTTTTTTCATGCACATCCACTCTGAACGAGTCCAATTAGCCACTCCAGGTAAAGGGCTACAAGCTAAAAGAAGATTACGTGTAATTAATGAAGTACAGGTACTCTGGAAAAGTGAAGGTACCAACATGTAGGACAGATCATAGGTTGGAGGGAAACAAGCACCAGGCAAGGAATTCAAAGAGATGCAGCATGTTGGGGAATATCCTTTTATTCTACATATTCATGCGACATTGTACATTGTAGGTATTGCAATATATTTATGATGAGAACAGGCAGAAAGCCGAATTTCTCTCTCAAACACTTTGACTTAGCCAAATACCAACATACATTGTACATGCAGCGGTACATACCGGTACATGGTATTTGGCACGTGTATATAAGTAATAGACTTCTTGTACGGAGCATGTTTGGACAGGTTGCAATTTAAATCCAGCGACCATGAAAGTACGAGGTGTAAGGTGTCTAGTCATGCATACCACAGCTCTAGTAGAAAGACCTGTCCCACTGAGGGCGCTCCACGCAAGGGGTCTTTAGATACCGGTACATGACACACAAACTTGGCATTTCAACGTGTATTTGTGTGAATTTCTAAACACCCCCAACAACACACAAAGTGAATATGGCGAAGTAAAAAAAAAACATGTTTCTCGTCCCCGCCTGCTTCCTTTTTGGAGGCCGCCTGGATTTTTTAAATTATTTTTAATTTTTGAAAAATGCAGTAAAAAACACTGAAAAAGTCCACAAATTCATTGGAAAATAAAAAAACTGTTCAATTGTAGACAATACAATTCTTAAATAAAAAAAATAAAAATAAATAAAAAGCCCCTCTTCCTCCTTTTTTTCAAAAACCCGGACGAGAAACATGTTTTTTTTTAATTCGGCCTTTTAAACTTTGCAAACTCAAACAATACAAAATTATGTAAATGAATTTCTGTACAGCATTGGTCAGATTTTAGTTTCCTTTTGAGGTATTTTCCTCTTTCAACAAGCCCAGGGTCATCTGGGTTCAACATCTGCTCTTTCAGACAATTCCCCGGTTGGTTCATTTTCCCATTTATTATCAGGAAGTTGATATTGACCTTATTGAATGACTTCCATTCAACCACATACGTTCAAGGTTTTTTTTTTATTGTTACGGAAGAGATGACAGGAAAAGATTAATGTGCTACTTGATCTGTACACTTTTGTCTGGAGATCGCAAAATTTTGTTGTTCATATTGTTTAATTCAACAAATCTGAAAGTCGGGGTCACTCACAAAAAATGCAAATAATGTCCAGTTTTACAAGAAAAAAAAATGTTTTGGCTTTTCCTAAATATGCACAATGTATACAGTGAATTTTGAGCCAAAGTGTCAACATTAAGACTGGTGCTACGTATGTATTAAGTGAAAATGCTCTGTGTGATATCAGGTCCCACGCTAGTTTCAGACTTACATAAGTTGTTCACACATCGAATCCTAGCACACACATGCAGGGCCCCAATTTCACGGCGCTGGTAAGCACACGATTTTCTGCTAACAGAGCCTCCGTCTATTTCATGGAGACCGTAAGCACAAGCACAGCAAAAGGCACGCTTACTTCAGAGGAAAAATTTGCTTAAGTTAGTGACGTAACAATAGAAATCTCCATGCACGTGCAACCGTTAGCACACACACGCCGTGAAAAAGTGCTTAAGGTTAGCAAATTTTTCTGCTATGCTAAACACAACTTTGCTAACTGTTAAGCAGCGCCGTGAAATTGGGCCCAGGTGTTTGGGTATGGTTTTTTTTTTAAAAAGAAACATGTTTTTGGATAAGTGGATGATACCTAGGACACCGTTACTTGTCAAGTACAAAAATGTAATAATGTTTTCTCAACTGGTATTATCGTTTTGTGAGAAATGTGTTTGAGAGTCCCAAAAGGGCGCATTCAGATACAACATACATGTACATGTATCACATCCCAATTGCAAGTTTCACTCAACTCACAGTCTGTAGCTAGGAGTCCGGCACTAGGACCATTATCGAGTGTGCATTGTCTGCACAAATGTAACAACATGCCACTTGAATGTACTGGGTAAGCCTCAGACTCGCACAATGTACATGACTCAGTATGTTTCATTCTTCTTTTCACAGGTTGTACAAACAGACCCCAGGATAAAATCACGAATGAGTAAACACTTACAAAACACTGTGCGCTGCGTGACAAAAATTCCACACGAATGCATTTTTTTCTTATCTTCGATAAATAGAGTATATAATCAATAACTGATTGAGCAGATTGAATGGACCATTGACCCATTTAGTACAATAGAAAAAATAACTAAACCAAACCACAAACTGATATTAAAGCACTTGATAACTTCCTTTATACAACATTTGCTTTTGCTGTAATTTTCAGAAATGGACGGACTTGGGGGACCTTAAGTATTTTATAGCAAATATTGTTACACTGAACTGTTTAAAGTTTTGTGTTCTTTGATGCAGGAAAAACCAAGAAATACAACATTAGGTTCTTGTAGCCTGTTTCCCAGACCCTACTTCAGACAAAATGGAGCAATTTATAGACGTCTGGGAATTGTCAGGTCAGGGAACCAGACTACATGTAGCTGGCTTGCACCCGATCATGGCTGAGTAACTGATTGGTAACAAAATGTGGGCAAACTAAATTTGGTAAAATAAATTTTCACTTATTATTCACTTAGTCAAGCAAGGTATTTCATTAATTGGTAGTTTTGTTTTTGATGTTTGAAAATGATGTATTTTACCTTAAAAACAGGGGGGAGGCTGAATGTCATCTTGCACTGATGTTTTGAATGGTATTGTAATGTATGTTTATCATCTGTGCAATTCCTATTTTGTTTAAGATTATTAATTTTAACATTTTTACATTATTGTATTTTAATAGTAGGTTTGTGTGAGTTGGGATCCATGGCAGATCAGTGAGTTTTTCTTACTGAATGGATCACCCAGGATAAATAACAAATAAATAAATAGATAAATAGATAGATAAATAAATTTATAAGCAAACCTTGGAAACTGAGGTAAAATCATAAAACTGCTAGTTTAGGCGGCTTCCTAATCGAGCACAAGTATAAAATTACTTCAAACGTAGATTAATTCGGGTAAAAATTGACCAATTTTGGGAAAGAATTTCCTCACAAGCATCGGCAGTTAGAATGTAGACGATGGGCAAAATACACACCCATGAAATGAAGCCTGGTCCAGTTGCATCAAAACTCCATCAAACATCGTGAATTTAATAATAATGTCAAAGTTACCTGAAGAATGAATCAATTCACACTTTACCTTGGGACGCGTCCGTCTCGGTGTCAGCTTTCTTGCCTCCTTTTCGGAGTTTTTTGGAAAAGAAACTCATCTTGTAGATCTTACTATCTCAGTGCCTGGGTGATGGTCTGAAAAAAAAAAATAACACCCAAACAATTAAATAAAACTTAAAGGTATTAATTTAGTTACAAAGACTTTGACATGTCTAGCTCCCACGTTCGATACTTCTATAGGTCAGTTTGTACTCGGCACGAAAGTGAATGCAAATTTTGTGACATCAGGGCAAGTATTTGCAAAACACATTTCAACTGTCGCGGATCCTCCACAAATATTTCATAACGTCAGACTGCTTCGCATTCGCACGAAGTACAAACTGGCCTTAAGTTTCCGTCAAAAAACAATTGACCCCTAATTACAAAAGGTGCAAACTCTGTACTTATGTAGCGTGATCCATTACAATTGACATTCAACATCCACTCGTACTGTTCAAATGGTGGAAAGACGTATTTTCTAGTTGGCATATGGACAGTCGATGGTTTTAAATAAAACAACAGGTCCCTGTATTCCCAAGAAATTATGTACATGTACGCAACACTCACGTGCTTGCTCAAGATATTACAGGAAAACTTCTTTGTAGTCAGCAGAGAGACAAGATACCAGTAGGCCTACCACTGCACTCTAGACAGCCAACACTCTCACACACCCTAACCATGGACTTGGGGCCCACACAACCGATAATTAGTTCTGCCCACACATTGGGTACAGTCACCTCTTCACGCTGCTAAACCACTCACACGTAACTTGTCCGAGAGTATATATGCAAAACACACCCATCAGTGACCTTCGATCGGTTTGGGGAGTTGCAAAACAAATTTATAGTGACAGGAAGAGTCAATGGACAGTTTCTGATCCGATGAAAAATATTGATAAAAGGCAGGGTAGGGCTATACTGAATCGCATTATTGTTGTTGACTTTGTGTTGATAAGTCCTCTCCAGCCAGCAATATTACCAGGGAGATTTTATTGTAATGTACACAGCATTTGACACTACTTGTTTTACATGATAACAAAGTATAATGAGCAAATTTGCAGGATGGTGCCTCAAGTTTCAGTGTATTTTATCACCTCCTTCATTTCAATCAATGAATACATGTACATGAGGGCCCTAAGGACTGCCCTTATCAAATTTAAATACGGTTTAAAATTTGAAACAAAATAATACTAATAAATCACTTTATCATACACATATGGACTGACAACTTTGCAGCAAAACAATGGACTTTTTGTCACAAGAATGAGCCAAAAATATTCCATTTCAAATAATACAATGTAGATTTCTGAAGTGACATTTTTGGCAGATTCGGGCCTTGGATCTCCAGAAACAGTTTCAAAACTAATTTTGACCATGCATGCCCAGGTTCGTACACCTTTTTACCACTCATCTGAGTGCATTTTGCAAAGAATGCAAATATGCGACCTCTCAAAGTTCAACTTGTGCGGTACATGTACTTCACATGCATGGGCTTACGACTATGCACACATGGACATCCGTTGTGACTCTGACAGGAATTGCATGTTTAATGTAAATTTCCACTTGCGCCATACTGTACACATGTACGTGTACATGATGTATGTTCTCCAACCTGCGCAGTGGCAGGGAACTGTCTACTGCACTGCCTGCCAGTGGTCATTTTGTCTCTGCTACCAAGTACAGTCAATGACCATAATGCGCATGCGTCAGCTGATACTTATGGTTCTCGGACATTACTTAAAGGGAAAATACAACATTTGCAAACATCGAAAAATAAAACTACCAAGTTGTTACGAAATACCTTACTAGGATGTTGGTAAATGACATGCTAAAGCATCCTGTAAAATTATGGCACCTGGTGTGGGGAGCCATTTTCAAGAAAATGGTATATTTGTATACATTTCCAACGGTGGTCGGCCGACCACCGCTGGAAAAACCTAACTATTTTTCAATTACTGCTCCAAATTTACCATTTTTTTTTAGTCTAAATTTTGTTTTGCTAGCTATTGGTTCCATGTTCATGAACGGGTGCAGGCCAGCTAGACTGGTTCCCTTACCTTACAATTTTCCAGTATTTTTTATCCATTCATCTTTAGTAGAGTCAGGGAACCAGACTACTTGAATATTTTTGTTTTTCTTGGTTTTTCCAGCATTTTCGAACACAAAACGTCAAACATGTCAGTGCAACAATATTTGATCTATTATACATGTACTAACCCCCCAAATAGTTCATTTCTGAAAATTACAGCAAAAGCCAATGATGTACATTCCCTTTAAGGAATAAATACATGTAGGTGCTTGGCCAGTTTTAAACAAGTATGGAAAGGCCGGGTCTTGTCGCCGATAATAAACCAAACATGAGGGCCATTATCCGCGGCCAGGCCCCTAGCCAGTTTTAAAGGTACTAGTTTAAAACCAGACAAACACATATATTCCTATTAATAGTCTTTCAGTCAAAAAGTCAAAACAAGTAAAAAATTCACAAATTTCCAACGATTTTGTTCAAAAATTTACTTCATGTTTTGTGTAATCATGTACATGTAATTTAGGACCCCGTCATGCCCGTTCCATATATAGGCCTATAAGCATAAGACACAAAAAGATGCTTTTAAAAAGACGCTTTTATGTTTTGCAACTTTTATAGTCACCAGCAGGAAAATTAACTTTAAAATTATATTTTTTAGTTCATTAATATAGCCTACCATATTGAATATCTGAAGCAGGCTTGTAGAAAGAGGGCATGGTTTTTATTCACGAGGAAAATTATGGGGTAAAAGGATGACACTCGCAGGCGCACGTCTCTTTGCTAAAACAGGTAAGAAAATTGCATTTTCTTCCAAAGTAACCGTTTATTAGGGCCTATAGGCCTACTAATCAAAATTACAAAAACCTACCTCCTAGTCTCAATAGAAAAAGACTGCCATGACAACTGAGGGTGCAAAAGTCATTTTGGAAAATTTGACAGTCTTTTGCAAAAAAAAATTTTTGTTATAAACTTGTGTAGGAAAAAATGTTGCAACCCGACGCCACTGGCAGTTGTGTACAAAGTCTATGGAGAATCAAGAAAATTTGCGAGGTATTTCCTAACAAAATTGGAAATGTTTCTCAGTCCCAGATTCCTGTCTTATCATCATATTTGCAATGACCGACCTTCATTGAGATGATATGAAGAAAAAAGTGGCGTCAGGTTGCAACAATTTTTCCGAAGTGCATATTTAGCCGGCTAGATTCAGTTAACGATATTAAGTCGGCTAGATTGTACAGCGGCCTCTTTAACGCGTATCATACGAGTAGGCCTACATTATAAAAGGTACACAGTATATCATCGTTTGAGCAGCACCTGTGGCTGAGTGGATAGTGCGTGTATCTCATGAGTGAGCCCAGCAGGGTTCAAATCCCCAGCATGTGACATTTTCGGGGGGGGGGGGGGGGGGGGGGGGGGGTCCACAGTGACCTAGTATCAGCCATCAGAAACTGATAATGTCACAATGTGTCCAAAAAAGTCAAATTTTGCAGGGAAAATATTGAAGAATTTACTGAAAAAAAACTTAATTTGCAGACAAGTCTCAGTCCTTTGTTTGTGCACAGGTAGCCCCACTAATGTGGCCGTCGGTATGCTGCGCTGAACCTTAGGTTCAGCGCAGCATACCGACGGCCACACTAGTGGGGCTAGTGTACTCCTAGAACTATGAGGCTCCGCGTGAGCGGAGCCTCATAGATGTAGAAGCACTTGTACGCATGCACATACTATCATTTCGCCTGTACCGTACCCCCCGCGGCGCGCTCCGAGCGAACCGAAAATCATCGCTCGATCATATGCGTGCACGTTTCAAGTGTTCGGTTGGCTCAGTGCGGAAAGGGCATATTTTTCATCATTTTGGCCTAAAAACCGACAGAATCCACCTATGTTAGTTGTGCCCAAGATACGTATGTCAAGAGGTAAAGTACGGAGTATAGGGGCAAACTGTGCAGCGGTTCTGTGTGAAATGTCTGCATTTTGATGGACGTTTTTGTACTTTATTAGTGTTTTGTGCTGCAGACAATTTTGCGGGCTTCTACATCTATGAGGCTCCGCTCACGCGGAGCCTCATAGTTCTAGGAGTAAGGCTAGTGCACAGGGTGTTATAAAGTGATGGCCAGATATGGGAATCTTTCCCAGTTCCCTCTCTTTTTTTAATTTAAACGGAACAGTGAAAAAAAAAGTGTCATAAGCTACACGATTACCCCCATTTGGTGTAATGACTTAATTGGGGAAACTGGTGGGGAGGAATACAGCAAACTACGCAACCCCCCCCCCCCCTACTCCTAGAACTAGTATGAGGCTCCGCGTGATGAGCCTCATAGTTCTAGGAGTACCCCCCCCCCTCCCCCCTGACAAAAGTGACACACGGTCACGAAGCCAAAGAAACCAATCTGTAAATAATGGTAAACCCATGGAGGTGTTCTTATTCCGATCCTCCATGGTAAAACTGTGTTTTTATTCCTCCATGGTAAAACACGACAATCCAATCATTTGCCAATACTAGCATGACTAGTGGGCAGACACAGTGCACCTACCTTGTGCAAGCTGAGGGACGCTCCGACCAACCTGTCTCCAGCGAGATGATAAACTGAAAGGGTAAAGGCCAGGTCAGACTGATATTGCAGTTGAACTCACTATAGCCTTAGTTACGTCTCGTTAGTCATCCATCATGTCATGCGTACATAAAACTAGTACGGGTCCTTGACCACCATCTTAAGGACATTTGTGAAGTGTCAAGGACGAAAAAATAATTATTGGTGAATCGCAATATCGCCCTCTTGTGTCGACAAAACTTTTTAGGTTACAACATCATAAATCACAAAACACCCGCAGTCGAGTCCACACGCGCACGAAAAGGCTGGGTCCTGCAATTTGCAAAATACACTTTCTTTTTAAAAACGAATTTAACTTCAAGTTGCTGCATTATTGCATGGACTGCTGTAAGGTAAGAAAATATTTATGCTATGTGTGTGTGTGTGAGATAAGAAAAGGCTTGGACTTTTTGGTAGTGCCGGTCGCCATAGTCAGATAGTGGGAAATAAAAATGGTGACTGAAAACTTTTTCATAAGTTGGCACTCAGTGACAGCTAGCAGTGCCAGTGATACCATGTTGAATATCAACAGGATTAATTTTGTGGATAGAGGGAAGGTTTTGATTTATGAGGGTACTTACGGGGTAAAACATGAAAATATCAATGTGACAATGACAAAACATACGACAGGAAAACAAAGATGGCGATAATGCCCAACAAGTTTTACAGCATGCGCTGATTGGCTAGTATTTTTGTAACATAATCTCTGATTGGTTGAGAATGATAGAGGGTGTAGGGTTACTAGAAAGAGCAGCCAATACCAATGGCTGACAAGCTAAATTGGTAAGAATGTCACATCTCCTTAAATTCTGTATAAAATGATAACACTTTCACGATGTCAATCTAGACTGCTTGAGGCTGCAAATTATTCTGAATGATAAGCACGTTGCAAGAAGTTTAAAAAATGAGGGATTTCCCAAAAATAGAGGGGTCCTAAAACTTCGTAACTTTAGTTTTACCTGTGTTAGTTACATCAAAGAGTTGCCCCACAAATTTATAAAAATTTGTCAGTCCCTAGGCTATATCAGCACTAGGTAAATCATTCAAAATCAATTTCAAAGGAATAAAGTTACTTATTACAGGCATATCTTAGTTTAACAATGGAGCGATTTTTTTTTCTCAATTAATTTTTTGTCAAGGCCTTTTTTCACACATCCATTTCAGTCCCTCCTGACTCTACTCCAACTTTTAATCCTTCCTTTAGCTATCTTATTTAGTTCAGCAATGGCCGACATTGCTATATTTGGCACTCCACCAGAGCCAGTCTTTAATCTCAAGGGGCGTTGCCTGTCGTCTGAGCTTCTTGAAGAATTGCTGTATGTACAGGCTGCTCAGAATGAGAATGCAGTCAAAAATGCCTGCAGTACAGATGGGGCCTTTAAACAAGGATCCATTGCGGGTAAATATTCAGTATGTGCCATCGTTTTCCTTTAATATCATGGGCGTCGCCAGATTGTTTCTGGGGGGGGGGGGCCAAAACATATTTTTGCCCAAAAATTCCTGTATTTCTCAACACTCTTGATTTATTAGTTGAGAGGGGGACAGGGACATCCCTCCCCCCCGACTCATTAAATTTACACCACTATGACTTAGCGCCTCTTTTTCTTTTCTTTTTTTTTTTTTCTTTTTTTTTTTTTTTCTTTTTTTGGCTTTTCCGGGGGGAGGGTCGCGATGCCCATGTTTAATATAATGAAGAACAATAACGTTATACATCAACCATTGGTTTTCAAGAAAATTACTTTAAACTTCAGGGGTGTGAAATCTCAGCTTTTTAGCTGATTTCAGCTTTTTTTTGTTTTGGATTTCAGCTTTTTCCCCTCACTTGCTGTGTACAAAAGTATAAGAGATTTCCAAAATTCAGCTTTTTTACACCTTTTTCAGCTGTTTTCAGCTATTTTTTATCAGTGGTCACTCACACCCCTGAAACTTTCTGATAACAAAATATGCCTGTTGATACACAGTCCCAAGTGTTTGAATGAAATGTCAGTTAAATCTAACTTTTATGATGGGTTACAACACTTCTGACATTTGATTCATTTAGTTTGAACCAATTTTCAGCCTTTTTTTGTTTCTTAATGTACAGAAATGGTGTTCCTGGTATGCGATAAATTTAATCAGCCTCCTGAGGCCCGCTACCTAGCAGTGGAGATCTTTGACAGGTACAAGGCTCATCATCTAGATACCTTTTATCAAGCTTTAAACATGTCATCTTCAACTTGGGTAAAATCCAGTTTAAATCCCCTACAAGGAAATATGACAAAATATACATGTACATATGTCTGAAAGTTGCTGGAATTGACGTCCCTGTCCAAGCTAATCCAGTCAGGAATCTTGGGGTCATGTTTGAGTCTGGGATGACTATGTCTGTTCAGGTGTCCAGTATCATCAAAGCTGCAAATTTCCACCTAATCAACATCAGTAGGGCCCGTAAACTGCTGACTGTGGTGGCCACCAAGTAACAGCCTCTTGATTGGTATCAGTCAGAAACTGAAAAAGAGGCTTGAAAATGTTCAGTGATCTGCTGCCAGAGTAATTTCAAACAAACAGAAGTTCGACTCCATTACTCCTGAACTTATCAAATTTCACTGGCTTCCAATCACACAAAGAATCAACTACAAGGTCATCATTCTTATGTTTAAAGCATACTGGAAACAAGCCCCTGCTTACATCACGGACATGCTCCAAATTAACCACAGAGACCACTTCGATCATCAACCTCCTGTTCACTACACTTTGTTGAGCCCAGAACCCATTGTGTCTCTTTTGCTGATAGATCATCTTCTGTATACGGCCCTAGAATCTGGAACAAACTTCCAGAATACATTAGAGATACCACCTCACTGCATACACTCAAGACACTCCTGAAAGCTCACCTGTTTCAGGAGGTGTACCCTCAACAATTGTTCTTCTTTTTGGTGCCCCATCAGCACCTTAATTAGAACAAACTTTTTGATTTTGGCGCTTTATAAATTTGTTTTATTTTTTATTTTTTTGATTTGGTAAAACCTTTTGTTTACCCCCTTCAGATTCATGACCAAGTATGTCCATGACCAGTTCAAGAAGTTACACTCAGACAAAGGAGGAGGCAAGAAGACAAACACGACCTGGAACTCTTTCTTGAAGAAATTACAGAAACATCTCAAGTTGTACATCATGTCCTGTGTGCAGATAGCGAGCAAGATGTGCTCCCATTACAAAGTAGGTTTCGCAAAATCCATTCTAATCTAAAACCAAAATGTTTTCTCGTTATTCAGAGACCCTTTTCCTCTTTTTCCAAAATATGTCTGCAAGCTACTTTTAAATACTTTCATCACATCCGAGTCAGTGTGAAAATTATACTTATAACTGGCAGAAAAAAGTGAAATATTATTAGAAGGGTTGCAATTATTTAACTGTGTTATTTTTGTCATTTGTCTATATTTATCTGTTTATGACAATAGTTTTAGGCTTTGGTGTTTGAATAGTCTTTTTACTTCATTGTTGGCTTAAAATTATTGTTTTATTTGTTGCCGCAAATGATTTTTTTGTATAGTGGACTGAACCTTAATTATTTTTTTTCTCTATCTTCCTTTTTTTCACCTTTTTACTGTCCATTTTACGGTGTTCTTGAATATTTCTCTATGTTCATTTTAGAGAGAAACAAAATAATAACAAGTGTTTTCTCTACATGTAGATTTTGACCAATCGGAAGTGCAGCCGGTTTCTCCTCAACGCTGGCCTAGGATGTACCTCAGCAACCATCTTAAGGACCGAACTGACCATCTTGGAGACACTAGACTATCGAGTCTACAACACCTCACCCCTCACGTACATTGAAACACTCCTTGAGATCATGGGTAGGTGGCATAAATCATGGAGACGGAGGGGGCAGGGTGGGTAGGGGACACATGGCAGGAGCATCATTATAAACAGGGGATGTTGGGAAATTTTGTATTTTGGTGAAAGATTCGGAAATTAATAAGGGAATAAATGTGTGCTCGAGAGGTTTTTATCACTCTGTTTAAGACCACTTAGAGTCTGGGTGCTGATAATTACCCGAGCCGGAGGCGAGGGTAATTATCAGCACCCAGACTCTAAGTGGTCTTAAACAGAGTGATAAATACCGACCGAGCACATATTTATTCCCATTCATAAATACCTTTTCGGTTAAAAAATATCAAATAATTCGTTCAAAAAATCCCAATTTTGTTCAACAAGTTCACTTCATGCTTTTTGAAACATCCCTCTGGCAAAATAATGGAGTGTTCAGCTGGCGAGTAAGATGTAAACAACCCTTTCATGGCGATTGACGCGCGCGTGGCATGTTCTGCGCGATGTCGCGCAGAACGCACCTGGGGCGTTGCGTTTGAAATTTTGAACTGTAAAATTCTGACTCACTGGTAGTGTTGCGCATGCCTACATGAGGATTGTGAACGTTCAACCAATGAAACGGTAAGAGGCACTGGATTTTTAGGAGTCCACATTTTATTGTGACACTGGAAAAGTGTTTAAGACCAGCTAGCCATGTCTTTATCATCCGTTTAAGACCGGCCACGTGACGGGCTCTCGACCAATAGGAATAGCTAAACTGTGTGAGGTATTTATGAATATTGGTTTATGACTGAGGGAGCTGCCATGATGCCATTTTAAGGGTATAATTTGGCATGAATCCTCGGGTGGCCCGGTGCACAAGTACCCCCTCAACGGTAAGAAAGGGAGAGTTGGGGGAGACCACTGGGAGAGACATTCAAACGCACTATGGACAACACCCGACAGTCGAACGCAGACGCCATGGCTTGGTGCACATTCAGAATAAAGATTCATGCAAGAAGCAATACGTGCATGCGATGTGTGCTAGCTGTCCATAGGGCTCTTGAAAGTGGTCAAATTGCGCCCTCTCTTGTTCACACACAGAGCCCGTTGATCTCAGTTCACCTGCTGCTACAACAACAAAAATTACAATTTTACAAAATTTTTCATTCTAAGATTGAAGTAAACATATCAAGTGTTTTATACAATTTAAAAAAAAAAAGGCCTGAAATCAGGCACTTGCAGGTAAGGACCGTCGATATATCGATATTACTCGATTGTTAGATATGATTTTGTATCGATATTGCTGATATAAATTTTTAAATAATATCGAAATATTGCAATGTCCAATATTGAGGAATGATATCGAAAATGCATCAGATTATTGTTGAAATAAATCTCCCGTTTTTGTTTAAATTTTTCCACAAAACACATGGAATAACTTTGCATTTTTTTTCACAATTTCTCTGAAGGTCATAATGATAATACGACCAGTGTGAAAATCCTGCACGAGACCAGCTTGAAAGTGATGGACCTAGCGTATCTGAAACGGGGCTCCGTATACGACCAACTCTTCAGGGTGGCTAGTGGGAGAAAGACTTCTACCCCGGAGGAGAGGTATACATAGTCATCTTCTAAAATACTGTAGAATTTGTACAATTGATTTGTACAAACGCGCTGCAGAATAAAAAGTACATTGGATGTTACTGAATCTCAAAAGTTTTAATAACTTCTGAAAGATGAGAGGAGGAGAGGTATACATAGTCATCTTCTAAAATACTGTAGAATTTGTACAATTGATTTGTACAAACGCGCTGCAGAATAAAAAGTACATTGGATGTTACTGAATCTCAAAAGTTTTAATAACTTCTGAAAGATGAGAGGAGGAGAGGTATACATAGTCATCTTCTAAAATACTGTAGAATTTGTACAATTGATTTAGTAGAACAAGCGCTGCAGAATAAGAAGTACATTGGATGTTACTGAATCTCAAAAGTTTTAATAACTTCTGAAAGATGAGAGGAGGAGAGGTATACATAGTCATCTTCTAAAATACTGTAGAATTTGTACAATTGATTTGTACAAACGCGCTGCAGAATAAAAAGTACATTGGATGTTACTGAATCTCAAAAGTTTTAATAACTTCTGAAAGATGAGAGGAGGAGAGGTATACATAGTCATCTTCTAAAATACTGTAGAATTTGTACAATTGATTTAGTAGAACAAGCGCTGCAGAATAAGAAGTACATTGGATGTTACTGAATCTCAAAAGTTTTAATAACTTCTGAAAGATGAGAGGAGGAGAGGTATACATAGTCATCTTCTAAAATACTGTAGAATTTGTACAATTGATTTAGTAGAACAAACGCGCTGCAGAATAAAAAGTAAATTGGATTTTACTGAATCTCAAAAGTTTTAATAACTTCTGAAAGATGAGAGGAGGAGAGGTATACATAGTCATCTTCTAAAATACTGTAGAATTTGTACAATTGATTTAGTAGAACAAGCGCACTGCAGAATAAAAAGTACATTGGATGTTACTGAATCTCAAAAGTTTTAATAACTTCTGAAAGATGAGAGGAGGAGAGGTATACATAGTCATCTTTTGAAATACTGCAGAATTTGTACAATTGATTTAGTAGAACAAGCGCACTGCAGAATAAAAAGTAAATTGGATTTTACTGAATCTCAAAAGTTTTAATAACTTCTGAAAGATGAGAGGAGGAGAGGTATACATAGTCATCTTCTAAAACACTGTAGAATTTGTACAATTGATTTAGGAGAACAAACGCGCTGCAGGATAAGAAGCAAATTGGATTTTACTGAATCTCAAAAGTTTTAATAACTTTTGAAAGATGAATAAGAAAATTGACTGGAGCGGGGTTTGAACCTGCGACCTCTGGATTACCATTGCAGTGCTCTACCAACTGAGCTATCCAGCCCATGTGTGGGCAGTTCCTTATTTTGTTAATGTCTTTGTTCAAGGTGCACTAGTCAGAAGCCATAAACCCATATATGTCATGTAGCCAGGGATCACAAGTCAAGGTGCTAGCAACATTAGCAAAGCTGCGAACCTGGGAATTAGCAAAATAAAAAGTGTTAGATGGTGATCTACAGGGTGTTTAAAAAAAAAAGGAAACCAGACTTCAAAGAATGAGTATGGACAGACCATATGTTTACTGGCTATAAAACTGGTATCATCTGAAAGCATAATCTGTATGCTTTTCAGTGATACCGTGTTTAGGTTTTCTGAGTCATGCATCACTGAGCATCATTGTCTTGAAAATTAGATGCAAAAATGCAGTTGGTTCACTTTCATAAAAAAAAAACATGGGCACGGTGTGCCTATTGCTACGGAAATGTCTGTGAAATGGCTTGAATGTTAATCCTCGGGAAAATGGCACATTGTTTTGAACGTTGTTTGGTCAAAACGAGAAATTCATGACAAACAATAAAATCCAGTTTTGAAACCAACTTGACTTCTTTTTTTTCACTCGTGTCTTCTTCTTGAATACTTATTCTCATGCACACCCTGCCTATTGTGTTTTTGTTTTTGTAAAGTGAACCAACTGCAATTTTGCATCAAAATCTCATGACAGTGGCACTCAGTGATGCATGACCCTGGAAATGTAAACAAGGTATCATTGAAAAGCATAGAGATTACGCTTTCAGATGATACCAGTTTTATAGCCAGTAAACATTTAGTCTGTCCATACTGCATGGTTCTTCAAAGTTGGGTTTCCTTTTTATTGAAACACCCTGTACATAAACATTAAAATATAAGTTTTCTTCTACATGTATTTGTAAAAAGTTCTTTTCTACTTATAGGCGAGACCTTTTCAGAGACCTCACTCAATAAAGAAACATCAGATTCAAGTCTAACATGAATGACCAAAGACTGTAAATGTTTGGATTTTCAACATACAAATCAGTTAGGCTTTAATTATAAAGTTGGATTTAACATCTCTGAAATCTCTAGGCTAGTTATGTGATTGATTTTTCTCTCTAAAAATTTGAGCAATTGTTCTAAAATAGATTTCAAAAGGTCCCAAATAAGGTCTCGACTAGATCGCTGAAAATGCCTGTGTCAGAGCACTGTTTTGTTTCTACCAGGGAGAAGTTTGCGTTGGTTGAGCATGACATGATGTTATTTGCAATGGCGGTAATTGGTGCAGCATCCTATGTGACTGACAGGACTACCAGTGATCAGGTAAATCCATATTTCAAAACAAAATGTATTCCCATAATCCCAAGATATTTCTACGGGACTTCTTTATAGGTCCATTTTGGGGCCCCAGATGGTAAGACTTGTTAACGGAAGAATAGATCATTAAATTCATTTGTTTTGTTTGAAGTAACAAAAGTGCTCAAAATCTAACGACGTGCTTAACAACTAACCTGATAAAGTTTAAGCTGTGTGAATGCTTTACATTCCGAGAAAACAATATTCTAGGTTCTTGATTTCAATTGAAAAGTTTGCGAGTCATATTTTGAATTGCACCCAAAATCAGCACCCGGAACATGTTCTCATTCAGACGATTGCAGCTACGCGATGTCACACACTGAACCGACGAATAGCAACTGTGCGCACGTGTGCGTCATGTCAAAATCATGTGCAAAATGACAGCATGCCAGAAGGAATAATTTCACAGGGAGTTTTGTGCCGTTACGATCTTTAAACCAAGTAATGTTTTTTAACAATAATTTGGTCAGTTACTTTTTGGACAGCTGCAAATGATCTTCTCTACAGTTAAGCAAACTGACAGGCAGGCAGGGTCCATTGCAGTGTTGGCACAATTTAAGAACTCAAAGCTCGCTTTGTAAGACATGTTGATTAAGGTGTGGATTTTAGGTCTCAAAATGTTCTTGAACATGTGAAAAGTTTGTTTCCAAAATGCGATATATGCCATTGTGTTCCCTTTTAGAATACCGTTCTCTCCTGGCTGCCCAAGTCAGCTTTAGAAGGTTTTATATAGTTAAACATAATTCATAAATACCTAAGACAGTTTACACATTCCTATTGGTCGAGAGCCCGTCTTAAACGGATGATAAAGACATGGCTGGCTGGTCTTAAACACTTTCCCAGTGTCACATGAAATTTGGACTCCCATGAAATCCGGTCCTTTTTAACGATTCATTGGTTGAACGTTCACATTCCTCACATATGCATGCGCAATACTACCAGTGAATCAGTATTTCATGGTCCAAAATTCACACTACACCAGCCCAGCTGTGTTTTGCGCGTAGTAAGCGCGACACGCACGCCAATGTCCTTATAAGGTAACGAGTTGTGGAGGGGCATTCCATATTATAGTCAGAGGGGTGTTTCCGTAAAACATGAAGTTAAATTGTTGAAGAAAATGGTTGGCAATGTCTAGTTTTTACCTTTTTTTCAATTTTTGGACCAAAAAGATTTGTTTTTTTGACCGAAAAGGTGTTTATGAATAGGAATAAATATGTGTTCAGTCGGTATTAAACACTCTGTTTAAGACCGGTGGGAGTCTGGATGGGTGGTAATTATCTCGGCTTCGCCTCGGGTAATTATCACCCATCTAGACTCCCACCGGTCTTAAACAGAGTGTTTAATACCGACCGAACACATACTTATTTCCTTATTGAAGAATACACTACAACGAAAAATGAAATTTAGAAACAGCTGTGATTCAGTTTCATTCTTTAAAAATTCATAGCCGTGCAAAATGTGCACTATTTTCAAATGGATATATCGCGTTTCATGTGAACCTTGTTTTATTTCTAAAGGTAATCAATCATGTGGGTCGTATCACATGCATCCCCACAAACGACATCCTGGAGTTTGCTACGGTTCTTGTCCAGAATCTCCATTCAGATGATCACCCATGAGGCAACTACAGCACACAATGTTGACTGACTTGTATTTTTTTTCAAGATTTTTGTTTTCACTATTATAAGAAAGCACATAATAACAAGTGTAAATAGTTTTAAAGGTTTTGTTTTTTGTTTCAGTTTAAATTTTCAAACACATCCGCAAAAAAAAAAAAGACTGGAAAGCTGTGACTTGTATATATTCTAGTGTACTAGAGCTCCACTGATAGAGCAGGGCCATGTTGGTTTTCTCAAAATATGGGGGTTTTTTTGGGGGGGGGGGTGAAAAATAAGTCAGTGAAACACAAAGCAAGTATTGAAACCTTGTTTATGCTAATGACAACATCAAAGAGTGTAGTTACTTTCATTCACGTATTAGTAATTTTATTACGTATTAAACCTACTCAAAGTATTGATATAGTTTTGTAGAACTGATATAAAACAGTATTTTATAACACACACAATAGAGTCGTTTAGGCCATATCCAAAAACTTTTCAATATGGCATGTATATCCCAGCTGATATGTGTATATCCCAACTCATATTTTTAAACAGTACAAAGTTGTATTTAAATTTCCTCTCCTCATGCTATTATTTGAGCTTCACCCAAATAATAGATTTTTTGTTTTTAAACTGCTATTTTTTTATAGCAGTACTAAAGTTAATCACTTTTGAATAAGACATCAAACAAACAAAAACGCTGACGTTAAGTTATGGAAAATCGAATATACAAACTTTGATTTTTTTTTTTGCAGCCCGACAATAATTTAGGCCTTTTTTTATGTTACGTGTGCAAAAGCAACTCAAAATAAATGTGTATTTTCAGAGGGTTGAAACCTCCGAAGTAGAAAACTGTAGTCTTTTCTGTTTACATAAAATGTACATATTGAAAATTGGTTGGGAGAAAAAAAATCGCAAAAGTTGGAGAGAATTGTTAGAGCAACTTTAAGCCTTTCTTTCAAACTGATTACAATGTACATGTATAAGATTTGAGGCTTTGCATGGTGGGGTATCGGTATCGTTTCGGTTTGCGGTAACACCATGTGGTAATAACTACTGCTTAGAAGATATTAGTTCAGAGAAGAACTTGTCCTGCTTATTATCAACTTTGGTAAGTAGTTTTGTTCTGTTAAGAACAGTCCTGCTGTAAGTTCTAAAAGAACTTGTCTTTTGGTCTCAACGTTTCGACTAGCCTGCTCTAGTCATCGTCAGGAGACAGGCTAGTCATCGTCAGGAGACAGGCTAGTCGAAACGTTGAGACCAAAAGACAAGTTCTTTTAGAACTTACAGCAGGACTGTTCTTAACAGAACAAAACTACTTAGCAAAGTTGATAATAAGCAGGACAAGTTCTTCTCAGAACTAATATCTTCTAAGCAGTAGTTATTACCACATGGTGTTACCGCAAACCGAAACGATAATGTACATGTACCTTCAAATTTCTCTTGTACAAGTACACTGGATATAATGGGAAAAGAGAACAAGTTGTCTGAGGTTCGAAACTTTCTAGCACACCCCTTCGTTTGTATTCATAAATGAGTCAGATGAACACTAAACTATTCAATGCTACAAAATTTATCAGAATGTTGACTTTAAAAACCTGCAAGATTTTACGAGAATACAGCACGTTTAGGCACCATGAATAGGATCTACAACGGGTGTAATGTCATATATTTTTTTAAATTTATTTTGTGTCGTGACTGGGCCCATCCAATCAAGGGCAATAAAATGGGTATTTCGGAGGAAAAAAGCATTACAGTTTACAAAATATTGCGAATTGATGACTATTATAAAATTGAAATTGTTCACCTCAACTTCTGTTCAATTGATCATGCAGATATACATGTAACAATTCGGGCGATTCACAATGCAGTGCGCCTCCAAGAGTTTGCTGTGGAGAGTCCATTTTCCAAGTTTACGGTCAACAGAACATGGGCCATTTGAATGAGTGTCAGTAAACAACTTGAGCTAATTTGTTAAAGATTGGGGCATAGCTTTCTGCCACCTTACAAAAAAACCCACAAAATTGATAAAAAGGAAAGAAAAGGGCAAACTGATAATCAATCATCTGCTTCAGAAACTACGGACCGGCAAAACAGACAATTTCAAATGTCCTGCGCTGCGAATTTGTCGACCATCTCCCACAATGCACTGGGAAAAGTGAACTCTCTGTGGCAAACTCTTGGTGGCGCATGGCATTGTGAATTGCCCGAATTGAAGGTAGCAGACCAGTAAATAAACTTCCATAGACCCCAATGGTAAATGCTCCCACTTCAAAAATTCGGGAAAAATACTCAACTCTTCAAGGCGTTCGAGACACACATCAAATTAAAGCTTATTTCATCATCTTTCATTTTCTTTTCAATTTTCGGGGGGTCAACTGATGACTTTTAGGAGAAATTTCCATCTGAAGATGATCACCCCTGAAAATAGTCCTGAAGCCCATCGCCATTTTGAAAAACGATGCCTACACCCCATTGCAAAATAGAGCGCTTTTAGGGTCCAAATTACATCAAAATTACACAGAACTGCAAGCTCCCAGTCCTGTGCACGGCTTCCACCCATATTTTTTACAATCCCTCAAGTTCATGGCCCACAGCATGCTCAAATACCGAAGATTTTGAGGGCATGCAAATCGTGATTTGGCCGGCGCAGGCAATTCCGGACCGATTTACTGGTCTGCACCCTATAGAGAAGCGAGGTTTTGAAAAATTTCCCCAAACCACTTGTACGGCACGAGGAAGGATGGATGACTCATATTTCATCAAAAAATTGCAAGAAAAAAAATCTCTGACTGCGATTTCTGGCCTGAAAACAAGCCCTCTGTTTGCGGCTACCTTACTGCAGGGCGCCCTCAACGGGCGTTAATTGAGTTTTTGCTCCTTCCGACCCCAAATTACCCCCCCCCCCCCTTGTTCGCTCGAAATTGCTGTGATCGGACGACGGTCCATCGGCCCTATTCAGATTTTGGGCGCATTTGTTGTGGAACCGCCATTGGTGACCCCTTTTGAAACGCTGCCCCCCCCCCCCCCAGGTTCCGCCCCCCCTGAAAAAAAAACACTCCGCAAACATTTGACAACAAACGATGGAAGGCGCCATTTTGAAACTATAGGTAGCAGACCAGTAAATAAACTTCCATAGACCCCAATGGTAAATGCTCCCACTTCAAAAATTCGGGAAAAATACTCAACTCTTCAAGGCGTTCGAGACACACATCAAATTAAAGCTTATTTCATCATCTTTCATTTTCTTTTCAATTTTCGGGGGGTCAACTGATGACTTTTAGGAGAAATTTCCATCTGAAGATGATCACCCCTGAAAATAGTCCTGAAGCCCATCGCCATTTTGAAAAACGATGCCTACACCCCATTGCAAAATAGAGCGCTTTTAGGGTCCAAATTACATCAAAATTACACAGAACTGCAAGCTCCCAGTCCTGTGCACGGCTTCCACCCATATTTTTTACAATCCCTCAAGTTCATGGCCCACAGCATGCTCAAATACCGAAGATTTTGAGGGCATGCAAATCGTGATTTGGCCGGCGCAGGCAATTCCGGACCGATTTACTGGTCTGCACCCTGAATAAATTCAAAGGCGGGAGTCTGTGACTAGACTAGTCAGTGTTTGGTACTAAGACATTCACACAAAAGGTGAACATGGACTGGCGAGACATGTACACGCTCTACATCTAGATAAAACATGGACGGACAATGCAGTACTGCAATAGCTTCACGTTCCTCTACATATAGAAAAGACCACAATCTTCGGATCAATATGCTTTGATGCAACAACTTCCTTTATACATGTATTTTGAAGCCATGTCTAAAACACATGGCTATTTATACATGAATTATGAAGCCGTGTCTAAAAAACATGGCTATTTATACATGTATTATGAAGCCGTGTCTAAAATACATGGCTATGACTTGCAATTACACATGCGCTTATGGAGGCGGCTGCAGCCACTTGCCATAGACGCGTGTCTTACAGCCAGACATAGCCAAAGTAATTCAGCTGTGGTGTAACACTGCACTATTGCTTCAGCGCCCTCTGTTGACCACTGTCTATCCAAGCAGCAAATAAGTCTTTTCAAATAAAATACATAAATTACACAAAGACCCTCTTCACTGAATTCTAATCCTGTTAGAAAGCTTTGGCTCATTTATACAAAAGTATCAGCAAAGGTGTCCAGAAAATGGAAGAATCCATCTTGGAAAATCTGCCATCTTGAAAAAAAAAAAAAACCCAAAACGGCCGCCTCCATTTTTTTTCAAAAAGCCTGTACGACAAGCTACAGTATTATATTTTTTCGCTTTGCCTTATTGGTTCCGTGGGCCAATTCCTTTGAAGCAAAAACTTAAAAAAAAAAAATTTAAAAAAGGGGCTACAGGCTTTGCATGGATATTCATGAACACTTTACTCCCAATAAGCCATTTGCGAGTGACCTATACTGTTTGGGATTCAAATTTGAAAAACATCTGGTACATTGACTTGCTCAGAATGCTTGGCACATAACCTTGAATTCTCCAGACTAAAGACACAAATAGACAGGGCCCAAGTACCGGTAGAAGTTCCCCCTGAGTTAACAATTATCATGGTTGGTTGTTGCGCCATTTTTCCCCTTATACATGTACTTGATTATCCACTGGCTTTCTAGAGCAAAAGCTAATGACTCGTGGTTTCACAATACCAGCCTTGTGCAACAAACAACAAGGTATATTATTAACAAGCAAATATGCATTAAAGGATAAATAAATCATATCGATCTGACACTCGATGCATATTTGATGTAATGTAGATAAAGCCATCAGTTTGGGTGTGTGTGTCTGGGTGCGTGTGTAAACACCGGCAATCGTGGACGTAGGACAAAAGAATTGGGGCGCAAACAATACGTCTACGATTGACCGAACGTCCACGATCTCAAATCGTGTGCAAAACCAATGAGAGCTGTCGCTAAAAAGTTAGAGTACAAACAAAGGAAAGAGGATTAGGGACAATGGGGCGTCCACGATTGCCGGCATTTACACACGTGTGACCACAAATTCGTATCCTTGTGGAGACACGCACACAATAGGGAACAAAACTTTGTAAAGGTCTCCACAGGGCAATTTCTATAGATGAATAGGTCTCCACAAGGTTTTCACGAAATAGATATATGGGTTTTACTCAAAAACTAGGAATTTCCAAGGTGGGTTGATCTGTCGCAAATGGAAGAGTTTTAGAAGAGGGATATCAAGTCCAAATTTCAGCCAAGGAAACTAATTCTGGTTAAAATAAGAGCATTTTGAAACTTCACTTTCAAAATTGAACACTCTACTACACGAGAACAAAGAAATGTCTCCACAAGGATACAAATTTTAGAATGTGTGTGTGTGTGTGTGTTTTTCCCTTTCATTTTACATATTTTTAGCAGCAGAAATCAGCATTCTTAGGAGTGAGGTGAAGAACTGAGTCATCAGTTTTATAAGTAAAGAGCTCCAAAATATATATTTCAAAATCATATGGAAAAAAAAACAACGAATGGGTGGGCACTGACATCTTGGAACTTCATTCTTATACTGGCTTATCTCATTCCAAATTCTCTTTTTGGAGGGGGGGGGGGAGGGGGTTGAAACAAATGGCTCATAAATTGTTTACTAAATGGTAGCTCGCAAGCCTGAAGAACCTGCTGGAGTAAACAATGATAAGTTCAGTTTTAAAAGTGAGGAAAACCCCAGTCCAAGGAGAGGCTGAAAACCCAATCCACAGCCAGCCTTGGTGGGATACGAATCCTGGGGTCGCACACAGTGGTTTGAATGCAAAGCAAGTACCACTGTGCCAACCAGCGCGTTGAACGTAAATCTTCACGTTTTACCCCATGATGAAGGAATGCACGCACTGCATGCGTCTACAGGCAGGGTGGAGATGTAAGAATGAGTTAAGGAGTAGAAATTATTCATCTTCAATTTACATTTACTTTCAGATAATCTTCAATTTCAGCTTACGATGCCAAACTACTTGTGAATCGAGAGCACAAAAACCACCATCTTCAGTAGTGTTAATTTAGAAGTATACCAAATATCTACAAGTAAATACAATATTTTTTTAATGCCATTTAAAAGTGGTATCTTTGCATTGTTAAAAAAAAACTCCAAGAAAGTTGTGTAAGCTAATAGAAGAAAATGATCCAATTGATAATTGAAGAAGTAAGCTTTCAGCAAGTAAAAGAAATGTGAAGCAAATTGTTTCCCACTCATGAATTTGCCCATAAATGTCAAGAGCAACTAAGCAATATAACCTAAAATAAAGAAAATAAGGAAAATCAAAAGGATATGGAATCGATCGTTTGCAGGCAGTCCATCAGCTTTTCCATCGGTGCATTTTTCCTGAGTGCCCTGATGCAGCCTATCAGTATCAACTTGTGTTTGGCTCTTGTTAGCGCAACATTCAAACGGCGAATATCTTGCAAAAGGAATCCAGTCTAAGGAAGAGAAAATCACGACATCTTAAACTGATGAAGGAAATTTTTTTACAGGTCGTATTATTTCTATTCCACAGTTTATGGAAATAATCTCAGAAAATACTCCTCCAAAAATCCAATTCATAACATCATTCGCATTCTAAAGCCACATTTCTCAAATGTCAATAGTTTCCTACAATACCTTAACCCTAAACGTCCTGAATCCTTCAAAATCCTCTTTGCCAAAAGGGAGGAATTTGGAGGAATGAGGTTACATGGCAAAAGTGCATTACTGATTTCGTAGGAAGCACTTTATCAAGGTCTTGGGCCGGACCTTGTGTTGTTTTTGCTCAGCCATGCATAAATATAGGCCTGGATTATGCTTGAAATCCTCCGTACTGCTCCAGAATGTCACTGGCCAAGCCTCAACATACTGACAGTCACTGCTGCAGGATTTTGCAGGATTCAGGCAGTGGTCACTCCTCCATGGACCATATTCAAGAAATAATGGAGGAATTTGCAGGATTGAGGCTATATGCTATTTTTCCATGAGGCCAAGTGGAGGATTTTGCAGGATTGAGGCTACATCCTAGCAAAAATGCCTAGGGAGTTAGGGTTAAAATCACAAAATGGGGAGGAGGGGGGGAGGTGCTCACTTAAGGCCCCCAAAAGTCTCCAGTTTCTGGTATGGAGCTTGCCCAAAGGGTGTGGCGACGTGGGTTTTTTTTTCCCCTACTTTTTTTTTTCCAAATAATGTCGGCTGATGTTGCAGATGACGCTTCGATCCCCTTAAAAACTCTCAAAAATATCCTTCAGAGTGGAGCTTGAGGTGACCTCAGTTAGGCCATAAAGCTTGAGAATTCCGCACCCACTTACAATTTTGACAGACACGAACATTCTTCAGGAAATTTGGATAGTCGAAAAGAAACCGGAGACTTTTTGGGGGGCCTAATGAGGTTTTTTTATCATTTGCCTCTAATTCATCACCGTGAGTTATCAAAAAAATGATCAGCAAGGTTCACTTTGCTTTTAAATCAAGACGGCCGACTTGTAAAGGTGTATGTAGGAGAGGGAGACAATATTTTGTGTGGATAAGACCAAGAAAACACAAAGGGAAAAAGTGAACAGTTGTCACCAAAAAAGGTTTGATTGAGCCAGGGAGGATGGAAACAAAATAGACTCTGTGGCCTCACCTCAGATTGTTGGTCCTTAGCAACGAAGGACACAATGATGACATCTTTGTCTCTTCCCTGGTACTTGTCCACCGTGTTCACTTCAATGCCTTCACCCAGCATGGTTCCCAGCAGTTTACACTGGTTCCGGTATGGAGATATGATGCCGATGTGTCCGGCTTCACAGCCACACTGAATGACAAACAAATTCATGTACAGTTTTAACTGAACATTTAAGCCAAGTTTGGTCTTTCAAAGTTTTCAAAAAAGATTATGCTTTCATTTGAAATGACCCCGATTATGAGTAACTTGAAATTTTGAGATAATAATATCTTGAGCAAGTTTTTAATTTATGGACAGACAAAGGCTATGTCTGCATAACAGGCTTCAGTGATATGGCTACGTCTATAAGTGTCAGGATATGCTCACATAATTGTTGTTGTAACTGATAAGTCCTACACAATAGATTGAGACAAGCGATTCAAATTTGGCCTAAATCCTATTATTATGTTGTTGTATTTTACTAAAATCAATTTCGATTGATCATTACTCAAGCGAAATGCAAATCAATTTAACATTAACAAGTCTGAACTCAGAAAAGTTTGCTTAAAAACACATGTTTTTTACACAAAGTTAACAGTAAAAATGACTACACTAATTCTTATGGATGAAATGTCTCCAAGTTTGCCATAATTGCAGACCGCATGTTACAAGCACAAATTCTCAATTTAAACTACCTTCATGAGACACTGAACAAGATGTTTCACCAGCATGGCCTCTGCTGAGTTGACTGTGTGTTTCTCATTTGATGATTCTGGATACTTGACCTGCTTCACAGAAGTAAATACATATCACAAAGTGGTCATTTTGTCTTATTTATAAAACAAAGTCTTCAAAATCTCCCACTTTTAAATTCCAGAATTGGTTTACTTTTATCATGCCACAATAATTAAGCACTTCATTATGTATCATCAATTTGAATGGTTAAGATTTTTTGTGGGACCTTTCGGAGTTTGTGGATTGCTGAATTGCAGACATTGTGACCCCAACTGCATAAAACTTGGATGAACTGTTTGCACAAAACATAACTTTTGACACAGGGTACAAAAAGAGCTCAATTGTTTGTTTACTGCATGTAGAAAAACAGGTTCATTGACGGACGGAAGAGTGAATATTTATAACCATAATTAGTCTGATTGAGCAGAGCTAACATTTTATTGCTTGAATATTTCAACTGTCACAAAAAAATTCGAAAACATCAGCCATAATCTTCTGGCCAACTGGTTGAAAATAGGTTTTAATTATTGTTTCTAAATATGGATTTTCTCCTTTAGGCCCCCCCAAAAAAGTCTCCGGTTTCTGGTATGGAGCTTGCCCAAAAAGTGGTGCGGCTACGTGTGATTAAACTCAAATCTGTATTTGAAGCTCTGACCCAAAAGTGTCTAGTTTTGGCAAAACACATCGCATGAGGTTCCTATTCAATTAAAATTAGAGACAAGAACATTGGAATTACATTGTAACGCCAACCAAAGAAAATAATGACCTCCAATGTGGAATCTTTCATTCTTAACTTGTGTTTATTTTTTATGACGCACGCTTAAGTTAAAGTTATACAAATGCAATGAACTAACCTACACATCAAGGAAACACCCAGCTTATATTGAGGCAGATCACTGCCAATGCTGAACTGCACAATACTTGATTAGTCATATGGTTTGCCTTTCATTCTTAACTTGTGTTTATATTTTATGACGCACGCTTAAGTTAAAGTTATACGAATGCAATGAACTAATCTACACATCAAGGAAACACCCAGCTTATATTGAGGCAGATCACTGCCAAAATGCTGAACTGCACAATACTTGATTAGTCATATGGTTTGCCTTTCATTCTTAACTTGTGTTTATATTTTATGACGCACACTTAAGTTAAAGTTATACAAATGCAATGAACTAATCTACACATCAAGGAAACACCCAGCTTATATTGAGGCAGATCACTGCCAAAATGCTGAACTGCACAATACTTGATTAGTCATATGGTTTGCCTTTCATTCTTAACTTGTGTTTATTTTTTATGACGCACACTTAAGTTAAAGTTATACAAATGCAATGAACTAATCTACACATCAAGGAAACACCCAGCTTATATTGAGGCAGATCACTGCCAATGCTGAACTGCACAATACTTGATTAGTCATATGGTTTGCCTTTCATTCTTAACTTGTGTTTATATTTTATGACGCACACTTAAGTTAAAGTTATTCAAATGCAATGAACTAATCTACACATCAAGGAAACACCCAGCTTATATTGAGGCAGATCACTGCCAATGCTGAACTGCACAATACTTGAATAGTCATATGGTTTGCCTAAAGGATTTCACGGTCTGTTGTGTAGTCAGTGTCATAATATTTCAAGGTTTATTTCTAGGATATTACTTCCCGTCAAGGTAAAAAAATAATCAGAAAATTAAGATTTCAGGGATCTGAAAAAAGAATTTGCAGAATCATTTTACGATGTAAAAATGTTAAAAAAGCTTTACAATGTAGCAAATAATGCTTTTATACAGAATTTCATTTTGTTGGCTTCTTTTTTGTAGTTTAGTAACTTAAAGGGAATGTACATCATTGGCTTTTGCTGTAATTTTCAGAAATGAACTAGTTGAGGGGTTAGTATAATAAATCAAAATATTGTTACACTGACATGTTTGAAGTTTTATGTTTGAAGTTTTGTGTCCGAAAATGCTCGAAAAAACCAAGAAAAACAAAAATGTTCAAGAAGTCTGGTTCCCTGACTCCACTAAAGATGAAATGGATCAATTTATAGATTTCGGAAAATTGTAAGGTAAGGGAACCAGTCTAGCTGGCCTGCACCCATTCATGAACATGTAACCAATAGCAAACACAATTTGAACTGAAACAAATGGTAAATATGGAGCAGTAGTTGAACAATAGTTAGGTTTTTCCAACGGTGGTCGGTGGTCGGGGACCACCGTTGGAAATGTATACAAAAATACCATTTTCTTGAAAATGACTTCACACCAGGTGCCGTAATTTTACAGAATGCTTGTGACTGTCACTTACCAACATCCTAGTAAGGTATTTCGTAAAAACTTGGTAGTTTTATTTTTCGATGTTTGCAAATGTTGTATATTCCCTTTAACTTAAAGGGATCTTCTGAAAGAAAATACACCCTACATTGTAAATGCTTTGACTTTATAGAATAACAACACAGAGTTGACAGAAGACCCCCCCCCCCCTCAAAATATAATGCGAGTTACCATGGAATTGCCCATATCCTGATTGACACTTAAAAGTGCTGACTTTTAACTACCCTCGTCTATTAATGCAAGCTATCTTACAATGTATTCAGAAACTATAAGAAAACAGTCAACGGCTTATTTAACATTGTAAAAAAATAATCAGAAAATTAAGATTTCAGGGATCTGAAAAAAGAATTTGCAGAATCATTTTACGATGTAAAAATGTTAAAAAAGCTTTACAATGTAGCAAATAATGCTTTTATACAGAATTTCATTTTGTTGGCTTCTTTTTTGTAGTTTAGTAACTTAAAGGGAATGTACATCATTGGCTTTTGCTGTAATTTTCAGAAATGAACTAGTTGAGGGGTTAGTATAATAAATCAAAATATTGTTACACTGACATGTTTGAAGTTTTATGTTTGAAGTTTTGTGTCCGAAAATGCTCGAAAAAACCAAGAAAAACAAAAATGTTCAAGAAGTCTGGTTCCCTGACTCCACTAAAGATGAAATGGATCAATTTATAGATTTCGGAAAATTGTAAGGTAAGGGAACCAGTCTAGCTGGCCTGCACCCATTCATGAACATGTAACCAATAGCAAACACAATTTGAACTGAAACAAATGGTAAATATGGAGCAGTAGTTGAACAATAGTTAGGTTTTTCCAACGGTGGTCGGTGGTCGGGGACCACCGTTGGAAATGTATACAAAAATACCATTTTCTTGAAAATGACTTCACACCAGGTGCCGTAATTTTACAGAATGCTTGTGACTGTCACTTACCAACATCCTAGTAAGGTATTTCGTAAAAACTTGGTAGTTTTATTTTTCGATGTTTGCAAATGTTGTATATTCCCTTTAACTTAAAGGGATCTTCTGAAAGAAAATACACCCTACATTGTAAATGCTTTGACTTTATAGAATAACAACACAGAGTTGACAGAAGACCCCCCCCCCCCTCAAAATATAATGCGAGTTACCATGGAATTGCCCATATCCTGATTGACACTTAAAAGTGCTGACTTTTAACTACCCTCGTCTATTAATGCAAGCTATCTTACAATGTATTCAGAAACAATAAGAAAACAGTCAACGGCTTATTTAACATTGTAATGAACAAAGTAATTGGTCAAATGCTTACATTAAACAATGAATCAAAGTTCACCATTACATTTTTTTTGCGTTTAAAGGGAATGTACATCATTGGCTTTTGCTGTAATTTTCAGAAATGAACTATTTGGGGGGTTAGTATAATAAATCAAATATTGTTACACTGACATGTTTGAAGTTTTGTGTTCGAAAATGCTGCAAAAACCAAGAAAAACAAAAATATTCAAGAAGTCTGGTTCCCTGACTCCACTAAAGATGAAATGGATCAAACATACCAGAAAATTGTACGGTAAGGGAACCAGTCTAGCTTGCCTGCACCCGTTCATGAGCATGGAACCAATAGCTAGCAAAACAAAATTTAGACTAAAAAAAAATGGTAAATTTGGTGCAGTAATTGAAAAATAGTTAGGTTTTTCCAACGGTGGTCGGCCGACCAGCGTTGGAAATGTAGACAAATATACCATTTTCTTGAAAATGGCTTCACACCAGGTGCCATAATTTTACAGGATGCTTAAGCATGTCATTTACCAACATCCTAGTAAGGTATTTCATAACAACTTGGTAGTTTTATTTTTCGATGTTTGCAAATGTTGTTTTTTCCCTTTAACAATTAGCACATTTCATGAGGTGATAAGGAATTTTGCGTTACGTGCATACATGCATCCTATTACATGTACTGGTATGTACCAAGACTTGTGTTACATAATTTGTATCAAATATCTGGCACTGTACGTACAGATCGGTAATTTAAGTGCTTAATTCACTTCTTCACAGAGCCGTGAAATTGAGCCACGTATTACACGTGTCGCTCTCTCTTTTTAACCATGCTAACAAAGGCCCACAAAAAGTTTCAGTCCATTTTTAGAGACTCTCTTTGGGTATTTTGAGTCACTAAGTGCTCTGTTGATGAGTTAATTTGTGGTGGTCTTAAAGAACGGCTGTCCACATTTTCGAAAAATTCAGTCTTCGATTTACTGCGTTTGACCAAATATTCAGATATTTCGAAAATACCAGCAGCAAATGTGTGCTGCGTCGGTAAAAAGTTGCACGAAGATTACAGCACGCCAGTTGGAATTTGCTTGCTGCGATCGATATGGGGCACTAGAGTGGCTTGCAGTAAGTATTTTATTAAGTTCTGTAAAGGGCTGTAACCTGCTAAAAGGATGTGCACAATGAACCGCCATTGATAAAAAAATTACTGTCAACAAAAAAGTGGCACCTGACTATATGCCGCAACTTTATGATGAAATAACATCACAATCATGTGTGTATTGTGCGTAGTTTTCTGTTTTTCAAACCTGCAAAAAGCTATTCAAATATTCAGCTGATGATCAAATATTCAAGTACTACCTTAACCCTAACGTACTGGTACCTGAATCCATCAAAATCCCGTTTTTTTTAATATGTTGGGGGATTCAGGATACCTCCATATTGAAAAAGTTGGGGGATTTTGATGGATTCAGGACAGTAAGCCTAGCGGTACTGCAAGATTTTGACAGATTCAGGATACCTCCATATTGAGCAGTTGGGGGACTTTGATGGATTTAGGATCTCAAAAGTTTAACTCTTTGGCTATTTGTTTGGTGTGTACAATGTACGAGGTAAATACACTGGTGGATTTTGATGGACTCACTGGTGGATTCTGATGAACTCAGGGCACCAAGTTAATTGCAACGAATACACAGACTTGTTCTGTGACAGCTTTCAAAGTTTACTTGTTTAAGGAGCTTGAGTTACAGTCACAAATGAGTAAAATATGAGCTTACAGGTGCCCTTTAGAATTTACAGATATGAAAAAAATTGCAAATTTATGCTCTTAGCAGTAGATACAAAACATTGCTTTCATTGTCAAATACTTCATAGCGTTTTGTCCTTAGTAAACGAATGCTAAGGTGTAACGTTCTCATGCAAAGATGGCACAATTCCTTCCTTTCGCACTTGTGAACCAATGCACACTAGAGATGTGCTAGTCATTAGCTGTCATAACTAAGCCACACAAAACAATCTAGGGTTCCTGCTTGGTGATGCCGGACTCTACAAGGCACTGTCTATATTCACTAAATAATACTCAATAAATACACTGGTGAGTACCCCGAGTAGATCACAGAGCACTATCTCAACTGTTGAAGGTTTACCGGACACTGTCAAATCCTAAATATTGTTCAGACAAGTCACTTGTTATCTCAGATGTATTCGTAGTAAGCACAGTCAACCAATGGCATGAAGTACTTGTCAGCATCAACTTCCGACGCGGTGATGTTGTTGAGTTGGCACATCCTGCCCGACAGATTGAAGGAACGGCACTTGGGGTCCACTGAGCATGCCAAGCAACACTGCACCGGGCTGGTCATGACGGTTTCCTTGAAGGCGTGGCCGAGCAGACAGCGGGGCTGGGCATGAGGACTTGAGTCCATACGGGGGACGGCCTGGCAGCGGGTAGGGGTGCGGCACCTGGTGCGCTCACATATGAAGGGCCTCCCGCCGGTGCAGTTGTACAGATCCCACACTCCTAAACGGTACTTCAACACGAAACAGCCGGGCTGGGTCAAGTGGTTCCCCGGATTGAGGTTGTTATACTCGCTCTTTTCTTCCCCAATACACTCCACCCGACCATTATCTGACATGTATGTGCAGCCCAGCCAAATGATGCGGTTTGGGTTGCTCCTTTCGATAGCATCGTTGAGCATTCTCCACATGAAGTCATTCTCTCCTGGGGAGTTGGGCACGGCTAAGTGCCCGCCCTGCTGCTGACAGACTAGCCGTGCTTGGTCCCAGTCATAAAGGCTGTGGGCGTACATGGTGTAGCATGATTGGTGGTGACGAACCCAGTTCTGTGGGCAACCTTTATCGTGCATGTCCAAACTGGAACCACTTGCGATGCACACCAAAACCAGAACGCTAATCAACATTAGAGCAGGACCCCTAGGCATGGTTGCAATGCCAATCTTCTTGTTTCACCTCTCAAATATGTTTTACTCCGCCAGTTTAGCATGCAGACTACTGCCACAGAAAAAAATGGCAGTCTGGATACGAAGCTTGCAATTACTAGTTCTATTCCTGTCGCTGTCTTGTCATAATTTCTGCTGAACTGAGACGTACGCAATAAGCATGAAAAGGTATTTGTTGCATGAACGACTCCGGTGTTTCGGATGAAAACTGAAGATCAGTTTCAAGTAAAACAAAAAACAGGTATGTTCCTCGGTTCCGCTTTGCCACAAGTCCATTTGATTTCCACTGGCAACCTTTGTCTGGCACCACTAACTTTCAGCCTCACTTCTCAATTTAACAGAAACAGAGACAAGTAAGTTTGTCTTGTGGAGGCAAGATTCATGGTGGCTGATTACAGCCTATTAATCATGTACACGCAGAGAGAGAAAGAGTGAGAGCCACTCTATAATCATCAATAAAATGTGATAAGCCATCCGTAACGGCCTTAGTTGACAGGAACGTCACTCGCCGATGTAAACAATTGATGTGTAAAGAGAACAGAGTCAATCTGCTAGAGGCAGGTTGCCAGGGCAATTAATTACATGCATTGTACTGGAATATCGTTGCCCCGGCAATGCTTACTTACGGAAGATTTGGCCTAGATTTAGCTCTTATTAGCCCCTCCCTCCAACACCATCCAGGGCAGAAGATAAGATAATGCATTGATGCATGACTAAGGTTTAAATGTACATACCGGTATTCATGCAGCGAAGGATGTTAAGGAACTACCCCCAAAATGGGTGTCTGGCTACTTTATAAATTCAAAAGATTGACTTTGTTCCTTTAGTCGAAAAGAAGACACAGGAAGTATTTCTCAAGGTAGTAGGTAGTGGTTGAATCACTTGAATGTATTAAAACAAACTAGGAACAAAGTTACACCCTGAATGGGCATACCAAACTATGTAATCATTACCAAAAAAAACCCAATCACATTGTGATAATTTCAGAGTGTGAGTAGAGGAAGAAGTTAAAAGGGAAAACCGTGTTCCATTTGTGTACGAAAGTGTCTGAGCGTTAAACTGGTATAGCGCCCTGTCGTGATTATGAATCTAGAAAATTCCAACGTGATTCCAATTTTAGTTACATTTGTCCTCAAATCATTCCGATAAATCTCTCAATTATTCCTTCAATCGAATGTAAAATCCCAGGTTAAACCCAATTTTCCTAATCATCTGTATGCCGTCTATCAGCGGCCGTGCGTAGATACTAAAAGTGAGTAGATTTATAGATGATTTTAAGGGATATTTTGTGGGGGTTTTGTAATGGATAAATAACGTGGATTTCATCACATGTTATATGGGTACATGTACGTACATTTTATTGATCTTTTAACTAAGGATTATGCCATCGTATTTAATCATTATTGCTGGTTAATTTAGTGTAATTTGGGGCTTATAATAGCTTATCTAATCTCTCAGCTTGTTAGATAATTTAGTTGATACTGGGGAAGATTATTACATGTATCTCAGTTCATTTTCATGTGCTTTTCATGTCACCTCATAAATGTAGGTTCCAATATTTATTATTGTATTAATTTGGTTTTCTTGTAGAACTACGGCTTACATGGCCTCCATTACAGTACACGGCTCCCATTCCACGGCTATACACGGCCTCCATTACAGTACACGGCTCCCATTCCACGGCTTACACGGCCTCCATTACAGTACACGGCTCCCATTCCACGGCTTACACGGCCTCCCATTCCACGGCTTACACGGCCTCCATTACAGTACACGGCCTCCCATTCCACGGCTTACACGGCCTCCATTACAGTACACGGCTCCCATTCCACGGCTTACACGGCCTCCATTACAGTACACGGCTCCCATTCCACGGCTTTCACGGCCTCCATTACAGTACACGGCTCCCATTCCACGGCTTACACGGCCTCCATTACAGTACACGGCTCCCATTCCACGGCTTAAAAGTTACACAACTCAGTCTTCATCAGTAAATCTTCATCATTGTAATTTGAGAACAATCAGTAATTAAAGGAGAGCAAATCGACTCAATCATAGACTCGTCACCAGTCTCCTGTCCTGCCCTTTCTTTCAATTTGTATCAAATTTCATAAATGTTTCTGGCAAAAATCTGTCAAATTGCTTTGTGATTCCTTAGATTATTTTGTTAAATGTCATAAATTATTGTCAATCACAAGTCAATAACAGGTCCATCATAAGTCAAATCACAAGCCCAACACACGTCAATTACAAGTCAAATCACAAGTCCATCACAAGTCCATCACAAGTCAAATCAAAAGTCAAATTAAAAGTCTGTTACAAGTCAATCATAAGTCAAGTCACAGGTCAATCATAAGTCCATCACAAGTCAAATCACAAGTCAATCACAAGTGACAAGTCAAATCAAAAGTCAAATTAAAAGTATGTTACAAGTCAAATCACAAGTCAATCACAAGTCAAATCACAAGTCAAATCACAAGTGACAAGTCAAATCACAAGTCAACTACAGGTTAATCACTCATCAATCAAAAGTCAAATCACATCACAAGTCAAATCACAAGTCAATCACAAGTCAAATCACAAGTCAATCACAAGTCAACCACAAGTCAAATCACAAGTCAATCACAAGTCAACCACAAGTCAAATCACAAGTCAATCACAAGTCAACCACAAGTCAAATCACAAATCAAATCACAAGTCAATCACAAGTCAAATCACAAGTGACAAGTCAAATCACAAGTGACAAGTCAAATCACAAGTGACAAGTCAAGTCACAAGTTAAATAAAAAGTTTGTTACAAGTCAAATCACAAGTCTATCACAAGTCAAATCACAAGTCAAATCACAAGTCAAATCACAAGTCCATCACAAGTCAAATCACAAGTGACAAGTCAAATTACAAGTTAAATAAAAAGTCTGTCACAAGTCAATCACAAGTCTATCAAAAGTCCATCACAAGTCCATCACAAGTCAAATCACAAGTTAAATAAAAAGTCTGTCACAAGTCTATCACAAGTCAAATCACAAGTCTATCACCAGTCAGGTATCAAGTTCAAGCAGGATGGACAGTGACAAAGCAATGCCTTTGTTCCTTCAGTCTCGATGACTTGTGATGACTTGTGATGGCCGTGACGGCCTCTAGTGACCCTATAATTTTCTCCCAATAACAAAAATGTCTGTTCATCATCATATCCCCACCCACTGTCTATCAAGCCAATGAAAAACAAATCTGACAGTAATTGAGACATCTGGAAACTACGTTCAAAATTCAACAGGAAATGTGTGAAATGTTTCTGTGGTTGTGATGCCCAGATATAACACCACATAACAGGGGGAAAAAAAGGCCACTTGTATTTGCTAGACTGGTACTAAGATAATGGCATTGGAAAAAAAAGTGAATCTTAAATTTTAGCCAAACGAACAATTCATTAAAAATTAATTCAGTAATGCAGATGATTGGTGACAGAAGTCAAGGAAGCTAGCCTGCACTATTAAGGCATTAATATTTTAAGGGCATTCCCCACTGACGTTAGTGGAAACCTTTCTTTTCACTTCAAATGTTTATTCCTGATTCGTGCTTTTGACAATTTTTTATCTCTTCTTTTTTCTCTTTTTTCTAAACCATATTTCTTAATTTTAACTGTATTTTATTGTACATGTAGTTACATTTGTATACATATATTCACATAAACTGTTATAGTCTGTTTCATATTCTGTATTGTCATTATTTTTATACAGGGTCAAGAGTATTTAATTGATGAGGCTGTTAAAATAAAACTACAAATAAATAAATAGATATAAATAATACAACTACATTTTATATAGCATAAGCCATAATCTATAAATAATCATATAGCATAATCTCTATCATCAAGGATTTCATGGGAGTCCAAATTTCATGTGACACTGGAAAAGTGTTTAAGACCAGCTAGCCACATCTTTATCATCCGTTTAAGACTGGCCACGTGACGGGCTCTCGACCAATAGGAATGCGTAAACTGTCTTAGGCATTTATGAATGGTTGATAAAACAGCGATTGGGTTTAAACACTTTTTCTGGTGTCACATGAAATTGGGTCCCTATGAAATCTGGTCCCTTTTACCCTTTTATTGGTGGAACTCACACGTGACCAGTCACTCTCCTATTTATCTTCACTTAGGCATGTGCAATACTACCGATGAGTCCGTATTTCATAGTCTTAAATTCACACTACAACCGTCTGGCACCGCTGCTTTCTGCACCACATCCCACAGTACGCGCCAATCTCCATATAAGGAGATTTTTAGAACTATTCGCACGAGGCACATATCATTAACAAAGCGAGAGGGGTGTGTCACAAAACATGAAGTAAACTTGTTGAACAAAATCGTTGGAAATTTATAATTTTGACTTGTTTTGACTTTTTGACCGAAAGGTAAGTAAAGTACGTTTAACACCAGCTAGGGGCCAATGTTTTTTTAAAGATTTTTGAGAAGAACGTACCTTGTCAGTGTTGAGGAAGCATACAGTGGTTGCTGGCTGGAGTGCTTGCAAAACCCACGAGTTGTCACCTGGCCCTAAACGGAAGTCCTGTTGGCAAGAAATTCATAATTTAAGGAATCAAATTTTTTTGTATTTCAAATCTGATATTCAATTTATCGCATTTTCAAATTAGTTTGCCTAGAAAATGCACACACCACATCTGGAAGCTACTGTAAAATACAAAAATAGGACAAAGCTATGGTTTCTTGCTAATAAATGCAACTTATTCCTGAAATGGTCTTGGACAGTATAAAACAACAGTTATTCTTCAATGAACACGCAGACATTATGGTAATAATAATTTTACCATATCGGTATTCCAGAAGAATCAGATAAATCTTAAAATGTCAGACAACAAAAATGAGCTCCCTAATCATTTTTAATGGCCTTTCAAAATGTTTGACTTTATTTAAAGCAGCTTTTAATTAATACGTGGAAACACTTCTCACCGACTTGAAGGTGTCCCATTTAGGCAGATTCAGTGTTGTCATGGCAACCTTTTCATTACCACATCGTAGCTTGCCATCGTACACCAGTGTGTTACTGAGCATCATAATGTCAGAGTTCATACGATACTGCAGGCTGAGTTGGACAGTTGCCAACGGATTGGCCTCGTGTTGGACCCCTAGTCGCTGGAAGAGGCTCTCATCCATGCCTAGCTGCCTGTGGAGAAAAGGTGTACAAATATATCATGGTTTGAGGGTCGAGGGGAGGGGGAGGGAGGGGGAGGCAGTAGGGAAGGGGAACACCCCCCCCCCCAAAAAAAAAACCCAACATGCTACTGTGGTAATTTCAGTAAACTGCATGACGACCGGTTCATACTTCATGTAAATAGGAATGCAAGGTAATTTTTAGGTCACTAAGTAATTTTGTGCCAAATTTTGCTTATTTCGCAGAAGGGAATAATTGCTGTAATACCACAAATTGCCATTTGTATTCGTTGTACATGTATATTGTTCTCTTTTGTTCTCTGGAATTTTTTGTCCACGGTTTGAATAGATGAACACGTACTGCTTTATAGTAGAGTGCGATGTAAATCTTCAGTAGGTGTGAACAAACTAGCAATATAGCCTTTATTTTAAAATAATAGTTTACAATAACTGGTGTCTCAACACTGATTGCTTTAGTCTTACTCCTTTTGCTTTTTTTAAAGACAGGGTGAGTAAAAAAAAGTGACCTGGATTAATGATTTTTTTTCTCTTAAAAAGCAATTAAATTCGACACACCAACGGAGCATATATTAAAAGAGCATGTTCTTTCACTGATCTGAAAAAGGAAATTACTGAAATTGATCCATGCTATGAAAAGTTATGCATATTTACTAGGAAAATCCATTTTACAGCTGTCCATGGGGGCATGGAATGCCATTTGAAGCTATTGAGCTCAGTGAGAACCAGAGATTACACAAAGGCATTCAGACACAAATGACATTTTTTATAATTTTTGTCAAGCCTGAATCATTATTTTTACCGTCAGATTTTGTGTTTAGAATATGAGGAATTTTTTTCCGGAAATAATAATGATGAATTTTGACTGTTTTCCTGGGCTGGAAAATCCAAGAAAAACAACCATGTTCTTGTAGTCTGGTTCCCTGACCCCACTTAAGATGAGACGTTGCGATTTATAGAATTTGGGGATTGTAGGTAAGAGAATCAGTCTAGCAGGCTTGTGCCCCTTCACAGATGTGTAATCAATTGCAAAGAAAATGCAGAATGACTAAAGATGAAAAGGTAGGAGCAGTTTTTGAACAAAAAGCCAGTTTTCTCCAACGATGGTCGGCCGACCAGCGTTGGAAAAACACAAGTTTTCTTGAAAATGTCAGCACACAAGGAGCCAAGATTTTACAGCATGCTATAGATTGTCATTCACTAACAGTCCAGTAAGATATTTCGTTATAATTTGATCATTTCGTGTTTCAATGTTTGCAAATGTTGTATCTTCCCTTTAAAATAGACATATTTACCTTGTGCACAAATGTGCACAAAAGTCCGACATGTGTATGCCGTATCTCAAAAAGACTAATTTCAAACTGTCCACCTTCATGTGAATCAACACTTTGCAGTTTTTACCTTGCGACGGTACTTTGAACCAGCGGGGGGAGCTGCTTGTGGTCACCGACTAAGACAAAGCGCCGGGCGTGGAAGAGCGGTCCTAGACACACCAATTGGCTGATCTGAGACGCCTCGTCGACGATACAGACGTCAAACTTGCGACGCGTCAGGAGGGTATGCTTGGCACCTAGGCAGGTTGTAGCGACAACGAGCTTCAACAGAAAAAAAAAAGCAAAGACAACTTTCAATATTGGTTGTAATAATTTCATGGCTCTGCTTACCAGGCAATTGTGCATTTATGATAACCACTCTGTGCTTACAGCGCTAACAAAGAAAATCTCTGCATATCGGGCAAGCACAGAATTCTTGGTTACAAGATGAACACTTATGCACAAGCACATGCTGACTCTAGAGCACCAAAACTTTTTGCTAACAGAAAAGGTTCTTTGCTTATTGTAAGCTAAACCCCGAAGTTGGGATATCTGCATTGAAATAACAAATTGAGTTCATTTCACTTGGTTTTTGCCTTTCAGTACAGTATTAATTTCCTTGCCAATACTACCATAGAACACCATGCAAGAATTTATTTCGAACCGATAGTTTTATTAATATTTTCTTATTTAAATGTACATGCTTATGCTTCAAAGAAGATCATAGTTGTGACTGGTCAAAACATCATTGGCTTATTGGATCAATCCATTCTCACCACATGTCAGATTTTTGTCAGATACTTGGTTGTGCAGTCACGATTGTGATTGGTCAAAACATCGTGGTGCAGGGCTTATTGGCTCAATCCATTTCACCACATGTCAGATTTTTGTCAGACACTTGGCTGTGCAGTCAAGGTTGTGATTGGTCAAACATCCTGGGGGCTGGGCTTATTGGCTCAATCCATTTCACCACATGTCAGATTTTTGTCAGACACTTGGTTGTGCAGTCACGGTTGTGATTGGTCAAAACATCATGGGGGCTGGGCTAATTGGATCAATCCATTCTCACTACATGTCAGATTTTTGTCAGATACTTGGTTGTGCAGTCACGATTGTGATCAATTGGTCAAAACATCGTGGGGCGGGGCTTATTGGCTCAATCCATTCTCACGACATGTCAGATTTTTGTCAGACACTTGGTTGTGCAGTCAAGGTTGTGATTGGTCAAACATCCTGGGGGCTGGGCAAATTGGATCAATCCATTCTCACCACATGTCAGATTTTTGTCAGATACTTGGTTGTGCAGTCACGATAGTGATTGGTCAAAACATCGTGGGGCGGGGCTAATTGGATCAATCCATTCTCACTACGTCAGATTTTTGTCAGACACTTGGTTGTGCAGTCACGGTTGTGATTGGTCAAACATCCTGGGGGCTGGGCTAATTGGATCAATCCATTCTCACCACATGTCAGATTTTTGTCAGATACGTGGTAGTGCAGTCATGGTTGTGATTGGTCAAAACATCGAGGGGCGGGGCTTATTGGCTCAATCCATTCTCACCACGTCAGATATTTGTCAGACATTTGGTTGTGCATCACGGTTGTGATTGGTCAAACATCCTGGTGGCTGGGCTAATTGCAACAATCCATTCTCACTACGTGTCAAATTTTTGTCAGACACTTGGTTGAGCAGTCATGGTTGTGATTGGTCAAAACATTGTGGGCCGGGGCTTATTGGCTCAATCCATTTTCACCACGTCAGATTTTTGGCAGACACTTGGTTGAGCAGTCATGGTTGTGATTGGTCAAAACATCATTGGGGCGGGGCTTATTGGATCAATCCATTCTCACCTTGGTTTCCAAGAGTGAAGCTAGCTGCTGCACACTTTTGGCCCCGCCCAGTACTTCTTTCTCTGTGTACGCAGTGAGTTCCGGGTGAACACGGTGCACTTCCCCTAGCCTCAGGGGTGATATGCCAAACTTGAGAAATACGAGAAAAGTCTGGGAATTACTGAAGGTTTCATTTTCTTTCTTTTCCCTTCTTTTCAAGAATCTAAACTTGTTACCAATGGTGATGATTGTGATGGTGATAATGACAGACGTAGATGTTGTTGAAAGCCACCTTATACACAAGAGAGAGCTTCCATGAGAACTTGTAGCTCAAGTTTCTTCTTTAAAACCTGTCAAATATCAGCCATATTGCTACCTGTCTTTTTATATCATTTTATTCCTAACAGTCCTGAATCCTCCAATTTCAATATGATTTTGCCCCCCCCCCCCCCCCCCCCCCCCGAGGGAGTTACGGTTAATACACTCTTTGAGGGTTTTCAAATCAAATATTCAAATATTTGATCAAGTTCAGGTTTGAATATTCAAATACACAATTATTTTAAAATGCAGCACTATTGATTAATGAGCAACATTGAAACTTTTCACATAATTTTAAAGAAATAGTTAACAGTTGATTTCAAATAATCTGGACAAGAAAATAGGCTCGGCTAACAGTATAAGTAATTCAAATTGAGTACCTTGGTTAACTTGAGAAGAATATTGTCCACAGCAGAGTGTGTGTAGCTTGTGAGTAGTACAGACAGATCACAGGCACACAAGATACGAACTAGGGCCACGATTGTAGTAGTCTTGCCTAAAAACAAAATTTAAAAAAAAGTAAAAACAAATTTGAACATAGTCTTCTTTTGTTTTGCTTGACAATTATTCACTATCAACATGTCAACTTGTTACAACTTTGATGTATGGGGGAATACCCACTTATCCTGAATAAATATGTATTAAACAAGTAAAATCAAAACAAAAGTGAGGACAGAAGTCACGGTTATTTCAAATCAATTTGTGAGATTGTTCATTTTGATTATGTGGGTTTTGTCATAAAAGTGGATTATAAAAATGCATGGGATATATCGTCGCAGAGCTGACATACCGACGAATAAGCAAAAACCTTGTTTCGAGTAATTTGCGTTTGAAGTTGGACATTTTTGTGGGCGCCGTATTTTACCCTTAATGTTTTGATAAAAACCCTTTCGGTAAATATTCGGAATAAAATAGGAAACTAAGTATCCATCAGGTCACTTATTTAATCAGAGAAGTTGTGCGATATGATTTTATTTGATTGTAAACGTATTCGTCAGTTTGTCAAATTACATTAATCTCCAATATCCGGTTGATCTTCACACTGTTTGTATGCTATTCGTCAGTTTGTCGGATCGCGCGTGCACGCACGCGCAATCCGACAAACTGACAAATAACCTTTGTTGGTACTTTGAACGCACACCTTACTACCACCTTTGTTGGTACTTTGAACGGTTACCAGCGAATTGTTTGTAGCTATTCGTCAGTTTGTCGGATTGCGCGCGCACGCGCGCACCAATCCGACAAACTGACGAAAAACATTCGTTGGTACTTTGAACGCACACCTTACATAAGCTGGTTACCAGCGAAATTTCGTATTCGTCACTAAGTCAAATCATGGATTTGTTTTTGTGAGTGATTCGCCACAAGGGGGGTTCTGAATCTCAAAATCCAGACAAAAATTAAGAATTTTGGCATAAATACTTGAAAGAGCAACCTTCATAAACCCTAAACATAACAAAATCTCGATATTGCCAAAATGGTCGATTCGCCGGTATGTCAGCTCTGCGACGATATGTACAGTACCTTTAAAATGGCAAAAGGATAAAAATCAATCCTAAAACATAATGGCAAGAGGGAAATGACTTAGTTCACTTTTGAACCATTGTTTTTGTTGAACACAGAAACTTAACTGATACAGGATTCGAACCTGCAACCTCTGATCGCATTTTTCTAGAAGTGGTACGTTCAAACCCAGTTTAATAAAAAAAAAAAAGAAGACTCTCTTCACTCAGCAGACATCTTTGAGGTTTTTGCTATTTTTATTCAGTAACAATGAACGCACAAGAGGTCTACTCATGCGTTTCCCTGTCAAAAAGCACTCCCCTCAAACATGGCTGCAATACAACAAGCTCTCGTGTTCCCTAACGTGGCGCACTTCAAAGCTTACCCGACTTTCATGTAGTGTTGCCAAACCTCTTTGTTGACATACCTCAAATTCATGCAGTAAAATACTAGTACTTTTACCTTATTAATGCTTGCTATTTGTACTCTGTGGACAATTTCAAAATTTCTGAAATTCAAAAACGGTGGCGTCCGGAAACTGGGCACAAATTGGCGGAGTGTTCCCTAACGTGGCGCACTTGACTAAATCTCGGAAAATTCCAAATTAACATTTAAGAATTTCTGTAACCTTGATAAATTCTGATACATGATTATAATCTCTACTTACATACCCAGCCAGATGTTTGTCAGAAAATTATTTTCTTACTTTTCGGGGCATTTTCCAAGGGTTCACTTTGCACTTGACAATAAAATTGGAAAATCACGCCAAAATAAAATTTTCTTCTAACTTTGTTACGGGTAAATAAACTCGCGATTTATAAACAGGAGTGTGTAGAACTTGATGAAATTTCACTTTCTGTGAAATTTCAGTTAAAACTTTTGCTCTAGGTAGGCGCTACAGGCGAAAAATCAAAGTGCGCCATGTTGGGGGCCGCGCCACGTTAGGGTACATCAACTATATTGAGAACAGTAAATTTTGTCCTAATATTTTTACCTGTGCCCGGCATGCCAATAATTAATGTGTAGTCCTGACATCTCAAGACTGCTTTGATAGCTGTCTGTTGATCGCTATTCAAAGATCCTAGAATTTCAGCCACTGAAAAAGAAAAACAAAAAAATTCAAACCCATTCACAAAGAATCTATATTGGTTGCTTTGCTAAAAAAAGTAATAAAAATAACTAAGTAAGTTTTACTCATCAACAGGACATCAATATAAAAAGATACAAAATTGTAAAGTTTCCATCTTCAAAAACTCTTTTATCCACTGCAATATAAATTGTTGAAAGTGGGGATGAATTAATGAGTGCATGACCTCATTGTGTTTCCCTGACTAAAATTAAGATACAGAGTTTACTTGCAGATACTTGTAAAATAGTTAAATTATATAAAACAGTGACAATTTTTTTTCAACTGTAAATGCAAGCTGGGGTAAGGTATAGGCGCCCTGCAAAATCATTATATTCAGTAAAAAAAAAAAATACAATTTTTATATTACAATTTCCTTGAACTTTCAGGCATTCCAGAGAAGAAATATGATGAAGTATTTGTTCTGAAGACTCCATAATCCAGATTGTTTGTCTGATTACCTTTAGTCTTTGCAGAGTCAGGAATCTGTGGTTGGTTGTCAAACTGTGGCTCACTAAGATCCACTACAAGCTTACGTAATCTGTAACTAAAATAACATTCAAAACAAACATCTTAAAGTCTTACAATGATGATGATCCTATAAGATGTATATACCGGGTGTCCCCCAAAAAACCCGAAACCTCAAAGCACCCTCTGTGTCACAGCTTCAAAAAATACATCAGAAATATTGATACATATTTGAAAAGTATAGTTCATCAACATTGTGACTTTACTTCTCTGATCTTCAAATTCCCTGAGGATCTTCATCTGAAGTTACAAACAAACTTTAAGAGTTAGCTCTTGGGTAATCACAGTTAATTGCAATGTTAATGTTCACTCAAACTCAATCAATGATATTTACACTGGACAAAATTCCTAGGCCCAATTTCATGAAGTTGATTTAAAGTTTAAAAAACTGCCCAGAAAATTTACGCATTAAGCAGAAACAAACTGGGAACCAGTCACAAGCAATGTAGATTGCACGACAATTCGGCTGGTAACCGGTTTTCGCTAAGCAACTATATTTTCTGCTTACCAAATTTCTGTGGTAAGCAGGTCCATAACATTGCCCCTGATCAATTTTTCTTTACCACTTACGCGTTTTCATCACTGAGCAACAGTCGGGCCAAATTGACCAGACTAGATGCCATGCTATTGTAAGCATCGTCTTTATCCATTCGAAAGAACTGGCTGCCACTTCTGTTAGACTTCAAAGGTCTGAAATAAACAAATTTGACATACCTTAAATTTCATCACGGATATTTTGTCTACAAGATAATCGTTCTTTTTGACTTCTCGTATAACAGTTGCATCATGCCATTTTTATCAGGGTAAGAATAAATGTTAACAATAAATAATTCTTTGCCAGCAAAGAGTGAGAATATATCAGATTAGGATGGTGCCTAATGGAGATTATGGGTTCAATTTGTAATTTTCAAATACTAAAACAGAGGCCATAATCGTTTAAGCAGACAAGGCATTTTGTAGGCCGAACAAGTGGCTTTTGTGCAACTTCTGTTGATTATTTACCAAAGTTTTGTAGGAATTCTGTATTTCATTGGTAACAAAATGTTATTCCTAGTTTAATACAAGTTTGTGAACAAAAATTGCACATTGAACAGAAAATTTACCAAAAAAACGTTGCACTTCCTTTTCACAAGGCTGCTAACACTTATTCTTAAATTTCTTAGAGGCATATATGGAACGGTGATTTGTAGCTTCGCACACTGAAAAAAAAACAACCTTTACCTTTCTGACTTGATGGTAACTTCCATGGATGTGATACTTTCCACAAATCCTGTGCAGGTGGCAATCCGTCTGGTTCCTTCTACAGAAACGGCGACTCTGTCTCCCGTCGAGACCTGAAAACCCAACAGGGACTTGCTGCAACAACAAAGACAAACACAGTTTTGTTGGAGAAACTTCAACAGACAAACTTACAATGTAAAGTGCCTTTGTGTTCAACCAATGGAGGAATGTTCAATTGGCACTGAAGCCGAGGGCCTCGTGCTGTCATTTGTTGAGAGGATTAAAAACAGAGAAGGTCATAAATTCGGGCGATTCACAACGCAGTGCACAACCAAAAAGTTGCCATGGCAAGTACATTTTTCAAGTTGACGGGGAACAAAACATGGCCAAATTGAACGAGTGTCAGTAGACAACTTGAGCTAACATGTTCGGGGCCTAGCGTTCTGCCGCCTTACCAAAAAACACCATATTGATAAAAAGAAGAGAAAAGGGCAAACAGATACTTGCATCATATGCTTACAAACCTACTGCTAGAAACACTAACAATTTCAAATGTCCTGCGCTGCAAATTTGTCGACTATCTCCCATAATGCACTGGGAAAATGGACTCTCTGTGGCAAACTCTTGGTGGCGCACTGCATTGTGAAACACCTGGATTCATACAACGGCTTAGCACTAACAGCCTCGGTAGCAATGCTAATTTGAAATTCGTCTATAGAAGACATTACTTTCAAACAAGGATAATACAACATTGGCATTGGCCAATTTCAGATGGAAACTTAATGGAATTTATTCTAACTAACAGGTAGGCCCGGGAATCTGGGAACGTTGTATATTGCCTTATCTAGTTCTCAGACCTATGGAAACTTGATGGTTCTTGTTAACACATAGCAACCGATGAAAACTGGTGCGCAAATGAATAGATGCTTCATCGGCTGACGTAATCCTGTCCGCACCTATTATTCTCTACTCTTAACTTTCGAAAAGGCCCAACATTCATGTAAGTTATGTTACAGTGCAAAAATGTTAAAAGCACCATTATTTCCAAATTATGCATATTTTTATTGACTATCAAATAACATTTCATGTGACAAACACATATTTGGAACAGAATATTCAACATCTTTTTGTTCCAACCATATTGTTTCAAATCACAGAAATGTTTCAGACAAAATTTTCACAAGACTATTCCATGACTCTTAACAAATTAAACATCAAATCCTAACCCTTCTGAATCCAACAATGGGTACTGCCTGCTGGATTTTCGTCATTTAACCCTAACCGCCCTGAATCCTTCAAAATCCTCTTTGCCAAAGTGGAGGAATTTGAAGGATTGAGGTTACATGGCAAAAGTGCGTTACTGATTTCATAGGATGCACTTTGTCAAGGTCTTGGGCTGGACCTTGTGTTGTTTTTGCTCAGCCATGCATAAATATAGGCCTGGATTATGCTTGAAATCCTCCGTACTGCTCCAGGATGTCACTGGCCAAGCCTCAACATATTGACAGTCACTGCCGCAGGATTTTGCAGGATTCAGGTAGTGGTCACCCCTCAACGGACCATATTCAAGAAATAATGGAGGAATTTGAAGGATGGAGGCTATATGCTTTATTTCCATGAGGCCAATTGGAGGATTTTGCAGGATTGAGGCTACATCCTAGCAAAAAGGCCTAGGGAGTTAGGGTTAAACAGTTTAATAGCAAAAGACCTTTATTTCTAAATTTGAGATCCGGATGGATAAACGCTAACTCCCTAGGCATTTTTGCCAGGATGCATTTTTGCCAGGTTACGGTGTTCGACCCATAGGTGCCATTGAATGTGGGTTCAAACAGTGACAGGGATTATGGTCCTTGTTTTCTCAGGCAAGACACTTTCCTCTCTCCAGACTCCACCCTGGAGCATAAATGGGTGCCTGTGAAGGTAGAGACCAGACTGCGCTGATCTTGAGCTGCTCCACAGAACAGGTCTTGTGGCCTGATGAACAGGGGTAATAACTGTGAAGCACTTTGAGACCTTCAATGTATCAACCCTAACTCCATAGGCCTTTTTGCTAGGATGTAACCTCAATCCTGCAAAATCCTCCAATTGGCCTCAAGGAAAAAATAGCATATAGCCTCAATCCTGCAAATTCCTCCATTATTTCTTGAATATGGTCCATGGAGGGGTGACCACAGCCTGAATCCTGCAAAATCCTGCGGCAGTGACTGTCAATATGTTGAGGCTTGGCCAGTGATATCCTGGAGCAGTACTGAGGATTTCAAGCATAATCCAGGTCTATATTTATGCATGGCTGAGCAAAAACAACCCAAGACCTTGACAAAGTGCATCCTACGAAATCAGTAACGCACTTTTGCCATGTAAACTCCAAATTCCTCCACTTTGGCAAAGAGGATTTTGAAGGATTCAGGGCGGTTAGGGTTAATAAAGCGCTGTATAAGCATCACATTATTATTATTACTTCACACTCCGTTATTGTTGTGTTTTGTTGGATTCAGCAGGGTGCCTAAAAAAAACAACTTGGGGCTAGGATGAAATTAAGGAATATAGAAACCTTATTAGAAAAAACTGATCTTCATTAAATGTCTTACTCAGGATGATGAGGTGATCGCTTGAAGGTCACATGGTAGGAGTCTTGTGTTTTATTGTGTCTACATCCAGCCAACAGCAAGCCACTCAGACAATGACCCCCGCTGCTCAGTTCCCTAGGCAACGGTCAAACAAGCATCAGAAAAGTTGACACAATTTCTAGGAGACAATCTTTAATATATTTGAACTTGAATTCAGCTTTGTGCAATCAATCAGTTCTTTCTTGTGCTGTCAATATGTAAAATACACTACAGACTTTTTACAAGGATAGATGGTGTTGTGTAACCAATTTAATCCCTCCCTCTCTGGCTGGCAAATTCCACGAAGCCAACCCAGCAGTCAAAATAAATCAAGTAAATGTTTTAAACAGTTTAGTACAGTGGAATGCCACTATACTGAACACCGCTATACCGAACATTCGGCTATACCGAACATCATCCTTGGCTCCCGGTTTTAATGTACAAAACGTACTGAACGTTGTTGTTGAAAAAAGTCAACAGATTAACAAAAAAAATAGTTTCATCGTGTTTGAATGTTGAAGAGCGATAGATGGCTATAACTTTCCCAAGGAATAGAAGGGAAAACCACTTGTTGCTAAAGTTTCGTGACGACTCCTTGTGCAGCCGCAGGATGTGGGAAATGCCACTTCACTATTGGTCAAAAGAGGGTACCGGCGGTTCAAAATCGCTATACCGAACGATCGTTATTAGGAACACTTTATGTGGATCAAACGATGTTGGTTATAGCAGCGTTCCACTGTACTCCCTTCTCATATACAGCAGGATTGACTGGCTGTGATTGTTATGAAACTTGATACAGCTATACTGTGGCTGTAGGAGATTGATAAGCCAGCTGTGCGTACCAGTCACCAGCTTTTGTCCGTTGATGGAATATGACTAGTCACTGTGCCTATAGAAATATGATCTGACTGTTGGTGACTAGCCTGCCTAAAAAGCATGGAAGGGGATGTGGAATTAATTTTTGATTGTCTGTGACTGATCAAACAAAAGGAGGTTTTTATAATGATGTCTTTAATGTATGGGATACACTTTGTGCACTCACTGTTATCTGAATGAGCCCAAAATCATGAATAAATACTAACATGATTCAGACGGGAAAACCTAGCTTAGATCACAAAAAAGGTTGAAAAATGGCTCATTTTTTGTCACCTTATGCCAAAAAAATACTGCAACAACCTCTACAAATGGATGGCCAAGGCATTAAACAGCCGTTCTTGAGAAACAGAGGTTGTGAGAAATAGTCAAAAGTTTACTCGGTTGGACTCGAACCGCCGGCTTACAGAGGTCATACCACTCAACCACAGAGCTTGCTGTGGCCGGCTGGCCGGTTCGAATCTGATATAGCAGCAGGTACCACAATCAAAACCTTACAAATATTTAATTTACATCCCCCCACCAAGTAAAAAGTTCCTCATAAAAGATTTATAGTCTTGTAAGGGCTGGACTAATCCTTCTTAAACCAAAAAATATTAATTATTCTTTAAAGCTGTCAAAGCTTAAAGGGTCCATGAGATACCTTTTTCTTAGGAACATATTTTGTGCAACTTTCTACTCCTCTTAAATGTATGAAAACTATTTGACATCCCTTTTTGGTTAATTTTATTGAAAAGTGCACTTCTTTAGACATTAAAAAATTTGCAATGCTTTTCCTGACAACTGAGGGCGCTGTTTCTGTGATGTCATTTCAGGAAGACACTGTTCAGTTTATGGCTTTTCTGTTCAAATTGTGAACCCAAAAATGTGCTCATTGAAAACGTGTGAGAAAAGTTTGCACACTGTCTCACTGCCATGTACTGGCACAACTAATCACCAAAGAACAGAAAATTAACGACAGCAAAACATCCAAACTTCTCCCAACTTTTGATGCTGAAATAGCTGTAACGTTGAGTTTTTTTTCCACACTTCGTCACCATTTTCACGAAGAGCCACACATGTTAAAAATGACAATTTTTCAATTTCGATATTTTTTTTTCACAAGCAAAACATCATTAATTTCTTAATTACATTAATGATGCAAGGGGCAGGCATCTCAATTAGTGCATTTTGCATTTTCACAAAGAGACACGAGCATAGGTGTCCCTTGAACACGTACAAAACACATTGGACGGAAAGGCGAAAAAGTAGGTCAAGTCAGATTTTCGTTTTCACGAAGAGCCACACATCTTTATTACATTATCAGATGCGCGCGTAACACGTGCGCTCCTTCCCTATGGAATGACACGTTGAACAGAAAGGGCCTAAATGTAGGAAACGTGGATTTTTGTTTTCACGAAGGGACACACATCTTTACTTCTTTATTCATTTTGGCTATAATGTAACTATTATTTTGGCTAATTAAGTATTGTGCTGATTCTAATTTCTGAGTTTACATAAAAGTTTACCTTTCAAAGAATCATGTGAATGTTTTCTTACTGCATAAAGGTGTTGCAAAGTAGTAGTTTTTGTAGTTTTAAAATAGGAGGAACTTCTCTTGCGATTATCTCGAAAACGTTTCTTCTTCAAAATCCACATCTGTGGCTCTTCTTGAAAACGGTGACGACTTTTGCTAATGAATATTAAATTGGCATTAGCATAAAAACAAAAAAGATATGGCAAAACAAAACTTGAAAATAAGGTTGAATGGAACACAAGGGTGCATTTTCAAGGATTGCATTAAAAACATTTCATTGCATGGGCCCTGAGAAGTAGTACTCAAATAACACATAACAATTCTTAATTATTTTGGCAGTTGTTATTTCTTTCCGTCACAGCCTCTTTAGTAGCTTTCTGCCTATTCATTAGAATCTAAAAAAACAAATATGAGAAATAAAAGTGTGTTACCTCTCCTGGGCAGCGGTCGACCAGATGTGTTTAGTGTGGTTCTTCTTTTCCACTGCCATGCCCTCTAGTGTGCACAGTAAGTACCAGCGGCTGAAGTACTCCATGTGGGACGGTGACAGGTGGCCAAGTTGCTCAGAAAAGAACTGGTACCCGGCCTCGCTTAGCTGGTGACCAACACCTTTCTCGCTTTCAATTCTGTCAAGAAAGTAAACAATGAACACGAATAAAACTGCTGCGAAATGGTAACAAACTGGAGTGATCTGAAATTTACAAATCAAGAAAATTCGGGGGTGTAAAGTTTTGATCTTTTAGCAGAGCCTTTCTCAAAGGCAAACTGCTTCTGCCTTGGAGAAAGTTCTTGCTAAGGTTAGAAAAATTAGAGGGTAATTTTGTTGAAGGAAATGAATCAAATTTGAGTGCTTTTTGGGCAACCTTGGCCAAACTCCAGAATCTCAAAAATCCATTAATTTTTTAATGAAAAGCAAAGGAAACGAAACCAATGTTCTTGATCCCTCCCTTGCAGAGAAATAGGAACACACATACTTTCAGAAAGAAAGTGATAATAAAATTCACAAAACAAAAACAAGAAGGAGATTATGACTTTTGAATGTCTTACCTTTGGAGCATTGCACAGCTGACCAGATGCGGGCAGTGTCCGCAGGTGAAGTCATCCTCAATTGGAGCTGGTAACCGTGGCAACGTCCATGTCCCATCGACGGCTAGTTTGGCTCGTAGGTTGATGTAATATGCAAGCTGGTTCCTCAGATGTATGAGTTCTATTCACCGAGAGAGCAAGAAAAATAGGAACTTTGACACTCAATATTCAGGTTCTTGTTGGAGTCTTGCAGGGAAGTGTGGCCTAGAGGTTAGGATTCGTGACTCGTGATCAGAGGGTCAGGGGTTCGAATCCAGCTGCTATAGCCATATGTTGTGTCCTTGTGAGGACTTGTGAGGTCTTGTGAGGATTCATGACTTGTGATCAGAGGGTCAGGGGTTCAAATCCAGCTGCTATAGCCATATGTTGTGTCCTTGTGGGGACTTGTGAGGTCTTGTGAGGATTCATGATTCGTGATCAGAGGGTCAGGGATTCAAATCCAGCTGCTATAGCCATATGTTGTGTCCTTGTGGGGACTTGTGGGGACTTGTGAGGTCTTGTGAGGACTTGTGAGGACTTGTGAGGTCTTGTGAGGTCTTGTGAGGTCTTGTGAGGTCTTGTGACGACACCACAATGATTTTCAGGGACAGGTTGACCCCAAACTGACCTCTCTTGTCCATGTGATTGGCTGGAACGGACAGCATGGCTCCAGTCTTGAGATACAGCAACAGACCCAGGTCACTAGCCGGGCCGTCATGGATATCACCCAACATCAGACTGTACAACACTAACTGTGAGACAAACAGGGGCAAAAGGTACAAATTGTTTGGCGATATGACGATAGTAAGTCCAGGCAACTTCACCTTTAACTGTCAAGTAAATCACAAAGGGTCACGGATTAGGGTCCCAATTCATGAACCTCCTTAGCAGAATTGTTGTGTGCTAAGCATGAATCAGGTTTGGTTGGTAACCTCTTCTTGCTATTAAAGCAACTAATTGTGAGCTTGGCTAATTTCTGTGCTTAAAGGTTCCAAGAGATTGGCCAGTGGTTACTCTTCATCATTATTCAGGTGAACAAAGAAATTGTCTGAGGCAGGGTTTGAACCTGGGGCCTCATGAATATCCTACCAGTGTTCTACCAACTGAGGCATCCAGCCCCTAGTCTGGTGTTCTCCAAAAGTGTTTATGGGACACACTGATATAGGCCCCTGTCATACGACGCCATCTTCGTAGGAAATTTACAACTGTTTATTCAATGCCATCAGGTGCGTGTGTGCGCAGTGTGCAAAATGTTCTAAAAAGGCGCATTTCGCTCAAAATTTCTTAGAAATACAATTCGGCACAACAGATGCTCGTCACGAAAAATGCGACAATCATGTGACAATCTGTAGGCAGTGACGTCATTTGAGAAAGCTATTACTAATTTGGGAAACTCAAAACATAGGAGTGGATAGCTCAGAAGTAGTGTTCAAATAACGTTTTTTCAACCCAAATTCAAATTTGATTCTAAAAAGGACTCCCCCCTTTGGTGTTCCTTCACACAAAAATGACTTACAATGGAATATTAAAAAAAAAAAACATAAAAACAAATTTAGGTACAAGATTATTTTCAATTAACAATATTTATCTATCTAAGATTGCAATGGCAGTCAGTATTAAAGTTATCGTACAAAAAGTATTTGGTTCAGATTATTTTTGGCCAAAATAATAATACCGGAGTCTTAATATAGCGCAGGTATCTACCAACAAATAGGTACTCAAGGTGCTGGTAATTATGTCTATTTTTTAAAGACGGGTAAATGAAGTTTATGAGAAATCTAAGACCCATTATGTAGCACCTTTGTAAGGGTTTACAAGATGCTGCGGCGCATATTGCAGCCACTGCCAGAAACACCAGGACAAACCCCGTCCCCTAGCGATAAGTGCCACTTGGTTCTTTAACATGCATTACACAACACACGGGACCTACGGCTTTACGTCCCATCCGAAAAACGAAGCAATAATGGTAAAGTGCCTTGCTCAAGAGCACAAGCACCATGTTCCCCATCAGGATTCAAACCCACATACGTTGGCACACGAGTCTTGACATCAATTTGACCATGTCCTGGGTATTGTGGGGATACAGATTGACTATACCTACCTGGCTCCTGTGTTCAATAGAGTTTGTCTGCCTCCCAGTTTTCAGCTCTAGTGGAACAGTCATCTGAGTCTTCTTGCCGTGCGGTTTCCGCTGGTGAATCTGAAGAAAATACAATCAATTGTATTTGCTTACAACAGAATAGTAATAGCCTCAAGGCATTGGATGACTCAAGAGTTAAGAGAGTTTGAAAGAGGACCAACATAGGACTAGATAGTTCAGTTTGAATGTTTCATGACCCCCCCCCAAAAAAAATTTTTCCAAAACAAATACAAATACAAAAGAAAATTGTTGTAATTTTTGTCAAACGTTTTCTTCTTCTAGGAAATTCAAACCTTACATATTTAGACTCTCCACTATGCAAACCAAAGTCTTACTTAATCTGACCATATCAGAATCATGCATATCACTCACCTTGACTTCTACTGTTAAGTCCACCTTGCCTTTTGTCCCCCATCTTGGGGACCAGACTGTTTCTTCAATCTCCTTGACAGTAGAGACACAGATGTTACATTTCTCGCTGTTGTGCTGTCCGGGCCTATGTAGCAATATCAAAACATTTTCAAGAGTTTTTATGATTGTAAAATTCACACCGGCACAGCTGCGTACATCGCGCAGTAGGCGCCAATCTCCATATTAGAAGTTGTTTACAACTACTAGCAAGAGGCGGAAAAGATATTTATGAATGGGAATAAATATATGTTGGACAGTATTAAACAAGTCTGTTTAAGACCGACTGGGGGCCTGGTTGCCAATAATATCCCTCGCATTCGGCTTGGGCTATTATCTGCATCCATTCCCCCAGCCAGTCTTAAACGGACGTGTTTAAAACCGGCCGAGCACATATTTATTCCCTTGGATTCTTAACAAAGAAAGCAAAAAGTAATTGAATGGTTTATGCTTATCCTTCTGTACATGTTCATTAGGCACCCAACTTAATCAAACAGAATTCAACAGCATGAAATGTGCAAACCCAAGTCATTTTCGACTTTTGGAAAATCCTGTCAGGGTTGAAACATCAGGCCCTCTAGCCCAGGTTGGACGACGTCTTCATTGCATCATGACTGACCTCCAGGGTATTAATTCTACTACCATAGCAAAAAAACATTATACCACATTTTTTTCATATTTTGACCTGACAGAGGAAGCTGAAATTTTGTTTACATAATCATTATGTCCAGAATTATGCCTATGCTGGGTTTAGAAAAGGTAAATATGTCCATGAACGACATAAGCCGTCGAAAACGTTTTCAGTATGAACTCCAAGTGTGAAGACTTCTGCGTGGATGCAACACATTTATTATACCATGTATGCGGCCACGTGCTGGGTATGCATGCACGCGCGCCCGTAAGTGGACTTATTTACCTTTTCTAAACCAGGCGTAGGCATAATTCTGAACACAAGGAATATGTAAATAAAATTTCAGCTTCCTCCATCAGGTAAAAATATGAAAAAATACGAAAACAAATGTGTTATAATTGTTTGCGCTATGGCAGCAGACCTTCATACCCTGGACTCTGTCGTGTGTACACAACGGAGTCCAACCGGGGCTACAGGCCATCTTACCTGTTTTTCAATTGGTATATTTCTGTTCAATCCAGCCAGTAAGCAGTTCACAACAGTTTTAGTCATTTTGTGTAAGTCATGAAGTGAAGAGCACGCTAAATTCAACAGATTTCAACAATGGCAATTATATGAAGCCTGCTGATTTCAACAGAATCCAATTTCAAAATGTATCCCCTGCTGAATTCAATAAGCTTTCTGAGATTTAGCGGACAAAGTAGGTGGGCGCTATTAAGATCTTGGGTAAATCGGCTGAATACAAAAGAGTTAACACAAACTAAATAGCGCGATCTATCATGTCCGCCATAACTGAAACAGGTTTCGTGGAATCACACAACTATCTTTCATCCACTTATCCAGATCAACAACATCCACGAAAAGTAACTGTTGAATACTTTTTGGTTCAGCAAAACATGAATAGACTAAACAACATAGTTTGATCGTGTGAACGTACATTTTGACATCTATCGCGGCGCTCTGCTTAGGCATTGGCTGCAGGTATCTCTCCGCCCATTGCTTCATCGTTCCCACATATTCCTGAGCTTCATCAAGAACGTTCTGCTCTGTCATTCCAACAGCATACCTGGGCCGAGAGTAAATGGGAAGAAATCAAACATCAAAGCATTTAACAGCCTAGAAGATTTAACCCATCAGCACCTGTACTACAGTGTATTACATTGTATCTTACTCTTGAATGAACCCATAAAACCACAGAGTGATTAGACAGTTTGGGGCGGTACAGGGAGTAACAGGCAGGGTGGTTTTGGGCGGTACAGGGAGTAACAGGCAGGGTAGTTTGGGGCGGTACAGGAAGTAACAGGCAGGGTGGTTTTGGGCGGTACAGGGAGTAACAGGCAGGGTAGTTTGGGGCGGTACAGGGAGTAACAGGCAGGGTGGTTTGGGGTGGTACAGGGAGTAACAGGCAGGGAGGTTTTGGGCGGTACAGGGAATAACAGGCAGGGTGGTTCGGGACGGTACAGGGAGTAACAGGCAGGGCAGTTTGGGGAAGTACAGGGAGTAACAGGCAGGGTGGTTTCGAGCGGTACAGGGAGTAACAGGCAGGGTGGTTTGGGACGGTACAGGAAGTAACAGGCAGGGTGGTTCGGGACGGTACAGGGAGTAACAGGCAGGGCAGTTTGGAGTAGTAGAGGGAGTAACAGGCAGGGTGGTTTGGGGCGATACAGGGAGTAACAGGCAGGGTGGTTTGGGACGGTACAGGAAGTAACAGGCAGGGTGGTTCGGGACGGTACAGGGAGTAACAGGCAGGGCAGTTTGGGGCGGTACAGGGAGTAACAGGCAGGGTGGTTTGGGGTGGTACAGGGAGTAACAGGCAGGGAGGTTTTGGGCGGTACAGGGAATAACAGGCAGGGTGGTTCGGGATGGTACAGGGAGTAACAGGCAGGGAATTTTAGGGCGGTACAGGGAATAACAGGCAGGGTGGTTCGGGACGGTAGAGGGAGTAACAGGCAGGGCAGTTTGGGGTAGTACAGGGAGTAACAGGCAGGGTGGTTTGGAGCGGTACAGGGAGTAACAGGCAGGGTGATTTGGGGCAGTACAGGGGACCGGGAACAATCTTAATACTGCATTTTAATATTTATATGAAATACAACCAAAGTTTGGGTGCAAACATATTTTTAATTTACATAGCTGATTTTATTTTAGTAATGTACATGAGGCAAAACATAAAAAAAAGTCTGTAAAACAAAGATCAGGTAATTTTTTTTAAAACCAAACTACTATTAAAGGTAAATCCAGCCATATACAGGGAAATGTGAGCGGATCCAATTACACTTTGCTTGAATCCCAACTTCTTGATATCCTTTTTACTCACATATCTTTGAGGTACGCCAACTGGTGTGAGACCCTGTCAACAATCTTCAGCAGACCTTCCTCGTTAAAGTTCCTTCTTTCTATTGCCTGAAATAATGATTAAAAAGCAACTTTAAAATAGCTGAGTGACAAAAGTCAAGAGGTTGTGGTTGAAGGTTTCTTTGCTCTATTTTGTTTTTTGTTGTTTTGTTTCTTTGTGGGTTTTTCTGGAAGAGAAAAGTGTTGAAATGAGGCGCAGTTGCCCAGTGTGATCATTTGTAAATAGCAATCAAAGTTTGAAATTGTGGAAGATATTTAAAAATTACTTTTTTCATTTTGTTGCTAGCACAGATCCATATTGCATGTCAGGTCCAAGAAAAAAGTTACATTTAGCTGCATTTAATTTTTACAGAGCACAAAGATATTGAATTACATTGCTAAGTCATTGAAAGATGCAAAGTGTTAAAAATAGCAACTTCAAATTTTTACGGCAAATGGAAACGTGATTAGCGTACCTTGTCAAAGACTTCATGCAGCATCGTTCCTAGCAGCATGGGCTTACTAGCTCTGTCCATACCCTGTGCAAGAATATCAGTTAGTGATATGTAGACAGTGAAGACATCTCAGGTTATGCAACTCAAATAATTGAATAATCTCAACTGAATAATTGCGAACTTTGGCTGAGTCTGATTCAGACAATTTTATTTGCTTCGTTTAATCACAGCAGAGTGTTTTCAATTTCAGTGAAAAATCTCCAAAGAAGACCCACTTAAAACTTCACAAGCAATTGAAATAACACCCCGACATATGTCAAGTTCAAGACTTGATACAGAACATTTCAGTTTGATCCCAGATACAATTGTCATCAAATATACTTACTTTGAACTTTTCACTAAGCACAGACCTAGGATTTAACAAAAACAAAACAATCATCGGTCATCAAAGAAAATGAGTTGATGCAGTTTACAAAGAAGAAACAAAAATACCCAAGTCCAAACATGAAGGTGGTTATGACGAAAAAAGGCTGTGTGCTAGGGCTGTGCCGAATATTCGAATATTCGGTTATTCGATCGATAATCGAATATTCGAATATTTATTTTCGAATAAGAATATTCGGTGGTGATATGCAATGAAATAAAAAAGTGGAAAAAACTCTTTTTTTAACAACAAAAGTGTATTCTCAAAGTTAAGTTTCAAGTTGCTGCCAAAAAACCCCATAAAAGTAGCTTGTATATATGCCAAGCAATAATGCCATACATATATTACTTCTGCTTTGGGAGTGCTTGCAGTAAAGCCAACCCATTTTTTTAACGCCGGACTGCAACACCAATCACTGATGCTTCCGACAAGATAAACAAGACATTTTGTCTTTCATGTCTTCACAAAACACTTCCTGACACCTTTTCATATCAAACTTCTAGCATGAGTAGTAACGTTTCCGTTGTCCGTATTTTTGTTTGTAGTTGTCCTACTTACAATCCCTACTTCAAAAGAAAACCGCCGCTGTTTTCCCCGATGCGATCCTGGCAAGTTTCCACGCGCGTTGGTGTTACATGTACATGTGTGCAGCATAGGAAAATGCAGCGTGGCATTGGAGAGGAGCACGTGTTAATTTGCCCACATGCGCAGTGGGAGGGGCTTACTGGATCGGCTACTGACATCGCAAAAATGGCATGCCAACATCGATGTAGAAGACCTCTGCAATCTCATGCAAAGAACTTGATTTCTTTTTTCTGTGTGGGCCTTTGTATTTTCCGTTTTCATGTACTTATTTTGAGGACGTACTGCTCGCACAGGGTCACACAAGAAGCGGTACATTACACTGATACAGGGAAGCCAATTCCCCCAAAAGTTTTCCATCGCCTGTTCAGTCGTGTCGAATGCACGTGGTTATAGGTAATCGCCTTGCATGCAGTATGCTGCCCACAGCACGTGGCGGTGTTGTAGAAAACTTGTCATGAGCCCCAACATTACATTAAAATGTTTTGAAAACCTTGGTTCATTTACGTTACAGACTCTGGGATTTTTCTAAAAGAATTTCTTGTTTACTTTTAGGGGTAAATTTATTATGGCTGTTAGATGTTCGCCTCAATGCCTCCGTAATTATATACATGTACATGTACAAAATAATCTAGTTCTCTAACTGATCAGAGCACCCTTTTATCGAACACATTTTCGTTCGCTGTCCGTCAGCTTTGTTCGCTGGGTTAGTCTGCTAATTGCACCCAATATTTGCACAAATAAAACATACATAAACACTTCAAAAACTAGTTCAGCAATTATACTTTCAGTAATAATAGCGGGAACCTCTGGCTTATGTCCTCCAAGTCGAGCAAAACGCAAGAAAAAGGGCAGACAACAGAGAGGATTTCAAACTCAAAAGAGCTCTCATTTATTTCGCCAGACAGACTTTGCGGTCAACTCACCGCACCGTACCCCTGATTCCCAGCGTAGAAAACCACAGCTAGACAAAATGTATCAAAATGTTGCAAGTTGGAATATCCAAACCTTTCAGTGGCCTATTTGTTAGAAAGTTATCTCCAGAGCACGCGCTTAGCCAGACAAAAGAACCGGGTCAGCGCACCTGTGCCCTAATTAGCCCGCCAACAATGCGCCCGACGGAGCTCGGCTGGCGATTTTTTAATTTTTTTTTTGCTGAAATGTCACCCTTCGTGTTTTGGGTACACAGCTTATAATACATCCCCTGTGGGCAAACAATGAAATACTGCTTTGCACGTGTCAAGCTGGGGCGTGTGTATGCCGCGCCCACGCCCATTATTTGCATAAACTTAAATATGCATTTACAATTCAAAGACCCATATTTCATTAAATAAAGACATTAAATATCATAGGTTTTTTTCTTGGAGTTTTTGGTTGTTGAGAATAAGTTTATTTAAAATGATATAAAATCATTTCCTCAATTCTTGGTGACAAAAGTGCGAGTTATTATTATAAAAGTGATTTTGTTATCCTCAATACTGTGACTAGGAAGTACACCGTTTTGTAGACTTAAAGAAACTTCCAGTAATGATATGCTTGGTTCCTGTTTGCGAGTTAAGGGTCGGATAGTCACAATAGCTGACGCCACCCGCCGTGTTTGGGATTCACGGCTTAATACGTCCCCATGCAAACAAGGAATCCTTCACTCTAGCTTCTCTGGTTATTGTTTAATCTTTAAATTACTGACGACTGAAGAACAACTGATTGTTGTCAAATACCTGACTTACCTGTGAAGAAATCATGCATGGCATGCTGACGTGCGCACGTACGTTGACTACATGTACATGTATGGCATATTTTTGCTTTTGAGGGAATTTGGAATGGCCAAATAACCGAATATTCGAATATTCGATCGATTGGAAGGTCGAATATTCCAATATTTAATTATTCGAATTGACTCAGCCCTACTGTGTGCATGAGAATGTATACTTTGGGGTTTTTTCGGTTTCAACATTATTTCAGTTCATTTTCAAGGTCCATACACTGTAGTTGTGTCAATCTCTTGTTGATCCCGAGTCTATCACAAAACAAATCATAAGTCCGATGACAAATCAGAGGAGATTAACAATGATGTTTATTGCGCAGAGTCAATTAGTGAATTTCAATGCCCTTATTGGCCCTCTGGGGTAGGCCAAAGTGCCCTCTATTATTTAGTCCTGGATTTATTGGAGGAAAGCTAACCTTCTCATGCATCGGATACTGCGCGAGACATTTGTGCCAGTAAGCAATCGGTCAGGGTGGACCACTAGGAAGTTATTCTGCTGGTCTACGGTGCACATCCCGGCCGAGTCAAACCGTCCATGAACGGCAACTGTGTCCCCTTCCTCAACAAGTGTATTCAACCTTTGAAAAAAAAAAAAATTCTGAAAACCTTTCTTTGCCCGTCAGTGCAAAAGAGGCAAATTTGCATGTAGGATATTAGGTAATTGATTCCATACTGAGTCATAATCATTGAGCTATATTAAATTACTAGAGCGCTAACTCGTCATTCTACGCGGGGAGACGCTTTGAAGCCATCCTGGGCGCAGACATTTTGAATTCAATGTGCGTGTTTGTAGAACACAATGAAATTAGATGGATTGAATTTTGAAAGTATACTCTACATGCAACGCGCAAGTAGAACATACGCAAACAAAAGCGCGTCATTGACGGTTCAAAAAAATGTGACGGCAAAAAGTATCTGCAGCGAATATGCGCACACGTTGCGCTGTTTGCATAGAACAAAATGACATGCTCATTGCTGATCGTGCATTTCAGTTTGGGGCATATTGGCTTCGATAACGCACCGGTATGGAATACAAACGCAGATATGCAAATAGCTGTACAAAATTTCTAGGTCTCCATAGGTTTGTGCATAAAAATGGATGCGCCCAGCAGGCATTACTTTGCACACCACATTAAATATAGCTCTATGGTCATAATGCATCCCCTGTGAACTTTAGTTTATTAATTGAAACTATTAGTTAATTCAAATACATTGGCGCTAAGTTTCCCGTAATTTATATAATGTTTATATAATGCTATTAAGCAAAAAGCAATTTGGGAAAAAAATTTCAATTTGTAGATTTATTGATTTTTGTAATCTTTGATATGCCTACTATATTTATTTTAAAGAAATAGTCAAAAAATTGTGGAATAAAAGTGTCTTTAACTCAGGGAAACTGGCATCTTTCATTTTTACAAATACAAACTTGAAACTTTCAAGGCCTTTTTATCAACATTTTTTTTGGTGACATGTTGATAAATGCCAACTTTCTGTCCGATTGGAGTGCAACACACGGTATTGTAAGGAGAATTTTATCCTTTCCTAATACCCACAAACCCTCATTTTGACCTCTGCCCAGTTTCGTCTCACTTTACCAGAATGCCTCACAACTTTGCATGCTTGACAATTTTAGTGAAATAAATGTGATAAACCAACAATATTTAACGTTTTTGACAGCTGAGTGAATCACACTTACCAAGTTCCTTTAAGTCGACAACTTCTTTTCTTGTGTTCAGTCAGGCAAAGCAACTGTAAAACCTTCTCGCTGCAACATAATTGGAAACATTTTTTTAAAACCTAATTTTGATTTCAGAAGTTTTTCATAGAATGATTTGTGACAAAAGGTAATATATACAACAGTTGCAAACATAAAAAACCAAGCTACCAAATTATTATGAAATACTTTACTTGACTGTAAGTGAATAACAGTCTCAAGCATCCTGTGAAATCACGGCACCTGGTGTGCTGTCATTTTCAAGAAAAGTGGAATTTTTTTGTGTCAATTTCCAACGATGGTCGGCCAACCAATGCTGTCATAAATATCAGAACCCATTTGAAGCAATTTGGCTATTTCTGGTACATTATTTCCCTTTCCGTTTCTGTACGCCGTTAATATCTTCATTTCTTTTCCCGAGTACCTTCCGCAGTCCTGAATGCCGGTAACCCTGTAACGGTTCAAGTCAGCCGGTAGAGATGCCTCCTTCTTCTGCTGGGAAACGCTCTTAAAGGGCGACAGAAGATTGAAATCTCTTGTGACCTGAGCTTCCATGCTGTCCAGATTCTCCTCCAATGAAAAATATACCAAGATATTGTCAAAATTTTCTCAAAAATTGCCTTTACCTGCTCAAAACATATCAAACCAATCAGCCACAAAACTATTTTTGTCTGCAATTACAGGGCTCATGCAATGCAAGTTTTTTAATGCAGTCCTTGAAAATGCATCTTTGTGTCCAATTTAACCTTATTTTCAATTTTCGTTTTTGCCATTTTCAAGGGTATTTTGGTGCCTTTTTGGTTTTTATGCAAATGCAAATTTCCATATTCATGAGCAAAACTGTGGTGTCATTCTGGGCAGAAACCTCAATGTTACAGATATTTCAGCACAAAAAGATGCTAACATTTTGGATATTTTACTGTCATAAGTTTTCTTTTCTTTAGTGTTTTGCGGTGTTGTGTCAGTACTTGGCAGTACATGGTATAAGATGCAAACATTGTGTATTTTTCTGTTTTTCTAGTTGCGGTAATACGAGATTATAAATTGTAAACATACCTCCGAATTCTCAGCAGACTCGAGACACTCCATATCCATTGCAGCCAGTAACGAGTCGTTCAGTTGGCTTTCCCATAATGCACCTGTTCCCTGACTTGGCCTGACATCCTCTGGCCACAACAGGTCATCGTCATTCTCAGCTCCAGCAGGCTCACGATGCTGGTCACTCTCAACTGTTTTATTGCCGTTTGCTCCAGCACTCTCAAAATCTCGTGATTTCTCCTTTAATCTCACGGCATTCGGAGAGATTTTCTCCTTCATGACGGTCGACGCTGTTCCTGTGGTGTCGAGAATGTTCGTTCTGTCAGCAAGATTCCGTGGGCTTGCGTCAGACCCTGAAGGTGATCCTTCTGAAATTTCACTATCCAGGGATAAAAGATTTTCCTTTTCTTTTTGAAAAAGTGATTTTTTGGCCGAGGTCCCAATGAAGGGTTTCTTACTGTCTGTACATTGAGGAATCATGTCACCTTGTTGAAATGGAGAATTTTCTTTGGTAAACATGTCAGTATCATAATTATAAACCTCCCATGAAGGGTGATTGGTGGACAACCGTTTTGCATAGGGTGAGTTCCCCTTACTGGGGGATCTCTTGCGCGTGGTCAGCCAGGTTTTGGATGCCGCCATTTTGGATTGACAGCTACCAGGTTTGTGCATGACTGCTGCCTTAAGTTTTACTTTCGATGGTTTCAACGCAAAGGGATTTGCGGAATTCTCTGTACTTTGGCGAAATAAATCCTCCTCCGAAGGATAGTTGACTGAGTTCTGATTGGGAATATCACGAACCAAGTCAATCTTATCGGTGGAAATGACTACATCCGGCAACACCGTTTGATGGTCAGATGTTGAATCTCCAACGATCTCAGCCATGATAAGATTCAGATGTTTGGCTGGGCTGCTGCCTGATCTCTGTTTCTTCCTGAGGGTCCTTGAGAGTTTGGAGGACGGCCTTTTAGCCTGAAGCATTGGTCTGTCTCCGAGAGAGGTCATCTTTGACATTGTTGTTGATTGACCGGCAATCGTACTGTCCAAACATGGCATGACTGATGATGATGCAGCATACTCCTGTAGCATCTCTTCTAAAGGATCAATGTCTTGCTTTTCATCTTCTTCAAGATCACATCCCGTAGGAGGTTTCAGAGTCTCCTCAAGATCTTCGTGGATGTGTTGTGGACTTTTCAAGTTTATCGAAGGCACGTTAGCAGCACTGAGGTTTAGTCTGCTTTCCTGAAAGGTACTTGGCTTAGAAACCAATCCCTTTGACTTATTTGCGAATGGGTTACGACCACTTTTACTCAGAATTCCCTGAGTTTTTGTGACACCGTGTTCGAGAGACTTCTGTTGACTTGGCAGACGACTTCTGCCATCCTTTCTTTTTGCCGACTGAGCAAATTCTTCAAGCATCTCTTGAAGCAAATCCTGTGACTCTCCACTTCCTTCATCAGCATGCAATCCTGCACTATCTCCAAACAATTTGAAGGACGATGACTTTTTTTCACATTGACTTTCATCTCTACTCCTCCCAAGACCAACTCCCTTGGCTCTTACTCCGCCCCTTTTAGGGGTACTGTCTTGTCTTAACCTGCTTAATGTTTTAGCTTTGTTCACACGTTCAGGCTCAGCACTTGGTGTTTCTGGTACAAAAGTTGAGAGGGTTGTGCCGAGGTTTCTGATGGGCGTCGAGTCATCCTTGTGAGGTAGTTTAGTGAATTTTGGTCTGGTTCTGTCAGAGTTCAAAATGGCCTCTGGGGTTTCTGGAATAACTGGATAAAAAAAAGTCAACAATGATTAGCTAATTTTCCATCTCTTAATAAGTCCCCCCCCCCCTCCTTTTTTACCCAATGCCACACTCCTTATTTCCTTCCCCCTGCCTAATCCCTCCTTTGTGTTGTTCTTTCCAAAAAAGTAAGGGACACACAAGCATGCATGGCATAAGCTTGTGTGAGTCATGCATGTTACATCATCATATCTCAACTTCTCTTAACGTTCTGAAAGCCAACTACATTCTTACCAGTAATTGGAGATCCTTGACTTTCTTGCGAAACAGTGTTGCCATAGTTACCGCCTGCTGGGTCTTGAGGTTTGACACACCCAGACGCTTTAGTTTTCAGCATGGAGTTTACTTTGGACACTAGTGAAAGGCCATGATCAGATAAGTCCTGGTGAGTGTTTCCAACGTTCTGAATATTACCGACACTGACAGCCTTTGTGTCATTGTCACTCCCATTTATCTCGATATTTTTCTTTGCTTCGTCTTGCTGTTGATGTCTTGCGTGCAGGCTATCAAGTCGGCCCTGTCTTTCACACCTCAGGTCAAATTTCCTCGTGGTTTGGTTATCTTTGGTTTGTTGGATTGTTCTTCCAGGTTTTATGCTTTTCCCAGTTGGAATAGGTGGACTCTTTTGCTTCTTCCGCGGTTGAAAATCTGAGTAGTCATCATCTAGTTTGTGGCACTTGGGAAGAGGTGCGGTGGCTTTTTGAGGGAGTGCGGTGCAAGGTTTTGAGCCAGGCAAGACCTGAGTGAACAACTTGGACTGTCCACCTGGTGGCTAAAAACATAAGGGAAAACAATTTTTCAGATTGTTTTGGTGCAGTGTTCAAATTAAACAATTGTAGAAATTTGAAGGAAAAAAAATTGAGTGATGGAAATAAAAACATATTGAGTGTAGCTGATAGATTTAGAAGGCAAAGTCAACAAACATCAATTTTGCACTGAAAACTTTGGGTAGTACTAGTATTCCATTAAAATTTTGGAAATATTCCCAATAAACTGGTTTTGTTAAGAATTCTTTTTTTTAGATAATGAATTTGTGTATTTAAAATTTACCTTTTTTGAAAAGAAACTGTTCAGCGATGTCTGCCCTTTAACACCAGTTCCTGTCTGGGAGGATAAGTTTAGAGGGTTGATTTGTAAGTTACAAGTAAATATTGTATCATTAAAGAAACATGACTAGTCAGACTAGGCTAAGCGAAAGCCACAATTGAGGCATTTTTTTTGCAAGTATAAGGCAGTGTATATTTGTCCGAGAACCGGTCCCCCCGATTGTTTTTTCATTGTTGTTCCGGCACTGCACTGAACATGTTCACTAAATTGTGCAGCGAGTGTTTTGTTGGACTTACACATTTTTACCTTGACGACTCTTTTCAAAAAGGAAAATCAAAGGGTACATGACCGGTGACGCCGAGACAAATAGTACTGCAATAATTTTTTTGACAAACTACAAATTTAGCCTGAAGATTACCAGTCCGAGTAACTTGGACCCAACTTATCGCCTTTTTAACATTCCGACATGGTCTGGCGATAGTAGGGTCCAACTCCAAGCTAATTCGTATATGCCGAGCAACACAATTTTGTCATCGACACAAAACCCAACATTGCCCAACAAAAACATCAGATTTCACCCTCAAAATGGCCTACAAATTACTAGATATGCCACCTGAGGTACAAGTGGACATCGATAATTAAGATGGTTGTACTGAAGTTTACTTACGATCCGAATGAAAAGTGAAACTTTTTTTATTTGTACTTATTACACGGTAAAGCAATGTTCAGTTTTTGTCACGGAAGGGCGATTTCGCTTGGTTCAAAATGGTACAAGAGCGTGGCGTAGTTTACAAGCCACGTTCATGAGTCTAAGGCTAGGTTAGATGCAGTCGGGCTAGGACCAAATTTTCAGACTAAGACTAGGGCGATTGTGAAGTGTAGGGCCCCTGTTTTGTTTTGATCAAATTAGAGTCAAAAATGTTTTTTATTGCTCAAAAATCACCTTTACAATAAAAAGCAGACTTTTCTCAATTCTAATGACACCGTTTTGCAATTCTTGGGGTAGAAATCACGATTTTCCCGCACGGTGTGCCTTGCGATTCAGCGCGCCATGCGTGCTCATGACTTGCGAAGGTGTTGTTGCCGCACTTTCATCATTTTACCCCCAAATTTCCCTAAAAATTAAACCCTGCCCTCCATCTATTACCATGATGACATACTTATTTATTGAGAATGTCGCCAACTAGTTTGGTAGGACCATTATTAATTTCAAAGTTGATTTTGTTCCATTAGGAACCTGGGAACCGGGCCCTACACTTCACGATCGCCAAGACTTACCTCTGATTTCTTAAGCGTTTTGCCCATGATCGGATCAGTCGGTAAAAAAAGAAGGCTCGTGAGTGTCACACTGTGTCAATGAGAATGAGCAATCGACACTCGTCCTGCCTGTGATCGCGACAAGAGAAGCGATCTTTCCAATGCCCAGAACCCAGTCCTCAGGTCCTATGTGTCAACAAGCCTCAACAACCTGACAACATGGACAAGAGCAGCGCGGCGTCAACAAACTTCAACTGTCGTCAACCTAGCCCCATAAATGTGGCCTATTTACTGGACTGCCTCCGTAAACATAGGCCACACATCCACATGTACAAAAATCGTGTCGACTTTGCCAAATTTTGATTTTCACATTTAGGCTTAGTTTGTAGGATTTTTTTGCTTTAGAAGCATACTCACCCTCTTTATAGGCTAGTCAGAAAGTGCTGCCTTTTTCAGATGTCTAATTTTTGTGAAATTTCATGTTGAAATTTTGATACGCAAACGTGTAAAAATGAATCTGGAAATTTCACAAAAAAATATACATCTAAAAAAGGCAGCACTTTCTGATTAGCCTATAAAGAGGGTGAGTATGCTTCTAAAGCAAAAAACCCCTACAAACTAAGCCTAAATGTGAAAATCTAAATTTGGCAAAGTCGACACGATTTTTGTACATGTGGATGTGTGGCCTATGTTTACGGAGGCAGTCCAGTAAAAAGCCCATGGGGCTATCGTCAATTACCCAGCGTCAACAAATTTGGTAGAACTAGAAGTTTTGGAAAATCAAAAACAGCTTTATGGTAGAAATGGCAATAAAGAACACCTTCTGCATATAAATTATAGTAAAAACTATTTCAAAAGTTGTTGGGTTTTTTTCAACGCGAAACGTACGATGACTCTGTCATCGAGTTCGTGTTGGCCGCCATTACTACGCATACAGTACTACGCATGCGCGAAGTGTACAGCGCCCACTATCGCAAATACAAACCGCAAAGGATCATGGGGCTGCAATCGGAGCAACAGCGCCATCACACGGCGGTGGGAAAACGTACACACGGCATGCACGGTGCGGTGTGTACGATATTTTTTGGCTGTCCATTTTTCTGACGTTTTGTGTTCGATGGGAGGTGATTATTGTGCTGTTCTGGGTTGCAATAATGACTGTTGTTATCCACAAAGGTATGATCTTTGTTATACATAAATCAAAGTTGTTTTGTTGTACAGAAAAAAAATGTTCTCACGTGCAGTTCTGACCCGACGCGATCGCGATGTGCCGACGACCGGCACGCGACCGGGGAAACACGGGACACTCTGCATTGTCATGACTGTGTCGGCCAATGCATTTAGAGTTTCTGTGCCCCTCAAAAGCTCCTTTTTATGACTCTTTTCGTATCGGAAAAATATGTGGCTTTTATAATGGTTTAATTGTTACTTCTGTCAGCGAACGATGTGTGACCTTTACAGACAATTTTTAATGATTGTTTATATAAAATATTCTGTTCACGAAAATGTAAAAAAAAAAAATACATGCACACTTGTATATATTTGTCCTAGTCAGCTAGTACTGTAGTAGGCCTAGCTAGCTAGCCTACTCCATTGTTTTACTCATAATAATTATTGCGAAGTCTTATGTGGTTTATTTTTTCTCCGTCATCAAACAATAAATATCTCTATCTTACGTTTCCCCTTCTCTTGATAGATGTCATCATAGAGCATGTAAACACACTCGGATTCCACTCATACAGGGATAAGAAACACTTCCCTCTCTGGACCCAACTGACCCAACGGCAGGATTTCACAGTAAAATCATCGACTACAGTCTGCAGCAACCACTTTAAATACGGCCAGCCATATCCTGATGAACTTCACCCATCTTTATTTTTGAGAGGATACGACCTTCCTGAGACACTGTAAAGAGCACCGGTGAAGAGGCGAGTATTGGATCTCACTACACCACTGCCGGCCATCTGAGAAAATCAAAACTTTGCTGTACCTTTTCTTAAGTTTTTATTTATTTTGTTCATTCTTACTCCAGGTTTGTATGCAAAATAAAACAAATTATAAATGGCATGAACCTACATGTACATGAACGGTCTTCACTTATGATAATGATAATAGAAATTATATAAATTGTAAAAGGTTTTGCAGGTTCATAAAAATAAGAGACATGTTTAATTAAAAATAATGTAAATAAAATTTGGAACAAAGTTGCACACAATAAGGATGTAGAAAATGCAAATTGAAATGATCAAGTCATGTTTTATAAAAGTACATGAACATTGTTTAAAAATGCAATTATGACCTGCGTCTCTTGACGAGAGTTGAATTAATAGTAAAAAAAAACCCTGGAAAATTGAAAATAAAACTGGCAAATGCAAGCCTACTCGAGTGTCATAACAAGAGTTGTATGAACAGTTGTCAAAATATCAAGGAATATGGCCTCCGATGCCCTCAAATAAAAAAAAGCCGAGTCTCAAAACAGCAGTTGGAATAAATAGGTGAAAGTAATTGGCAAATATGAGCCGTGTTTCTTAATTAAAAAGCTGGCAATATTTGAGCAGATTCTCGTAAAAAGAGTTGGATAAGTTTAAAAACTTGGCAAATATGACCTGTGTTTCTTAAATAACCGGTATCCCCAATATTGGCACAAATTTACTTGGACGAATACAAGAAAACCTGTTTAACATAAAAAAAAATTGGGGGGGGGGGGAATGAAGATGATAACAACAAAACGCAACACGAAAATAAAGATGGCAATCACTGAGCGATGTACCGTGAATGGCAAGGCGCGCTGAATCGCACTGCACCACTGTAAACCGCGCAGGAAAATCATCACTTCTACTCCGAGAAACTGTTCAAAAATTACACAAAAGTGTCATTATATTGAGAGAAGTCTGCTCTAGGTTGACAAGGTCATTTTGAGTAGTAAAAAACACTCTTGACTCTAATTTTATCGAAACCAAACGGGCCCTACACTACACGATCGATCGCTCAAAGTTTTCGTGTGTGATCGCAGCCGTCATTTTGTGTTGGTTGCGCGATGCGCGCTTCAACATCCGGGACTGCAAAATAGTTATGCTCCGTTTTGCATCCCATGATGCTTTGCAACAGGGCGCCCTCTGTTGGTAGAAAGCTATTTGCGATAAACCTTATTCATGTCATTGGAACAAATGGAAACACGGTTAATTTATCCTCGCGTGACCGGTTTTCGACGATATAAGGCCTTTTCTTCAAACTGACCAACATGAACGAAAGTATCAAACCAAAAGAGGTCTCGGTCACTTTATTCATATCACAGACGTATAGAATAAACTTGGAGAACGTTGATCACTCCCGGCACTTTTGCGAAATTACCTGGTTTGTTGCTGTCCGTGGCGCACCGCGCGCACAGTAAGCATTGTGACCTATTTGGATATATGGTGAAGATTAAAGCTAAAGTCCATCATTTGTAATTTGTGCATTTTGTTCGTTTGAAGCAACAAAAGTGTTCAAAATCTAAAGAAAGGATACTGAACAACTAACCTGATGAAGTTTCAGCTCTACTTCAGCTGTATATTCTGAGAAAAACGGAATCGAATAGCTTAGCTCCTCCTCTTTCCTTACATGTTAAACTTGTTATGATTGGTTGAAAAAAAACCACCATACTTTTCACAAAGAAAAAAGTGGCCAATGACACCTTTCGATAGATAAGGCATCGTTCGAGACTTACATTGATGTACCATTGCTTACCACGCGTTTCATGATCTTGGACTCTGCTCATCACCTGTTTTTCAGGACACGTTTTCTCCAATTCTACTTTAGATAAGACATTTAAAAATTATCCATTTGTAAATCAGTTATCTGGCATTAAAGCTGTGGTCTTTTTAGGAGTTTATTTCATTTTAAAATAATGTAATTTTTGATCTGAATACTGTTCACTTCAAGGAAGTTATAGAAATTTGTGATGGAAAGAACGTGCGCTTGTTTATTGGGCTGTACCATTTTGTTTGTGGGGAGGATATATACATGTACACGTTAGTGTATACGTCAGATTTCTTGAAGAATGCAAAAATGAAATAAGATGTTTATATCAAGTTTGACAAAATCGGACAAGAAGTTGTACTATCAGGCATACCTTCACATCGATATGTGCACAAATCCTATATGTACATTGTCATGTATAGGTTTGTTTTAACCATTTTATGAATGGAATGTGCCGGGCTACATTTTAGGGTTGAACGCACAGCCACACAGGGCCAGCGTTAATCCGATTATGTAGCCCTGGACCTCTGTGTGGTACTCTGCGCGCCAGATTTAAACTGTAAAATTAAGTGAACAAAAGTGGGGGTAACAAATTCATATGTAATGTGGCAAAGAAATGAACAACAAAATTCAAAGGTCGTATACTGTTCACAATTATGCCTCGATTTCTATTACAAATTGGAAACGTATCATTTTGAGAAGAAACGGCATATCAACATGATTAGAATGATCAGGCGTTTCTTTATACCAGTCCTGGAAATTCGAAGCTCAAGATAAAAAGTGTGTCACGAAGTCAAGTAACGAGTCAAGGTGCGCATGGCGCCCCTGCGCCCCGGATGCTGGCACGCAGCGGCGGCGGAACGGGTTTGAAACTGGGGGGGGGGGGGGGGGGGGGGATCACCAAAAAGGGGCACTTGCTCAGCATTTTTTTTTGCACATCCGTGCTAAAAGGTCGACACGTGTTTTTCACCGGACACTTGGCCTCCGTAAATTCAAATAGTTGGGGGGGGGGGGGGGGGGGGGGCTGGGGGGGGGGGGGGGGGCTGGGGGGGGGGGGGCTGGTACCATCTTCCAACACAGGGGCGCTCTTCAAAACTGATGATTATACGCTAACTATGGCCAAGTTCGGGCAAGGACCATTAGTCGACTAGTGGTTGATTTGTGACGTACCTTACGCCTGCGCACTAATAGCAAAGTGCGAACGTCTCTAGTCGAACGCTGGTCAAAATGTCATTGCAAAACGTCTGGATCCTGGCTCCCTGCTGTACGTTATGAACGCGCGCGGCTATGGTTACCAGCGAAGCAACCAACCCCAGTAGGTTGGTTCCAAATAGTCGACTAGCGTAGTTAACCGTCGTCGACTAGACAGAGTTCGGGCAAGCGTTAGTCGACCAATGGTTAACTAAAGTCCTTGCGCGAACTGTGCTCCTTTTCAGGGCGTATGATGCGGCTTTGTTTTCATATTCCTCGTTTATATCAAAACTATCTATATGTATACCATTATTGGGAAATGGTTACTTCTAAGAAATAGAAAGATACTTTAAGGGCATTTTTCTTATCTCGAAGGGGCACTTTTATGCTCGAGGCGAGGGGGCACATTTATGGCCGCAAAAGGGGCACTTGAGAAACTCGAGGGGGGGGGGGGGGCAAATGCCCCCCCCCCAGCCCCCCGGTTCCGCCGCCCCTGCTGGCACGCCTTTACTATCTCGTGGAGTATGCTTGTGTTTTTCTTTACATTTTGTCTACCGATTTGGTAGAGAAATTGTCATACATGTTGTGAATATTAACCAATAAAAGTGTAGAATTACTCGCATCTGTTTTGACGATGTGACGTCATACGCGCTCACGAAGAAAAATAATGAGTAAAGTAAGATGGCGACTGATAATAGCCCGATTCCGAAGACGAGGGAAATTATTGGCGACCACGCCCCCAGCCGGTCTTAAATGGGTTTGTTCAATACCGGCCAAGCACATAATTTATTCCCATTCAGGAACACCTTTTCGGTCAAAAGTCAAAACAAGTCAACATTTCCAACGCTTTTGTTTAACAATTTCCATTTAGGTTTTATAACACCACTCTGGCTATGTTGTGGTATGTGCCTCTCGCGAGCAGGCGTAAACAACACCTTACATGAAGATTGGCGCGTGCGTGGCGCGGACTGCGCAGTGTGGCGCGGACTGCGCAGTGTAACGCAGCGGTGCGGGGTAGTGTGAATTTAGGACTATGGAATACAGATTTATTGGTAGTATTGCGCGTGCCTAAGTGAAGATAATTAGGAGAGTGATCGGTCACGTGTGAGAGTTCAACCATAAAGAGTAAAAAGGACCAGATTTCAGGACCAGATGTCATGCGTCGCGCGTACTGCGCGATGTGGCGCAGAACGCGGCGGTGCCGGTGTCATATGAAAATCCGACTCCTTTTCCCTTTTATTGGTTTATCCCTCACAGTCATGTGACAAGTCACTCTCCTAAAAAAGGCTATCAACATACTTAAGCATGTGCAACACTACCAATGAGTCCATATTTCATGGAGTCGGATATTCACGCTACACCGGTGTAGTGTGAAATTAGGACTCTCGAAATAGAACTCATTGGTAGTATATTGCGCATGCCTAAGTGAAGATTGTGAACGTCCATTAGTAAGACTAATTTTGGCTGGCCCAGTACTACAGTTGGCATACTGGCTTTTTTACTTTGCATTGTTACCCAGCAAGTCAGAATGAGACAGCTACAGATGAATGAATTCACACGGTGTTTTATTCACTTAAGGAGTTTAATATTCATATTAGTTTACTTAGTACCGTAATTTTCGGAATTTGCCCATAAAAATGTTTACTGCGGCTTATACACAGGGCGGCTTACACGCCGAGCCTTAAAGAATAAAAATGACATTTTACATGTGTATTTAATGTACTGGTATAAGAAAACATCTGTTGCTGAAATGAATTATCTATTAAGAAAGTCATTAACAAGCCGAACGCACGTCCCACGAAAAGGTACCGAGCGGTAAAAAGTATAGCTGCCGGCTATTCGCAAATGATACTACGGGGTTAATTTGAACTTTATTCAAACTGTCTTCTGTTGTTTTGTAGTTTAGACAGATGTGTTTGACCAGATGTAACAATTAAATTTAACGAAATACTCTGGTCTGGCCATTTTGTGCTTAACAAAAAAAAATCAACTAGCAAATGTGGAATCGCATTGATTCCAGGGGAGGATCGCGATTCAGGAAACGAGAGGGGGGTATGAAGGTGGGGAGGCGTGCCGAGGACACGCCTTTCTATGGGTGCAATATTTTGGAATCTGCGATGCTTTTTCGTGCATTTCTAAGAACTAAGATAATTTGAGAAAAAAATAATAACTTTAGCTTCCACTTATTATTTTTCGCCCCATGTTACTACTTTTATAACATTAGACAGCAGCTGAAGGGGGGGGGGGGGGGCTAGATCCGCTACTGGATCCGTTTCGGCTTTCACGGAGGGGCGACTAAACAATTACAACAAAAAATGCCATGATGCATGTGTAACAAAAGCAATTAGGCCGATTGTCTGGTATGATGATATATTTGTACAACGTCGGTGGCAGATGGCACTTCAAGAATTTAGTTTCGCGAGAGATTATGTTTCCTATTAAATATCAGGAATTTAGTACGCCACAGGGTTGCATGGGAGTATAGTTTCTCGTTAAAATTATTGTCTGGAATAAAAATGGTCATATAATAACCCACTGTGACAGTTCTATCCATCTACATCATGTTCTGTTACGGGGTGTGAGTTTTACTTTTTGCCATAAATTCGGCATTGTGCCCAGCAATTTAAATTTCAAACTGCTGAATAATGAAGCTAAGGAATTTACATAACGAATGTGGTACGCTTTCATACGAAACAATGACGACAGAAGAAAACAATACTTCAAGGGTCCGATTTCAGATCTGGACCAATTTAGGGTTGGACTAGTTTGAATTATTCTATAGAAAACTGAAGTTAAAATATTCCATCTCATGCATGTTTCGCGTCGATTGCAACCCTGTTGGATGTTAAGTTAACATTATTACATTCTTCTATAACGTCCATAATGAGCTTTATATTTGTTTTTTTTCCATCCTGCTGTCGGCTGACCCCTGCGACGGTGTCTGTTACTGTCGGATAAGCCGCCATCAGACGTGTCTCGTGTCGCAGGTTGGTTGTCTTTAGACGTCTCACGTGTCGCAGGATGGTTGGACATTGCTTGGTGAACCTCTCTCTGCAAACAGCACACACACAAAACAGTTGTGTCGTTTTTATGGCAACAGGAGTGGTCGATAAAGAAGGAACAACATTGAGTATTCGAAATTTGGGTCGTATGTATAAAAACTAGCATTTGCTTTTACTACCCTTTTTTTAAGCATTTACTTGCATTTGTATGAATAAAAATGAAGCAAATGCTTTTACTGGAAAGCATTTGCTGAAAGCTAAAAGTATTTACTTTTTACTTGCTAGCTTTCGCTAGACTAGAAGTGTTAACTTATTTCGTATGAATAAAAAGGAGTAAATGCTTCAGATTTCAAGCATTTACTGGTCATTTTATAAGGCTGGGTTGGGGCAAACTTGAAAATATAAAGCAAATACTTCTGCGCAAAAACTGCTGCATTTATTAATGTTACGTAAGTGTTTCGACACAGTTCATTGGAATGTTCCAATAACAAGTACTTGCGGTAGTAATAAAAGGTCTGTATTGAGTACTCTTACTAATCTGTTGCAAGACAGCTTTATTAAACAGTGGAACGACAGACTACATTGTGACCTTAGAAAAGATAGTAACCAGAAAAACAAACTTCGTACTTACCGTATGTTTAAACAATTATATGAGTTTGAGCCATATTTATGCTACTTATTGGATTCTGGTTATAGATCTTGTTTTTCTCAATTTAGATGTTCATCTCACAAGTTGATGATTGAAGTTGGTAGATACACTGGTTTAGCTCTACATGAAAGGTTATGTCCACATTGTCTACTTGATGTTGAAACAGAAATGCATTTTCTTTTAGAATGTCCTTTATATAATGATCTTCGAACTAACTTTCTCACTGACATTTGTAAAATAGAGACTGGCTTTAATGGTTTAACAACAAATGATAAATTCATTTTTCTCATGTCGTCGGCAGATAAACACACTATTATATGTGTGGCTAAATTTATTTTCCAATGTACATATCTTAAAGAGAGGAAAAGCATGACGTAATTTCAAAGCATATTCTTTGTTATACCACCTGCCAAATAATTTAATGTTTAATTTCACAGTTGTAACCCTTCCCCAGGGTCATGTGGTTTGTTCCTATTTGTGGAATAAAACATAACATAACATAACATTAATATTAATCGCACCAAAATTGACACAAAACGTTAATAAACTACATATAATACCATACACTGTATTTTGACTAACATTTATGCGCAATTTAAATACTTTTTTTATTATGTATTTTATCTAGAATTAGAATCTAGAATTTCACTAGAATTAGAAACGATAATTTTGCATTTTGTTCACGATATGTTAGCGACATGAAGTGTTAGCGTAAAATTCAGTGCGGCACAGAATGATTAAGGATACATTTTATCCAACGGCACCCTGGGGACAGAACAATATGAAATCATTTGGTTAGTTTATTAGGTCACCAATCTTTGCAAACTACATGTATTATTTTTTCAATATTTCAATAAACAAAACTCTTTGTGTATCGAATGTTGGTATGATTTTACCCACTTTAACACGTCTGTGATTTTTATGCAATTGTGACGTCTACCGGACACTGTGGACCTTTACAATTTTCATGAATGATGAAAGTATACTTTTTATATTCTGCAACTGCCTAAAAGTGTCATCATTTTTGCTGGATTTGAGGATCAAAATGTATGTACTACTACATGTACTGTATCACTTTGATTTGGACTATTACACCACGTGTAAACCCTGTGTGGGTGGGTGGGTGGGTGTCGGAGTGCGTGTGTGTGTGCGGCAGTTCGTACACACAAAAGAAACCCTATTGTTGGCAATCATTCGTCCATGAAAACAATCCAACAGTAAGAAGCATTTGCTACCCGTTGTCTAGCAAATGCTGAACAGTAAAGGAAAACTTTTATTCATACGAAATCAAGCATATGCTTTTCCTTAATGCTTGTACTCCAAAGTAAATGCTTTTACTTTTTGCTTAAACTTCCTAGCATTTACTAGTTTTTATACATACGACATGTATCTTTGGACTAGAGAGTACCTTATTTTCGTTTCGGACTATTGAACCTTCGGACTGATTAACCTTATTCTAAATTCGGACGACCAAATCTTCGGATAAATGAACCTTCGGACTAATGAACCTTCGGACTAATGAACTTTCGGACTATTGAACCTTCGGACTATTGCATTAAATGTTGGGATTAACGAAACTAATTTCATTTTCGGACTATAAACGAACCCCCTTTAATGGAAATTGTGTTCATTCGGACTATCGAACCTTTGGACTATCGGGCGGCCCTCAGTAATTATTGTAATTATTATTATTATTACTATCATTATAATTCGTATGTGTCGTCCTGTTGTTCTCAAACGTGGAGGGAAAGCCCTATAAGAGTAATTTCTGTGCGTCAGATAAAAAAAAAAATCAGGTTTATCAATTTAAACCACGCCTTCAGAATACCTGGTGTGGAGACACTGTATGTAGGTAGTCTGACACAAGATGAAAAATAACTTTACTCACGAAGTAATTTTTCAGATCCGTGCTTTCCTCCCTAGAGATTTCATCCTCGTTTTCAGTCCAGGAACACACCACCAGGCCGGAAATCAAAAGGAAAATGGTCAGAACTTTCAGGCTGGGAAGTTCCATCATAGCGGCTCCAACTTCTTGCTGCTTTTACACCAATATCGTACCTTTTTACGCAAAAACTTTAGAGCGATGTTTTCCAAGTTGCCTTCACTTTAATATACACAGAGTATAGCGTTCAAGTCAGCTTCCTGATCTCGAACTGAGCCAACACCACAATGATTGCTTGGTAGCCTTAAACTTTATTGCAGGCTCTGTTTATGCAGGATTACTTCATCTCCAACTGAATATCAATTTCATGGCATAATGAATGCACGTGACAAGACCATGGTTGGTTTTTTTGTGGGCAACAAACTTGAGGCTTTGTAAAAAGAGAAGGGCGGCAATCGTGAACAGGAGTGCGAGCTTGTATTTCTGTGAAATGTGGATGGAATTGGGCCCTAATATTACTCTATTTTGCAGTGGAGAGTAGGCATCCTTTTTTCAAATTGGCGATGGGCTTCATCTGGATCTCGAGCTGGCTCGTCATACTACGACAAAAACAATGGCCACTCACATCACATCAGAGTTCATGACCTACTTCTTTTAGGGGCGATTATCTTTGAGTGGAAATTTCTCCCCAAAGTCATCAGATTACCTCCCCCTCTCAACATAGAAAATGAACAGTAAATTAAAGACGATGAAGTAAGCTTCAATTTGATGGGTATTTCAAACAGCTTGGTATGTATTTTTCCTGATTTTTGGAAGTTGGGGTGGGGTCTATGCCAGTTTAGTTAATGGTCTGCAACCATAATGCGACTCTCCAATGCCACAGTGCACATTCCAGCTTCGCGTGTCATACGCGCGTGCATGCGCATGTCGGACTTCAGTCACGGCTGTGATTGGTCAAAACACTGTGGGCGGGGATTAATGGATTGATCTATAATACATATATAATTATACAGAATTCGCTTTAGAATTCAATCCCAGTACATCGCTGCAAATAGGCCTGTCGGGGCTTCATGTGCGTGCTTGCACAAAAAGTAGGTAGACTGGCACATGCAACTGTCCTCACTGGTGCGGTTCTCCACGGTATACGCACGTAAAACACATTTTCATGCTACTTCGCTGCGCTCATCCGCATGAAAAACAGTTTCACACCCTTGAACAAACGGAACAGAGAAATACAGAATTTCATTTCTATTTGATTTATTAGCATGGGATTGGGGTTAGTCTCAGAGTGAACCAAACAAAGAAAAATCTTTTGGGGGTAGAAGCAGTATCATTGAAATCATTAACAACTGTTCTGATATTATACCTCGAAAAAGACTATGATTAGCCGAGCTAAGTGAACCCTCATGTTGTCGATCAGTTGTTGTTTTCTTCTGTCGCTTTCTGTTCTCCAGCTCCTTGAGGGCCGATTCTTCTGCTGCTAGTATCCTCTTCTGTTTTTCGGGGGATTGATTCTTGCCAGTTCCTTTCTACAGATGCTGTACCGTGATCCAGCCTGCTTTGCTAGAATCTGCGATCTGAATTTTTTGTTTTCGATCGGCGGTGATCTCCTCAAGTTCTTGTATGGCTTCCATTGCTGATGTGAGGTCGTCCTTGGCTAAGAGAGACAACTTGATTTTGTTGGTCAGGATTTGAATTTTCCCGCAGAATTCGTATTGGGCGGAGTTTCCGGATCTCTTGAGATCTTGAGCCTCTATCTTGTTTCTTAAATCTAGTATAGAAGCGTTGTCATTTTTGCTATGGTTGGAGATCGATTCGAATTTCTGATCAAAGTACGATTGAAACTTTTCGAACAGAGCTTCGGTGTTCAAGGTTTCTTTGGTAGACATTCTACAGCAACGTATAAGCAAGGACTATAAGTAGAACAGTTGTGTACTCGGCAGTGAGCTAACCTGAAGTGGCGTATACGGGTGTGTCACATATAACCAGGAGATTTATGCTTCATTGCTTTTCTGTAAAACACATAGACCCGAGTATGCGTGTCTACTTTGCATAATTACGTAAAACTACAATTGCCCTTCCCACTCCTATTGTCAAGGGAGAAAAACCCCATGCTATTTGATGTTACGGAGGCCAAGTGTCCGGTGAAAAAACGTGTCGACATTTCAGCGCGGCTGTGCAAAAAAAACCCACCAAATTCTGGATACCCTGCTGCACCAACGGAAGATGCCTTTGACTGAGCAAGTGCCCCTTTTTGGTGATGCCCACCCCACTCCTCCCAGTTTGAAAACCGTTCCGCCGCCACTGCCCCCATTTCCAAAAATAAGTAAAAATGCTCACAACTCTCCAAGGTGTTTGAAACACACACATCAAATTATAGCTTATTTCATCATATTTCAGTTACTTGCATTTTTTTTCGGGAGGGGTGTTATCCGATGGCTTTGCAGAAAAATTTCCATCCAGAGATGATCACCCCTCAAGTAGTTCTGAAGCCCATTGCAGATTTGAAAAACATGATGACTACGCTCCACTGCAAATTAGAGCAATTTTAGGGCCCCATTTTATAAACATTTCACAGAATTACAAACTCGGCACTCTTCGGGTTTTTTTTGGGGGCATCAAACCCTCCTTTTTTGTGTTCACAAAATGCTCTAAAAACAGAGAAATGCATGCAAATCGTGAATGGCCGGCGTAGGCTATTTTGGGCCTATTTACGGCCTGCATCCATATGCTCTTGACCACGTTCATTCATTATGCCATGAAAATAATATGCAGATGAAGCGCAAGTAATCCTGCAATAAATAATTTAATGAATAAAATCCTTTATTGCAGAGACTGCAATCAAGTTGAAGTACACCAAACCATTGTTGTAGTGTGGCTCAGTTTGAGATCAGAAAAACTGAATTGAACGCTAACTCTGGGTACAAGTGAACGCAAATTTGTGAAACATCGCTCTAAAGTTTTTGCGTAAAAAGGTACGATATTGGTATAAAAGCAGCCGGAAGTTGGAGCCGTTATAATGGAACTTCCCTGCCTGAAAGTTCTGACCATTTTCCTCTTGATTTCCGGCCTGGTGGTTTGTTCCTTGACTGAAAACGAGGATGAAATCTCTAGGGAGGAAAGCACGGATCTGAAAAATTACTTGGTGAGAAAAGCCATGTTTCATAATTATGTCTCTATAGACCACGTATTCTGAGGGCGTATGCTTTTGTACAAAATGCAACACATATTATTTTACTGATTGTTTGAATTGATATCTGAATTTGAAATCCGATGTACAGAAATCACGCTGTGAGGGCGGGGTTCAGGATTTCCTCCACGTTTGAAGAGAAAAAAAACCTATGGCGAAGCGTATAAGCTATACAATCATGCCGACTTCGACTCGGCGTCGTGCTCATTTAAACTATTCGGTGTACTTTTTAACCAATTTGCAATTTCTTTTGGATGAATTGTTGTATTATTCTTACTTTAAAGTGAATAACATAAGTTTATATTAGCTGTTGAAGAAACAAGTTTCTGGAAAATAAAGAGAATTTAATGAAATGAATATTGAATACTTAAAATTGTCCCGTCGTTTATCGACCACTCCTGCTGCCATAAAAAAACGACACTTTTTTGTTTGCCTTGTTTGCAGAGAGAGGTTCACCAAGCAATGTCCAACCATCTTGCGACACGTGAGACGTGTAAGGACGACCAACCTGCGACACGTGACACGTCTGATGGCGGCTCAGCATCTGACAGTAAAATAGATACCATGGGGCTCGGCCGTCGAAAAGCAGGAATGAAAAGAAGCAAATTCGGCCGCATCAAGTTGTTACGCCTACACAGTGGAGATGGATTTTAGGCCCCCTATGGCTTGCTCTAGTACATTGTACCGTAAGCAGGGGTCTGTCTAGCCTTGTTCCACAATACCTATGTTCCCCAAAATCCTTAGGGTAGGGTTAGGGTATATAAGGGTTGGGGGACATAGGTACATTGGGAAACATAATAGTGTACACCCCGTAGGCAGATGTAGCACAAGTTGTCATCATTTACACGTCAATAATTAACCACATTCTGAGGTCATTATAAAGGACAATAATGTAACACGGTTGCGATCGATGCGAAATGTGCATGGGATGCAAGATTTTAATTTCAGTTTTCTCTAACAGAATAATTACCTTTATCATGCTGCCAGCATGTCAATTATGTTCCCCGTATGCAATAAAAGTACTGAATGATAATGATTTTGTACTAAGACTATTTTTCTTTCCAGTCTCGCTTTGGTTACGTTGATTTCAATGGGAAAGATCAAGATGGCCGCAACACGATAATGGTCTATTAATCTATGCCTCCGGCCAACCCTATAAATTAGTCCAGATCTGAAGTCGTACCCTTGCAGTATCGTTTTTTTCTTTCGTCTTTGTTTCCCTATATTTAGCTTCATTATTCAGCAGTTTTAAAGTAACACAAATACCATCCAGAAGTAAAACTCACACTCCGTAACAGAGCATGCTGCAGACGGATAGAAGTGTGGGTGATTATGGAATGTTTACTCAAGACAGTTATTCTAATGAGAAAGTATACGTGCAACCCTGTAGCGTCATTCTTGATATTTGTTAGGAAATAATATAATTTCTCGCGAAACTACGCTCTTGAAGCGCTATCTGCCGCCGAGTTTGTACAATTTCCAAGGACTATTATCAAACCAGAGTAGACAACAAGCCGAAATTGTTATACATGAATTTTCTTCGGGGGGGGGGGGGGTAAACCGATGACTTTGGGGAGAAATTTCCATCCATGATCACCCCTAAAAGTAGTTCTGAAGCCCATCGCCATTTTGAAAAATGATGCCTACGCTTCCATGGTGAAATAGAGCAATTTTAGGGCCCCATTTCATCAACATTTCACAGAATTACAAGATCGTATAGTCCTGCTTACGGCTTCCACCATTCATTTTTTTCAAACTCTCCAGTTATTTGCCCACAAAATGCTCCAATAGCAGAGAAATGCATGCAAATCGTGAATGGCCTGCGTAGGCAATTTTGAGCCTATTTACGGCCTGCAATATGCTCTTGACCACGTTCATTCATTATGCCATGAAAATAATATGCAGATGAAGCGCAAGTAATCCTGCAATAAATAATTTAATGAATAAAATCCTTTATTGCAGAGACTGCAATCAAGTTGAAGTACACCAAACCATTGTTGTAGTGTGGCTCAGTTTGAGAACAGAAAAACAGAATTGAACGCTAACTCTGTGTACAAGTGAACGCAAATTTGTGAAACATCGCTCTAAAGTTTTTGCGTAAACAGGTACGATATTGGTATAAAAGCAGCCGGAAGTTGGAGCCGTTATAATGGAACTTCCCTGCCTGAAAGTTCTGACCATTTTCCTCTTGATTTCCGGCCTGGTGGTTTGTTCCTTGACTGAAAACGAGGATGAAATCTCTAGGGAGGAAAGCACGGATCTGAAAAATTACTTGGTGAGTAAAGCCATGTTTCATAATTATGTCTCTATAGACCACGTATTCTGAGGGCGTATACTTTTGTACAAAGTGCAACACATATTATTTAACTGATTGTTTGAATTTATATCTGAATTTTAAATCCGATGTACAGAAATCACGCTGTAAGGGCGGGGTTCAGGATTTCCTCCACGTTTGAAGAGAAAAAAACCTATGGCGAAGCGTATAAGCCATACAATTATGCCGACTTCGACTCGGCGGCGTGCTCATTTAAACTATTCGGTGTACTTTTTAACCAATTTGCAAATTTATTTGGATGAATTGTTGTATTATTCTTACTTTTAAGTGAATAACATAATTTTATATTAGCTGTTGACAAAACAAGTTTCTGGAAAATAAAGAGAATTTAATGAAATGAATATTGAATACTTAAAATTGTCCCGTCGTTTATCGACCACTCCTGCTGCCATAAAAAAACGACACTTTTTTTTGTTGGCCTTGTTTGCAGAGAGAGGTTCACCAAGCAATGTCCAACAATCTTGCGACACGTGAGACGTCTAAGGTCGACCAACCTGCGACACGTGACACGTCTGATGGCGGCTCAGCATCTGACAGTAAAATAGATACCATGGGGCTCGGCCGTCGAAAAGCAGGAATGAAAAGAAGCAAATTCGGCCGCATCAAGTTTTTACGCCTACACAGTGGATACAATTAGGCCCCCTATGGCTTGCTCTAGTACATTGTACCGTCCTTGTTCCACATTACCTATGTTCCCCCAAATCCTTAGGGTAGGGTTAGGGTAAGGGTTGGGGACATAGGTACATTGGGGGACATAATAGTATACACCCCCGTAGGCAGATGTAGCGCAAGTTGTCATCATTTACACGTCAATAATTAACCACATTCTGAGGTCATTATAAAGGACAATAATGTAACAGGGTTGCGATCGATGCGAAATGTGCATGGGATGCAAGATTTTAATTTCAGTTTTCTCTAACAGAATAATTACCTTTATCATGCTGCCAGCATGTCAATTATGTTCCCTGTATGCAATAAAAGTACTGAATGATAATGATTTTGTACTCAGACTATTTTTCTTTCCAGTCTCGCTTTGGTAACGTTGATTTCAATGGGAAAGATCAAGATGGCCGCAACACGATAATGGTCTATTAATCTAGGCCTCCGGCCAACCCTATAAATTAGTCCAGATCTGAAGTCGTACCCTTGCAGTATCGTTTTCTTCTTTCGTCTTTGTTTCCCTATATTTAGCTTCATTATTCAGCAGTTTTAAAGTAACACAAATACCATCCAGAAGTAAAACTCATACTCCGTAACAGAACATGCTGCAGACGGATAGAAGTGTGGGTGATTATGGAATGTTTGCTCAAGACAGTTATTCTAATGAGAAAGTATACGTGCAACCCTGTAGCGTCATTCTTGATATTTGTTAGGAAATAATATAATTTCTCGCGAAACTACGCTCTTGAAGCGCTATCTGCCGCCGAGTTTGTACAATTTCCAAGGACTATTATCACACCAGAGTAGACAACAAGCCGAAATTGTTATACATGAATTTTTTTCGGGGGGGGGGGGAGGGGAAACCGATGACTTTGGGGAGAAATTTCCATCCATGATCACCCCTAAAAGTAGTTCTGAAGCCCATCGCCATTTTGAAAAATGATGCCTACGCTTCCATGGTGAAATAGAGCAATTTTAGGGCCCCATTTCATCAACATTTCACAGAATTACAAGATCGTATAGTCAGTCTTGCTCACGGCTTCCACCATTCATTTTGTTCCAACTCTCCAGTTATTTGCCCACGAAATGCTCCAATAGCAGAGAAATGCATGCAAATCGTGATTTGGCCTGCGTAGGCTATTTTGGGCCTATTTACGGCCTGCATCCATATGCTCTTAACCACGTTTATTCATTATGCCATGAAAATAATATGCAGATGAAGCGCAAGTAATCCTGCAATAAATAATTTATTGAATACAATCCTTTATTGCAGAGACTGCAATCAAGTTTAAGTACACCACACCATTGTTGTAGTGTGGCTCAGTTTGAGAACAGAAAAACTGAATTGAACGCTAACTCTATGAACAGGTGAACGCACATTTGTGAAACATCGCTCTAAAGTTTTTGCGTAAAAAGGTACGATATTGGTATAAAAGCAGCCGGAAGTTGGAGCCGTTATAATGGAACTTCCCTGCCTGAAAGTTCTGACCATTTTCCTCTTGATTTCCGGCCTGGTGGTTTGTTCCTTGACTGAAAACGAGGATGAAATCTCTAGGGAGGAAGGCACGGATCTGAAAAATTACTTGGTGAGTAAAGCCATGCATGTTTCATAATTATGTCTCTATAGACCACGTTTTCTGAGGGCGTATACTTTTGTTCAAAATGCAACACATATCATTTAACTGATTGTTTGAATTTATATCTGAATTTGAAATCCGATGTACAGAAATCACGCTGTAAGGGCGTGGTTCAGGATTTCCTCCACGTTTGAAGAGAAAAAAACCTATTGCGAAGCGTATAAGCTATAGAATCATGCCTACTTCGACTCGGCGGCGTGCTCATTTAAACTATTCGGTGTACTTTTTAACCAATTTGCAAATTTATTTGGATGAATTGTTGTCTTATTCTTACTTTTAAGTGAATAACATAAGTTTATATTAGCTGTTGACAAAACAAGTTTCTGGAAAATAAAGAGAATTTAATGAAATGAATATTGAATACTTAAAATTGTCCCGTCGTTTATCGACCACTCCTGCTGCCATAAAAAAAACGACACTTTTGTTTGTTGGCCTTGTTTGCAGAGAGAGGTTCACCAAGCAATGTCCAACCATCTTGCGACACGTGAGACGTCTAAGGACGACCAACCTGCGACACGTGACACGTCTGATGGCGGCTCAGCATCTGACAGTAAAATAGATACCATGGAGCTCGGCCGTCGAAAAGCAGGAATGAAAAGAAGCAAATTCGGCCGCATCAAGTTTTTACGCCTACACAGTGGAGATGGATTTTAGGCCCCCTATGGCTTGCTCTAGTACATTGTACCGTAAGCAGGGGTCTGTCTAGCCTTGTTCCACAATACCTATGTTCCCCAAAATCCTTAGGGTAGGGTTAGGGTATATAAGGGTTGGGGGACATAGGTACATTGGGAAACATAATAGTGTACACCCCCGTAGGCAGATGTAGCACAAGTTGTCATCATTTACACGTCAATAATTAACCACATTCTGAGGTAATTATAAAGGACAATAATGTAACACGGTTGCGATCGATGCGAAATGTGCATGGGATGCAAGATTTTAATTTCAGTTTTCTCTAACAGAATAATTACCTTTATCATGCTGCCAGCATGTCAATTATGTTCCCCGTATGCAATAAAAGTACTGAATGATAATGATTTTGTACTCAGACTATTTTTCTTTCCAGTCTCGCTTTGGTTACCTTGATTTCAATGGGAAAGATCAAGATGGCCGCAACACGATAATGGTCTATTAATCTAGGCCTCCGGCCGACCCTATAAATTAGTCCAGATCTGAAGTCGTACCCTTGCAGTATCGTTTTTTCTTTCGTCTTTGTTTCCCTATATTTAGCTTCATTATTCAGCAGTTTTAAAGTAACACAAATACCATCCAGAAGTAAAACTCACACTCCGTAACAGAGCATGCTGCAGACGGATAGAAGTGTGGGTGACTATGGAATGTTTGCTCAAGACAGTTATTCTAATGAGAAAGTATACGTGCAACCCTGTAGCGTCATTCTTGATATTTGTTAGGAAATAATATAATTTCTCGCGAAACTACGCTCTTGAAGCGCTATCTGCCGCCGAGTTTGTACAATTTCCAAAGACTATTATCACACCAGAGTAGACAACAAGCCGAAATTGTTATACATGAATTTTTTTCGGGGGGGGGGGGGGGTAAACCGATGACTTTGGGGAGAAATTTCCATCCATGATCACCCCTAATTTCTGAAGCCCATCGCCATTTTGAAAAATGATGCCTACGCTTCCATGGTGAAATAGAGCAATTTTAGGGCCCCATTTCATCAACATTTCACAGAATTACAAGATCGTATAGTCCTGCTCACGGCTTCCACCATTCATTTTTTTCAAACTCTCCAGTTATTTCCCCAGAAAATGCTCCAATAGCAGAGAAATGCATGCAAATCGTGAATGGCCTGCGTAGGCAATTTTGAGCCTATTTACGGCCTGACCACGTTCATTCATTATGCCATGAAAATAATATGCGGATGAAGCGCAAGTAATCCTGCAATAAATAATTTAATGAATAAAATCCTTTATTGCAGAGACTGCAATCAAGTTGAAGTACACCAAACCATTGTTGTAGTGTGGCTCAGTTTGAGATCAGAAAAACTGAATTGAACGCTAACTCTGTGTACAAGTCGGAACGCAAATTTGTGAAACATCGCTCTAAAGTTTTTGCGTAAACAGGTACGATATTGGTATAAAAGCAGCCGGAAGTTGGAGCCGTTATAATGGAACTTCCCTGCCTGAAAGTTCTGACCATTTTCCTCTTGATTTCCGGCCTGGTGGTGTGTTCCTTGACTGAAAACGAGGATGAAATCTCTAGGGAGGAAAGCACGGATCTGAAAAATTACGTGGTGAGTAAAGCCATGTTTCATTATGTCTCTATAGACCACGTATTCTGAGGGCGTATACTTTTGTACAAAGTGCAACACATATTATTTAACTGATTGTTTGAATTGATATCTGAATTTTAAATCCGATGTACAGAAATCACGCTGTAAGGGCGGGGTTCAGGATTTCCTCCACGTTTGAAGAGAAAAAAAACCTATGGCGAAGCGTATAAGCTATACAATCATGCCGACTTCGACTCGGCGGCGTGCTCATTTAAACTATTCGGTGTACTTTTTAACCAATTTGCAAATTTATTTGGATGAATTGTTGTCTTATTCTTACTTTTAAGTGAATAACATAATTTTATATTAGCTGTTGACAAAACAAGTTTCTGGAAAATAAAGAGAATTTAATGAAATGAATATTGAATACTTAAAATTGTCCCGTCGTTTATCGACCACTCCTGCTGCCATAAAAAAACGACACTTTTGTTTGTTGGCCTTGTTTGCAGAGAGAGGTTCACCAAGCAATGTCCAACCATCTTGCGACACGTGAGACGTCTAAGGACGACCAACCTGCGACACGTGACACGTCTGATGGCGGCTCAGCATCTGACAGTAAAATAGATACCATGGGGCTCGGCCGTCGAAAAGCAGGAATGAAAAGAAGCAAATTCGGCCGCATCAAGTTTTTACGCCTACACAGTGGATATAATTAGGCCCCCTATGCCTTGTTCTAGTACATTGTACCGTCCTTGTTCCACAATACCTATGTTCCCCCAAATCCTTAGGGTAGGGTTAGTGTAAGGGTTGGGGACATAGGTACATTGGGGGACATAATAGTATACACCCCCGTAGGCAGATGTAGCGCAAGTTGTCATCATTTACACGTCAATAATTAACCACATTCTGAGGTCATTATAAAGGACAATAATGTAACACGGTTGCGATCGATGCGAAATGTGCATGGGATGCAAGATTTTAATTTCAGTTTTCTCTAACAGAATAATTACCTTTATCATGCTGCCAGCATGTCAATTATGTTCCCTGTATGCAATAAAAGTACTGAATGATAATGATTTTGTACTCAGACTATTTTTCTTTCCAGTCTCGCTTTGGTAACGTTGATTTCAATGGGAAAGATCAAGATGGCCGCAACACGATAATGGTCTATTAATCTAGGCCTCCGGCCAACCCTATAAATTAGTCCAGATCTGAAGTCGTACCCTTGCAGTATCGTTTTCTTCTTTCGTCTTTGTTTCCCTATATTTAGCTTCATTATTCAGCAGTTTTAAAGTAACACAAATACCATCCAGAAGTAAAACTCATACTCCGTAACAGAACATGGTGCAGACGGATAGAAGTGTGGGTGATTATGGAATGTTTGCTCAAGACAGTTATTCTAATGAGAAAGTATACGTGCAACCCTGTAGCGTCATTCTTGATATTTGTTAGGAAATAATATAATTTCTCGCGAAACTACGCTCTTGAAGCGCTATCTGCCGCCGAGTTTGTACAATTTCCAAGGACTATTATCACACCAGAGTAGACAACAAGCCGAAATTGTTATACATGCATTTTTTTCGGGGGGGGGGGAGGGGAAACCGATGACTTTGGGGAGAAATTTCCATCCAGTCATAATTACCCCTTAAAACATAGTTCTGAAGCCCATCGCCATTTTGAAAAATGATGCCTACGCTTCCATGGTGAAATAGAGCAATTTTAGGGCCCCATTTCATCAACATTTCACAGAATTACAAGATCGTATAGTCCTGCTTACGGCTTCCACCATTCATTTTTTTCAAACTCTCCAGTTATTTGCCCACAAAATGCTCCAATAGCAGAGAAATGCATGCAAATCGTGAATGGCCTGCGTAGGCAATTTTGGGCCTATTTACGGCCTGCAATATGCTCTTGACCACGTTCATTCATTATGCCAGGAAAATAATATGCAGATGAAGCGCAAGTAATCCTGCAATAAATAATTTAATGAATAAAATCCTTTATTGCAGAGACTGCAATCAAGTTGAAGTACACCAAACCATTGTTGTAGTGTGGCTCAGTTTGAGATCAGAAAAACTGAATTGAACGCTAACTCTGTGTACAAGTCGGAACGCAAATTTGTGAAACATCGCTCTAAAGTTTTTGCGTAAACAGGTACGATATTGGTATAAAAGCAGCCGGAAGTTGGAGCCGTTATAATGGAACTTCCCTGCCTGAAAGTTCTGACCACTTTCCTCTTGATTTCCGGGCTGGTGGTGTGTTCCTTGACTGAAAACGAGGATGAAATCTCTAGGGAGGAAAGCACGGATCTTAAAAATTACTTGGTGAGTAAAGCCATGCATATTTCATAATAATAGACCACGTATTCTGAGGGCGTATACTTTTGTACAAAATGCAACACATATTATTTAACTGATTGTTTGAATTGATATCTGAATTTTAAATCCGATGTACAGAAATCACGCTGTAAGGGCGGGGTTCAGGATTTCCTCCACGTTTAAAGAGAAAAAAACCTATGGCGAAGCGTATAAGCTATACAATCATGCCGACTTCGACTCGGCGGCGTGCTCATTTAATTTATTCGTATGTCCGTGGTGACTAATCGTCACCACGGAATAGTTTAAATGAGTAAGCCGAATAGTTTAAATGAGTATGCCGCCGAGTCGAAGTCGGCATGATTGTATAGCTTATACGCTTCGCCATAGGTTTTTTTCTCTTCAAACGTGGAGGAAATCCTGAACCCCGCCCTTATACAGCGTGATTTCTGTACATCGGATTTCAAATTCAGATATAAATTCGAACAATCAGTTAAATGATATGTGTTGCATTTTGAACAAAAGTATACGCCCTCAGAATACGTGGTCTATAGAGACATAATTATGAAACATGCATGGCTTTACTCACCAAGTAATTTTTCAGATCCGTGCTTTCCTCCCTAGAGATTTCATCCTCGTTTTCAGTCAAGGAACAAACCACCAGCCCGAAAATCAAGAGGAAAATGGTCAGAACTTTCAGGCAGGAAAGTTCCATTATAACGGCTCCATTTTCCGGCTGCTTTTATACCAATATCGTACCTTTTTACGCAAAAACTTTAGAGCGATGTTTCACAAATTTGCGTTCACTTGTACACAGAGTTAGCGTTCAATTCAGTTTTTCTGATCTCAAACTGAGCCACACTACAACAATGGTTTGGTGTACTTCAACTTGATTGCAGTCTCTGCAATAAAGGATTTTATTCATTAAATTATTTATTGCAGGATTACTTGCGCTTCATCTGCATATTATTTTCATGGCATAATGAATGAACGTGGTCAAGAGCATATTGCAGGCCGTAAATAGGCTCAAAATTGCCTACGCAGGCCAAATCACGATTTGCATGCATTTCTCTGCTATTGGAGCATTTCGTGGGCAAATAACTGGAGAGTTGGAACAAAATGAATGGTGGAAGCCGTGAGCATGACTGACTATGCGATCTTGTAATTCTGTGAAATGTTGATGAAATGGGGCCCTAAAGTTTCATCATAGCGGCTCCATTTTCCGGCTGCTTTTTATACAAATATCGTACCTTTTTACGAAAAAAAACTTTAGAGCGATGTTTCACAAAGCTGCGTTAATTTGTACACAAAGTCAATTCAGTTCCCTGATCTCAAACTGAGCCACACTACAACAATGGTTTGGTGTACTAAAACTTTATTGCAGTCTCTGTTTATGCAGGATTACTTGCGCTTCATCTGCATATTGATTTCATGGCATAATGAATGAACGTGGTCAAGAGCATATTTATGGTTGCAGGCCGTAAATAGGACCAAACTTGCCTACGCCGGCCAAATCACGATTTGCATGCATTTCTCTGCTATATGAGCATTTTGTGAGCAAAGAACCTGAGGGTTTTTAAACAAAAAAGGAATGGTGGAAGCCGTGAGCAGGATTATACGATCTTGTAATGCTGTGAAATGTTGATGCAATTGGGCCCTAAAATTGCTCTATTTTACAGTGGAGCGTAGGCATCATTGTTTAAAATGGCGATGGGCTTCAGAACTACTTTTAGGGGTGATCATGGATGGAAATTTCTCCCCAAATTCATCGGATTACCGCCTCCCCCCGAACAAAAACATATACATGTATAACAAATCCGGTTTGTTGTCTTCTTTGGTGTGATAATAGTCCTTGGAAATTGTACAAAACTGGCCACAGATAGCGCTCCAAGAGCGTAGTTTCGCGAGAAATTATCATTTCCTAACAAATATCAAGAATGACGCTACAGGGTTGCATGTAAACTTTCTCATTAGAATAACTGTCTTGAGTAAACATTCCATAATCACCCACACTTCTATCCGTCTGCAGCATGTTCTGTTACGGAGTGTGAGTTTTACTTCTGGGTGGTATTTGTGTTAATTTAAAACTGCTGAATAATAAAGCTTAATATAGGAAACAAATACGAAAGCAGAAAACGATTCTGCAAGTGCAAGGGTATTACTTCAGATCTGGACTAACTTAAGGTAGGACTGAAGGCCTAGTTTAAATTATTCTTTAGAGAAAACTGAATAAAAATCGTGCATCCCATGCACATTTTGCGTCTATCGCAACCGTGTTACATGATTGTCCATAATGACCTCAGAATGATGTGGTTAAAGGGAATGTACCTCATTGGCTTTTGCTGTAATTTTCAGAAATGAACTATTTCAGGGGTTAGTATAATAGATCAAATATTGTTACACTGACATGTTTGAAGTTTTGTGTTCGAAAATGCTGGAAAAACCAAGAAAAACAAAACTGTTCAAGCTGGAAATTTTTACAAAAATACCATATTCTTGAAAATGACTTCACACCAGGTGCCATAATTTTACAGGATGCTTTAGACTGTCAATTACCAACATCCTATTTAGGTATTTCGTAAAAACTTGGTACTCTTATCTTTCGATGTTTGCAAATGTTGTATATTCCCTTTAATTGACGTGGAAAATCTGCCTATGGTACTAGAACCATGGAGCTATAAGCCATAATACATGTATCCATGTAAATGCCCGTCGTTGCCGTGCTTGCTTCTTTTTTTATTCCTGCTGTCCGACGGCCGAGCCCCACTGCGATTGTGTCTAGCCTCCATCAGATGTGTCTCGTGTCGCAGGTTGGTTGTCCTTAGACGTCTTACGCTTCGCAAGATTTTTGGACATTGCTATGTGAACCTCTCTCTGCAAACAAGACCCCCAAAAACGGCGTTTTTTATGGCAGCAGGAGTGGTCGATAAACGATATTCATTCAATTAAATTCTCTTTATTTTCCATGCAGAAAATTATTTTGTCAACAGCTAAAAATAAAAATAATCCAACAATTCATTTTTCAAACGTGGAGGAAAACCTGGACCCCGCCCATATAGCGTGATTTCTGTACATCGGATTCAAAATTCAGAGAAATTCAAAAAATCAGTTAAATAATATATGGTGCATTTTATACGCCCTCAGAATACATGGTCTAGGGAAATAATTATGAATAACATAATTTTATATTAGCTGTTGACAAAACAAGTTTCTGGAAAATAAAGAGAATTTAATGAAATGAATATTGAATACTTAAAATTGTCCCGTCGTTTATCGACAACTCCTGCTGCCATAAAAAAACGACACTTTTTTGTTGGCCTTGTTTGCAGAGAGAGGCTCACCAAGCAATGTCCAACCATCTTGCGACACGTGAGACGTCTAAGGACGACCAACCTGCGACACGTGACACGTCTGATGGCGGCTCAGCATCTGACAGTAAAATAGTACCATGGGGGCCGGGCTCGGCCGTCGAAAAGCAGGAATGAAAAGAAGCAAGCACGGCCGCATCAAGTTTTTACGCCTACACAGTGGAGATGGATTTTAGGCCCCCTATGGCTTGCTCTAGTACATTGTACCGTAAGCAGGGGTCTGTCTAGCCTTGTTCCACAATACCTATGTTCCCAAAAATCCTTAGGGTATAGGGTTAGGGTAAGGGTTGGGGGACATAGGTACATTGGGGAACATAATAGTATGAACTCTAGTAGGCAGATGTCATGTAGCATAAGTTGTCATCATTTAGACGTCAATAATTAACCACATTCTGAGGTCATTATAAAGGACAATCATGTAACACAGTTGCGATCGACGCGAAAATGTGCATGGGATGCAAGATTTAAATTTCAGTTTTCTCTAACAGAATAATTACCTTTATCATGCTCCCACCATGTCAATTATGTTCCCTGTATACAACAAAAGTACTGAATGATAATGATTTTGTACTAAGACTATTTTTCTTTCCAGTCTCGCTTTGGTTACGTTGATTTCAATGGGAAAGATCAAGATGGCCGCAACACGATAATGGTCTATTAATCTATGCCTCCGGCCAACCCTATAAATTAGTCCAGATCTGAAGTCGTACCCTTGCAGTATCGTTTTCTTCTTTCGTCTTTGTTTCCCTATATTTAGCTTCATTATTCAGCAGTTTTAAAATAGCACAAATACCAACCAGAAGTAAAACTCACACTCCGTAACAGAGCATGCTGCAGACGGATAGAAGTGTGGGTGATTATGGAATGTTTACTCAAGACAGTTATTCTAATGAGAAACTATACGTGCAACCCTGTAGCGTCATTCTTGATATTTGTTAGGAAATAATATAATTTCTCGCGAATCTACGCTCTTGAAGCGCTATCTGCCGCCGAGTTTGTACAATTTCCAAGGACTATTATCACACCAGAGTAGACAAGAAGCCGAAATAGTTGATATGCAGATAAAGCGCAAGTAATCCTGCATAAAACGAGACTGCAATAAATTTTAAGTACACCAAACCATTGTTGTAGTGTGGCTCAGTTTGAGATCAGGAAACTGAATTGAACGCTAACTTTGTGTACAGTGATCGCAACTTTGTGTGAAACAATGCTCTAAAGTCTTTACGTAAAAAGGTACGATTTTGGTGTAAAAGCAGCCGGAAGTTGGAGCCGCTATGATTGAACTTCCCTGCCTGAAAGTTCTGACCATTTTCTTCTTAATTTCCGGCCTGGCGGTGTGTTCCTTGACTGAAAACGAGGATGGAATCTCTAGGGAGGAAAGCACGGATCTGAAAAATTACTTGGTGAGTTAAGCCATGTTTCATAATTATGTCTCTAGACATTCTGAGGGCGTATACTTTTGTACAATGCACGATATATTATTTAACTGATTGTTTGAATTTCTCTCAATATTTTAAATCCGATATACAGAAATAACGCTACAAGGGCGGGGTTCAGGTTTTCCTCCTGTCTCCCGCATTTGAAAAAAAAAACCTATGGCGAAACGTATAAGTTATGATGCCGACTTCGACTCGGGTACTTTTTTAACCAATTTGCAAATTTATTTGGATGAATTTTTCGACTATTCTAACTTTTATAGTGAATGACATAATGTTGACAAAACAAGTTTCTGCATGGAAAAAAAAGAGAATTTAATTGAATGAATATTGAATGCTCAAAATTTCCCGTCCTTTATCGACCACTCCTGTTGCCATAAAAAACGACACATGTTTTGGTTTTATTTGCAGAGAGAGGTCCACCGAGCAATTTCCAAACATCTTGCGACACGTAAGACGTCTAAGGACAACCAACCTGCGACACGAGACACGTCTAATGGGGGCTCAGTATCTGACAGTAAAATAGGCCCCATCCCAGTGGGGCTCGGCCGTCGAAAAGCAGGAATGAAAAAAAGCAAGCACGGCAAAGACGGGCATTTACCTGGATATTCTGGCTTGTTCTAGTATCGTAGGCAGGGGTCTACCCGTCGCTCACATTAACCATGTTCCCCAATACCTATCTCCCCCCACAATCCTTAGGGTTAGGGTTAGGGTTGGGGAACATAGTGCGCCCCCGTAGGCAGATGTAGCCTATATGTTGTCCTCATTTCCACGTCAATTAACCACATCATTCTGAGGTCATTATTAGGGACAATCATGTAACACGGTTGCGATCGACGTAAAATGTGCATGGGATGCACGATTTTTATTTCAGTCGTCTCTAAAGAATATTCGATCACTTGGGGGAGAAATTTCCATCCAGAGATGATCACCCATAAGAGAAGTTCTGAAGCCCAACACCATATTGAAATATGATGCATACGTTCCATTGCGAAGAGCAATTTTTGGGCCCAATTTCATCAACATTTCACAGAAATACAAGCTCCGCGTAGTTCTGTTGACGGCTTCCACCCTTCATTTATTTTTTAATAAAACTGAGTTCATGTTGATAGGTTCTCCACAGCAACTTTCCAAAATCTCTGTTCCTTTTATTACTGTTGGGGACTCTCACATCAAACCAGTCAGCCAAGTTCGCAATCTTGGTGTAATTTTTGACTCGTCGATGTCGTTCATGAATCACATTTCTAACACAGTTCGCTCTGCTACATTTCACATCCACAACATTTGTTACATCTCGTCTTGATATGGGAAATGCACTTTTATTTGGGCTTCCAGATGTTCAGCTATCCCACCTTCAACGCCTACAAAACACTGCTGCACGTGTGGTCACTTTAACGACAAAACACTCCCATATAAAACCTGTCCTTTTGGATCTTCACTGGCTCCCAATATCGTCTAGAATCATCTACAAACTGATGCTCATTGTCTTCAAAGCACTTAATGGGCAAGCACCTGCGTACATCCTGGACATGCTCAATATATACAAACCATCTCGCAACCTTCGCTCTGGAAATAAATATCTTCTTCAAGAAGTCAAATCTCATCGTACCTGGGGGGACAGATCTTTCTCTGTTGCAGCACCACATCTCTGGAATCAACTACCTCTTCATATCAAAACCTCCACTTCTATTCACTCATTCAGAACATCTCTCAAAACACACCTCATGTCGAAAGATCCGGGTTTTTTCGTAATTAAACTGATTTTGTTTGTTTCGTTTTCATTGTAATAGCGCCCTGAGCACTTTGGTGGATATGTGCGCTTTATAAAACTTCGTTATTTATTATTATTTTTTACAGACCCTCCATGTCTCCACAAAATGCTCTTACAGAAAAATGCATGTAAATCGTGAGTCGGCCAGCGTAGGCAATTTTGGACCTATTTACTGGCCTGCAACCATATGCTCTTGTAGTTGTCCACGCGCATTCATTATGCCAGGAAATTAATATTCCGATGAAGCGCAAGTAATCCTAGATAAACAGAGCCTGCAATAACGTTTAACAAACCATTGTTCTAGTGTGGCTCAGAGATCAGGAAGCTGAATTAAACGCTAAACTTTGTGTATAAGTGAACGCAACTATGTGAAACATCGCCCTAAAGTTTTTGCGTAAAAAGGTACGATATTGGTATAAAAGCAGCCGGAAGTTGGAGCCGCTATAATGGAACTTCTCCGCCTGACCATTTTCCTCTTGATTTCCGGCCTGGTGGTGTGCTCCTTGACTGAAAACGAGGATGAAATCTCTGGGGAGGAAAGCACGGATCTGAAAAATTACTTGGTGAGTAAAGCCATGTTTCATAATTATGCCTATAGACCATGTATTCTGCGGGCGTACTTTAGTACAAATGCGCCATATATCATTAAACTGATTGTTTCAATTTATAAATCTAAAATTTAAATCCGATGTACAGAAATCACGCTATAAGGGCGGGGTTCACGATTTCCTTCACGTTTAAAAACAAACAAATCCAAATCTCGTGCTCTTTTTAACCAACTTGCAAATTTATTTGGATGAATGTTGGATTATTTTTAGTTTTATAGTGAATAACATAATTTTGTATTTAGCTGGTGACAAAACAGGTTTCTAGAAAATGAAGAGAATGTAATTGAATGAATATTGAATACTCAAAGTTTCCCGTCCTTTATCGGCCACTCCTGTTGCCACAAAAAACCGGCACATTTTTGGTCTTGTTTGCAGAGAGAGGTCCACCGAGCAATGTCCAACCATCTTGCAAAACGTGAGACGTCTAAGGACAACCAACCTGCGACACGAGACATGTCTGATGGCGGCTTATCTAACAGTAAAATAGATACCATGGGGCTCGGCCGTCGAAAAGCAGGAATGAAAAGAAGCAAGCACGGCCGCATCAAGTATTTACGCCTACACAAGGGAGATGGACACCATCGCAGGGGTCGGCCGACAGCAGGAATGAAATTGACAAGAAGCAAGCGCGGTAGCGGCGGGTATTTTGGATATTATAAAGGCATGTTCTAGTGTACAGGCAGATGTAGCCTAAGTTGTCATCATTTCCACGTCAATAACTAACCACATTCTGAGGTCATTATAAAGGACAAGCATGTAACACGGTTGCGATCGACGCGAAACGTGCCTGGGATGCAAGATTTTAATTTCAGTTTTCTCTAACTAAACTTCATTATTCAGCAGTTTTAAAATAGCAGAATACCGCCCAGAATTAAATGTCACACCCCGTAACAGAACGTGTTGCAGACGGATCATAGAAGTGTTGGTGATTAACATAGAGCTATATTAAAATCAATATAGCTCTATGGTGATTATGGATGTTTACTCCAGACAATAATTCTAATGAGAAACTATACATGCTACCCTGTATCGTATCATTCTGGATATCTGATAGGAAATAATAAAAAAAATTCGCGAAAATGGGCTCTTGAAGCGCTATCTGCCGCCGAGTTTGTACAATTTCCAAGGACTATTATCACACTAGACAACAAGCCGAATTGGACATGTATCGTAGTGTTATTTCGTAACTGTATTTAGTCAATCCTCCAAGAACGCCACAAGGGATAAAGTAACAGATCTAGCCCCCCCCCCCCCGTCTTCAGCTGCTGACAAATGTTATAACATTAGCAAAATGGCGCCAAAAATAATAAATGGAAGCTAAAGTTCTTAAATTTAAACTCAATACCGCAGGAGAAGGCATAGTAGATTACAATTTTTTCCGCAACCCATAGGAAGACGTGTCCTCTGCACGCCTCCCCCACCTTCATATCAACATCAACACCCCCCTTTTCCTGAAAGTTATAGGTCCGCCCATCGGATCCCTTGGACTTGAACACAAAATGGCCCACAGATCGGTAAAGAGTGGTAAATACGTCCACGATTCGAGACAGAGGTTTATATACCCTAAGTGTGACTGTCCCTATTACATACTCTGTAAAAGTTACGATTTTTTTTGGGGGGGGGGGTAATATTTTCATAATGTTGTTAACGGTATAATCATTACCTATGGTAGCCCGAGGTAATCATTAAAATGCCGACCAGAGTATTTCGTAAACTTTAATTATTACATCTGTTCACACACATCTGTCTAAACTATTATATACCAGTCTACAGCAAAATTTGAATTAAGTTCAAATTACCCCCGTGGTATCATTTGCAAATATCCACCAGCTTACTAATTAAGTAAACTATTATGAATATAAAACTCGTCAAGTGGATAAAACACCTTGTGAATTCATTCGTTTGTAGCTGTCTGACTAGTTGCTGGGAAACAATGAAAATTTAAAAAGGCAGTAATCCAACTGAGCATTGTGCATCGTGGGATCAACACATGAAATAACATTTATACACAATTAGGGCGATGGTAGCCAAATTGTTACACTTTGCAGAAAAAAAGATAAAATACACGAAAATACCCTAAAGCATACACTGGGCAATTCAAAAGTTTTATAAAGCTTTATTGTACTTCAGGCAGAATTAACAGGATGTTTCGTAAAATTTCGTTGGTAATCTCTAGAATTTTGCTTGCGGACAGCGGATTCGTCATCCCGAAGAAAGAATCGTGAAATCGCGATATGCACAGGCGCTGCAGAAATATCTTTTGGCATATTTAAGTGAAGTTATAAGATTCAGCGGCAGTTGGAAAGAATTCCATACATGGACATCACTACATTTCCCTGCAGTGATCTATCAGCCATCAGGAAGCGATAACATGTCATAAAAAGTCAAATTTAGCCGGGAAAATATTAAAGCATTTACCGAGAAAACACTTTGAATTTGTCAGACCAGTCTCAAAGGGTTTGTGCACAGGGTGTCAAGTGATGTCCAGGTTTACGAGGTAGGCCCCTATGCCTGACATTTTTCTGTATTTATTGACGCTCGCCCTAGACACCAAAAGGATGCAGTTATTTGACTACTCAAGTCTAATGGTATATATTAATACGGCGAAACATTTGAAGTAATACGTGTGCCAGTATATAAAGGGAAGATACAACATTTGTAAACATCAAAAAACAAAATGATCAAATTATCATGAAATATCTTACTGAATTGTTAGGGAATGACAGTCTAAAGCATCCTGTAAAATCGTGGCTCCCGGTGTGCTGACATTTTCAAGAAAAATTGAATTTTTCCAACGCTGGTCGGCCGACAAGCGTCGGAAAAAAATGTGTTTTTTTTCAAAAACTGCTCCCAATTTTTTATATTTAGTTGTTCCGCATTTTGTTTGCAATTGATTACACACCTAGTAAAGGGGCACAAGCCCTCTAGACTGATTCTCTATACCTTACAATTTCCCAAAGTCTATAAGGCCAAAAAAAAAGTCTCCGGTTTCTGGTATGGAGCTTGCCCCAAAAGTGGTGCGGCGACGCGGCTTTTTTTTTTTTTTTTACCTGTTTTTTTTTTTTTTTGGCTTCAAATGTCGGCTGATGACTGCAAATGGTGCCCGACTAAACTTAGTGCAAATATATGGGAGTCCAGAGAGGCCACATAAATCTTATTCTGGATCATAACCCCTTCTAAAAACACGTTAAAATTGTGCAGCAGCAGAATTCCAGTCAAACCAGTGAGTTTGGCGGTTTTGAAACATCATCTTGTATTGAAAAAAAAACTTTTTCATTTTGACGACGCGCATGGCTACGGCGACGCGCGCGCATACCAGAAACCGGAGACTTTTTTTTTTGGCCTAAATTGCTCCGTTTCATCTTTAGGTGTCAGGGAACCAGACTACAAGAACATGATTGGTTTTCTTGGTTTTTCCAGCGTCTACAAGCCCAAAAACTACAAAAAGTGAAACAAGTCAGTTTAACAATATTTGCTATAACATACTAGTCCTCCAAATCCATTTATTTCTGAAAATTGCAGCAAATGCAAATGTTGTACATTCCCTTTAACGTTACATTTCTTAGAACTTTCTGGTCAAAGATTGGTGTGCTAAATGTGAACGAAGTCCAAAACTCGTCAAAAACTTTCTGGAAATATATATAAAACACTACATACTTGGTTTTATTGATGAAATTGTTGGAAATTACTCCGGCTGTGCAGCATTATACTGTCTATATATATTACTACTTGATTACGCATGAGGAGGATATTTCCCTATACATGGGGAGGATATATCTCCCACACTTTTTGACAAGGGGGATCGGCCAATGAACTCCCCCCCCATTGATTTGCCCTCTCCCCCACGGTATTCCCCACCCGTACCCCCAACAAACCCCCTCAGAACTCGTTGACAGAAATTACTTCAAATGAGGGGCCCCACCATGTGAAAACTCTGAAAGATGACCACACTTCGGAGTGAATTATAATATAATGTAGTGTATATGAATATCCAGTGCTGTACTAAAGCCTCAATTTTACTTCGAGGAGAAGGATGTCATGTTTGGTAATTTCTATAAATATAGCGAAGTTGGATGTTGAAACTTTTTGAACTGTGCCTGGTACTATCTTTATTATCTTCCAGATGCTAAAATTTGATGATTAGTACCGTCGGCGCCGGAAATGACGACAATGACGTTCTTAAAATGTTTTTATCAAAACAAATTTGGTCATAATCTTCACTAAGTTTGCACCTTTGTCATTTTGTATTTTAAGCTGAAAACTTGCAAGGATGCTAGCTTGCCCATTTATTAGTCAAATGGTAGGATTTCGCTTAGATGTCGGAAATACACGCCTTCTAATATATATTACACATCTCTTTTGTTTTTTTAAATTAACATAGTTTCCCCATGGTTGCCGGATTTTAGTTGAATTTTCGTTTTGGGAGTCCCAATGAACACATTGCCACCAATATGCCGGTTAACTAAAATGTCAGGGTCCTCATCAATTCTTTCTGGACTAATTAATCAGGTATTAGAACATTTTGTGGGCCGTGAACTTGAAGATTTGTCTTAAAAAAAGAAGGGTGGAAGTCGTGCAGCGGACTGCAAGTTCGTATTAGCGTGAAATTTGGATGAAGTTGGGCCCCGATGGCCGCTTTTGCAATAGAGCGTAGGCGTCAAAATGGCGATGGATTTCAGGCCTGCTTTTAGGGGTGAGCATCTTTGGATGGAATTATCTCCCAAAAGTCACAGGTTAACCCCCCCCCCCCCAAAAAAAAAATTGATGTGTGTCTCACACATATTGGAGAGTTGTGAGTTTATTTAATAATTTTGGGATGTGTGCGTAATTATTAATACTAGTGCAGGGCCAGTCGAAAATGTGCGTGTTCGGAAGGGGCAGTTGAGAACTGCAGCTCGGGCAAATAACGCATATTATTCAATGGTGTGAACGCACACTCGCAAGTTAACGCACAAAATGTCGTCAACCCCCGGCACTGATATTTACCCCTACTGGACAATATGGTATCGCCCTACAACTGTAGGGCGTAGTTGTAGGGCGATACCATAATGTATTAGAGTTGCTCAGTCAACCGCCTACATACAGTGCAGTGATGGTTGCTCAGTTGACTACAAAATGCATGTGCCCGTGCATGACTCACGTACGACGAAGACATGGTGTGCAGTGCTATCGCCCTACAATGTGCCCGTCCTTTTTCCATTGTTGCGTCATATTAAGCACGCGCGCTCTTGCTCAAACATGACGTAAACAATTGAAAAGAACATCAGTGCGCGGAGTTCTAGGCTATCATTCTGGAGCGCTAGGCCTCAGAAAATACTGCTTTTTTGCAGCTTTTTCGAGAACCGCTCGTCCAAACCCCTTCAAACTTGGCACTGCACATTCTGGTGTCCCGAGCAATACACCCGCCGATTTTCAACCTCATACGGTGCCCGGTTCTGGAGATAATCAGCGGACAGACAGACAGACAGACAGACATGTTCCTGGAATTACTGAGGCAGTCCGTTTACTGCATTTGGTTTACTGGTTGTTCGTCATAGCGCCCCCAATAGTTAATTGATTGATCACGTGATTACTATGACAACATTATGCTGACAAGATGGCGCGCCACACCAGTTTGTCAGTTGCAGTAGTTTAGTTGACATGGTTGACGGTTCAGTTTACTGCAATATTATCGCAATTTAATTTTATAAAGCCTGGCTAAACTGGTAATTTAACTTGGTGCGTAACCGCGTTCATTTAACTGTAAAATGGAGGTTTCCTCTGACGGTATCGATCCGTAAAACCTGGCTACAGAAATGAGGTGAGTTATTTTGGCCGAAAGCTTCAAATTCATTTCAACTTTACTAGGCTAGTTGCGTTCTATATGCCACACACTGTAGGCCTACCAGACTAAACACCGTGCTGAAGAGTTTAGTCCAGTGCGTGGCCATAGATTGGGGCTAGATTATTTAGTATCTCCCATTCCCAACAGGACATAATTATGTACATCCAGACAAAACATCGAAACGATGAAAAATGAAATGAAAACCTATATAAGGCTATAAAGTATGATTATGAACAAAACCAGTTCAGAAAAAGAAACCTACAAAAATTCCTCAGGACAGGTAGCTTAAAAAAGGAACAGCTGGTGATGCAGAAAGAGGAACAAATCAACCGTAGACATCAACATTCAACTGATATTTGTCATCTAACTTCTTTTTTTGGATCAAATTTATCATGGGAAATCTTGTCTCCCCTCCACCCATTATTTCATCGTGTTCGTATCGAAAAAAAATCTCCAATGAAGGTTCGTCGTGTGAAGATTTTGCATGCTCCGTGGCTAGCTGTGCACGGCCGGCCACACGCACGCCCTACACATGGCCGATTGAGGGATTTTACGGTCATCCAATTTGGAAGAGAATCCCCCTGTTTTTTTTTTACCAAACCAAAAGGTGGTTAATCTCTTTGTACCTTCAGAAACATTGTGTAAAAATTTCATTGCCGAATTACTCCATCGGGTGTTTAAGAAAAAACGTAAAAAACTAAAAGGCTTGTCGAAAACATACGTGCCGCGCCATAGACTTGCTGGCTAAATTTAAGTAAACTATATTTTGCCGTCTAAGCACTGAACATGCACTGTGACTTTTTTTGGGACTTAGAAATTTTTACCGTGACAAATCTTAGTCTGGTTCTGCGCTAACATTGTTGTTGTGACTTTGTATTCTCAAGATGGGAATTAATAGACCATTTTACAATTTCGGACTATATTTCCCTTTAAAAATAATCCCCCAGAGCCCTTAATCACAAAAAGAAAATGTAATACTCTGTAATTAATGTTGGAGTCAATTTAAATAAAAAGATTGGGATGAAAAAAATAAAATTGAAAATGTCGCCAGCAGGGATTTGAACCAGGGATCTCTCACTCACGAACTAGCCTCTACATGTACATGCCCTTATCCACTAGGCTATCGGGTGCTGCACAATGGTGGAGGTATTGCGCTGTACAGTCTAGCAGGCTAAATATCATTAACTGAAAGAAAGGCAGCTAAACTAGCCATCTAAATTACACTTCCTTATTCAAAGCTACAGTCCATCATTTGCAGCTTTCCAAAAACTAACTGACGTAATTATTGTAGAAAAACATACTTGGTTGAAAGGTAGTCTAAAGACGCAACGTTGGAACTTCTGTTAGTAGTTCTTTATACATTCAGCGAAGCGCGTGCAAGCGTTGACAGGACGCACACGCGTGCGCGGTTGCTGTAATTCGTCGGATCAATGCGCGACATCGCTTAGCTGCAATCGGCACAGTGAAAACATATCTTGGACGCTGAATTCAGGCCCAATTAAAAAACTGATTCAGCAAATTTTGATATTAAATCGAGATCCTAGGATGTTGTTTTGCTCAAAATATACAACTGAAGCTGAGCTGAAACTTCATCAGATTAGCTGTTTATCACCCTTCTTTAAATTTTGAGCACTTCTGTTGCTTCAAACGAACAAAAAGCACAAATTACAAATGAGGGACTATACCTTTAATTCTTAAGCTTATTTGACTTTGGCTTTACCCCTTACTCCTCTTCAAATCTCTCTGCCACAAATTCCATCATACAAGTCATTTACATAATTATGATACATCTCTAACAGACCTGCTGGTTCCAGTAGAAGTTTGCCTTCAGTTCCACAAGCAAGGCAGCCATATCAAATGTCTGTGTCAGATGATGGAAGCGTTTTAAGGGACTCGACACCCTATCGATTGCCTAAAATTCAACAGCAACTGGCCCACAGATTACCAAGAACAGAGAGAGTTACACGCAGTGAGCCAACAGACCTAGATCAGCTGTACAAAGTTGATTATGTCGGGTAAGGAAAGATGAAGAGTGCCTGAAAGGTTTAAAGGAACAGAATTAAGAAAAAATCTACAAGATGCAAATAAAATGATAACCAACAATACATTTACATAACTGGCCTAGCCTGATTTTCAGAGCCATGCTCAGAGGTCAGAGTGGATGAGTTTGTACAGCAGGGAAGCAGTTTATTATTGTAAAATTGAGAAAGTTTTTTTGTGGGTGAGGGTCATAGGTACCCGGTAATCACTTTTGGGTCAGTCTTGAGAAATTACTGTGACTCAAAAACTCTAAAATCTAACGTATTGGTTATTGTCTTAGAGAACTAATATGACTTTTTTGTAAAACTCTTTCTGTAAACTCTTAAATTTGCCATTGGATTGCCAAACTTCAGAGGTTCCAGTCAGAGACTGTGTGCATGTAATGATGAAGTCATAAATTTTGAATGGAATTAAAAGATGTACAAAACTTCAGCCTTCATCTCTACAGAAAAGGAAAAACATTCTGCTTGCTTCTTGAAAAAAAATCTGCAGGTCAGACAGAATGGAAATGTATCTTAGTAAAAGACACAAACTACCGGGTCCACCCTACACAATATCACAACGGCACAGGCAAGAAGGCATCCATATGCCCACCTTCCAGAAAGTCCAATTCGAGCCTGTCCTCCCCTGCAATAGAGTGGTAGAGGCCAATGGGCATGCAGAACTGGAACGGTCCACTAGCAGAACTAGGTGAGTTTTAAATTTTGAGTTGAGGAAAGATGGGATGGATAGGAAGATAATGTCAAGAAGATTCTATCTGCCAAGTTTTTGGCAGTGTAACTTTTGTTTCTTTTTGGGGGGGGGGGCAAAAAAGGGTTCAAGTAAAATCATCCTTAAGTTTTACCACTTGCTTTTCTGCAATGTCCAAAAGACATAAAGTTTCATATAATCTGTTTCATTCATTTATTTATTTATTTTTAATATTTTTATCAAATCGCCCAAATGGTGAAGCATTGCCATTTCCCCCATTTAAACTGCAGTATTCTTTTGCACTTTACTTTTTTCAGTTTGTCAACCAGGGACACAGTAATATTGGGACTTGGTAGGCATGTTGCCGGTACACAACAGGAAAGTCCACCCGCTGTAGATAAGCATTCTGCTTGGAGATTATCACCACACAAGCACAAAAATTATGATATCCAAGTGAGTACAGATAATCATGGGCAGAGAGAATTTGATTGGGAAGAATTTTCAAGTAGAAGTTCTTTATACAGTACATTTGTCATTCCTACAAATCATTGCTCTGAACTTTATTCAGATCTGCACTGTTTAAAGGAATAAATATCACCATGAGTTTGCTATAAATAATTTAAGCACTAATTATGATGCAAGTTCACATGAGGCGTGGTGCTACAAAAAGTTACAACAGCGCCCTCAGTTGCCTTTTGTTAGCCAGTTTAATTGGGATCCCTGAGGAGGAATTTGATCATAGCCCCCTCTGTTGAGAACAATCGGCACTTGCTCCATAAAGCATATTAAAGGGCTTTCAAAAATAATTTTATACCAAAATGCTACCTTTTTGCATTAAATTTTGTTTATGACTCGCCAGTCGCCACTGCAAGAAGAAATATGGGACAGCATTGTGGGGTTTCTTCTCTAACAGTACGTGTAATATCAACTGAGGGCGCTGTCGCTGTGGTGACACTTTACACACTGAACATTTTCGAGATTTCTGTAGAAGTTATGAACCTAAAATAAAGCTCATTCAAAAAGTTTTTGTTCATGTGTGTTATTTAAGAAAAAAAAAAGAACAGTGAATTGACCTGGGAAAAACAAGATCTTCCACAATTTGCTCAAGAAGCAGGAGACTGCAGTGTCTGCCTTCCTTTGCTCATGAACATCACAAACATTTTGACTCTCTTCTTTAACAGGCTATCCAGGGCCAGACAGGGCCATTCTCACGAGATTTCGTCATTCACTGCAACACCCCTAACAGCTGGCTGCAAATGAAACTGAACAAGCAAAAGACGAGTCGCAGATGACAATTTGTCGGTAGGAAAGAAGTTCTAAGATTCACTGTTGCCTAAGACCTGAAATATACTGTCCAAAAAGGTAACAAATTGTGGATGTAGTTGATAGAGAAAATGAAAAGTGGTTCCAAATAAATGTAACGAAACATCCATGTAATCATTCTACAAACGGGAAGATTGTGGTATACAATGTGCACAGTTTTAGAGTAGGAGTGCCATGTTCTCCCCCATCCCCTGCCTTCAAAAGTGAACCAAATCAATCAATTAATTAAGTGAATTTACAAACAAGAAATAAGAGGAAGAAATTTCAAAGGTCAAGAAGTGGTGTGCCGTGGAAATACTTGCTAGCATCTTCCAACAGAAATCAGAGTCAGAATTTGAGTGCCGTATTGATGAAAGTTTCACGTCTGTAAATATCCCTGGCTGTATGGCATACTGGTTTATGGCTTCTGACTAGCGCCCCTTGAACAAAGACATTGACTAATTGGGGAACCACCAACATAAGGCTGGATAGCTCAGTTGTAGAGCACTGGAATGGTTATCCGGAGGTCAAAGGTTCAAGCCCCGCTCCAGTCAAGTTCGTTGTTCAACTTTTCAATTGTCTGTAAATTCAACCGGGAATGGCAAAAAGAGTAAATGAGTTTGGTAAGAAGTAATACATGTATATGCCAGTTTTCATTTTGATATTCTTAACGGCTTGTTAAACATGCTAGCTAAAAGTCATTTGTGTTGCAATTTGTTTTTACTGTGGGAGTGGGTTCCAAGTGTGCTGAGTGATAAAGAAGTACAATAAGTATATTAAATATACTATGGATATAGTTGATATACTTGTAATATATTTTTAATTATTAAAATGAGAGCGAGACAGTGCATTTTAATACTATGTGACATATTTCTAATATATTTTTAATTATTAGAATGAGTGAGAGAGAATATGTGTCTAATGAAGAATAAATCATGCAATGGGACAATCTTATAAACGTTCATCTAATAAGATATGAACTTTTAAAATCATGAGGTTTTTAATATCAACAGGCCAGGCAACCCTTAATTGAACATTTATTCCTGATACTGATTTGAAATACCAGAGCTTCTTGAGTTTCTTACACTTTAGTTTTTTCTCCTTTGAGTAAATTTGTGAACAACCAAAATATGTCGCATGATGATGTACTTTCTGTTTCATCACTGCATTCCATGTGTGGCTGAGTGTAGTGTGTTGAGGTTGTGCTGTTTTGTCTGGTTGAGTTTTTGAAGTTCTTAGCATTTTTGAGGAATCCTGACTTTGCTTGAATCTGTTTTTTTTTTTGCAGTTAACTGTGTCTCTTTTTTAAAACCATGCAATAAAATATAACACCTTTCAATAAATTGTCAGTACTGTTCTGTATGTGGTATTTATATAAGTGACCATTAGAAATGACGCCAGAACGGTCACACATGCCCAGCAGCTCTGAAAAAAGTTTAGAGTATATCACTGTATTGTGTGATTATTTCACTTATTTTGAAACAAGATGCATGTATACATTGGTGATAAATAGGCGAGATTCGGTGATTGTAATAGGCAACTGAATTAGTACGGCAGATAGGTGATGGAATTGTGCCTTTGATGATACAAGCATGGCATTTGGCACACAGTCAGAGTATGTCATGAGAAAGATATTTGGCTATAGGGCCATGGCAGATTGGTCCTTTGAAAAAAATATAGGTAGAATAACAAGCAATGGCATCCATTTTGAAAATTTTGAAAATTGCTTGTTATTCTACCTGTATTTTTTTTACAAAAAACAAATCTGCGATGGCCCTATATCCAAATATCTTTCTTAAGATATACTCTGTGTGCCAGATGCCATGCTTGTATCATCAAAGAAAATGTACATTCCTGACCTCATGTCCTCAAATCATTTGTAGAATCATAGAATGATCAGTATTTTCTTGTACACATGTGTACTTTCAGTGACACACTGCTAATTACACTTAAATTTTGTTGTACAATATTGTATAGGAAAAAAATATTTCATGTCTTGTAGGTGATACAAGCTTTAAGAGATCCCACCTCACCAGTATCTTTATTGTATACACTTTATTTAACCTTTCATGAAATGCAACAACAAACACAGTCAGTGGGCAGGCTTCTTCTCGGGAAGTATAAATCAACCTGAAAGCCAACAGTGAAGTGCTGCTAGATTTATCTTCCAGACAAAATGAGCTATTTAGGAAAATATATTCTGGATGGAGGGGCCAGTAAGAAATGAAGTTCTGTTCAGAGGTTGTTAGATTAACCGAAACTGTTTTAAGTTCGTTTTAGTTGGATCGATTGGTACCTCCCCCTCCCGAAGAACCAGATTTATTTTAAAACAAAAAGAAAGCTACTCATCATTACTTAGTCTTCCCTCCAAACGCTAACTGTCATAAACAATTTCTAAAATCAAACATCGGGATGGTAGTTTTTAAAAATATATTACAAAAAAATTGCGGTTCCAAATTTTTGTGTTTAGTACAAAGAATGTGCCACTGGTTTCTGCACAACAATGGATTTTTTTGAGAAGTTAGAATTTTGCATTAAAAAATGCCGAGGAAGTTTATGCGATGTCAAAACATCATTTAACAAGAATCGCCTGCTCTGAATTTTCCATTTCTTTGATTAGATTTTCAAGTTTGAAGTCCCCGTCATAACACTTGTGATTTTTCGAGAGGCATTATAGATGATTATAGAGTACAAGCAATGTGCTTGTCAGCTTGCAAAGCCAAAAGTTAAGACGCCTTGTCGAGTCGACCCGACCTTCTGCCCCGCTTGCAGTAGAACACACAAACTCAAGCAAGGCGCATGACATTCCTGTCTTTCAGTTCGCGCCTATGCCAAGCATACGCCAACGAGTTCGCAGTGTTGAAATGAGCCTCGGTGTCATTGACCCTTGACCTTGGCTCACCCAGCCTACTGAAACTTGATGAGAGTAGTGACAGACAAATTTGCTTGGGTTGAGGGGCCCCAGACTTGCCAGACCATGGATAAAAAAAAATTATATTATTTTGTTAAATAAAACAAGCGAATGATTATTCCGAATTCATGGAAATATTGGTTACTCTTTACACGGTTTTGCAGTTCATTACCGATGTTAAATCGATCTTAATTATCTTTGGTTTATACTTCTTTGTATATAAAACAACCTTGTGCTGTTTTAAACAATGGCATACTTGGGACTCCGTACCCTGATTTTGACCTGTTGTTTCTGGGCCGTATAAATAACCAACATTTCGCTATCGAGAAGCTGCTGATGTGTTGTGACTGTCGAAAGTATGTTCACTTTGAAGGTCACTTGCAAAATTTCAAAAACTGTTTTTTAAGCTAGTTTGGCTTCTTGGGTTTGGGGAAACTGTCCTTTAAACAGACTATAATGCTTAGTGCAGTGCATGCAGTGTATTGTCTCAAAATCATGAGATTCACTTTTATGTTTTAATTGCAATAATGTATGTGTATGTAGTTTGGTTGTTCAAAGCAAAGATTATTTATTACATCCCTCTGTGGTTGAGTTAGTACTAATTTCGAATTGTACTATTTTTTTCATAAAAAAGTAAGACCATGATCTCATGTCGATGTTTGATCATATGAAACTCTCTGATGCACCCATGTATGCCACGTTTTGTAACAAAACTAAAGTGATCTAGTATACTTCAATGTTGATAACAGTAATTACTGTACCATTGTTATCTATTCTTTGTCCCATCCCCTGCATGGTGATAATAACCTAAAAACAATACTTGTGGTGTTTTCGACACCTACTTTTCGTGTCATATGCGTTAGGCCTGGAAGTGTAAAGGTTATAGGTGGGCCTGGCTGGGTGGCTTGGGGGGGGGGGGGGGTGAGAATGGATTAGTTTTTGAAGTTGATGTGCTTGCGCTTATAAAGGGAGTCTTTTTCATGAACAGGATCCTGCTTGTTCCGTTATGAACCCTGAAAGCTTAAGTATACTCGTTTGTTGCTATCATCACGGGAAAAACACATGTTTGCTGTTTTTATCAATCAAATGCTTAATTTTCTTTTTAGTTTGAAATAAAACATTCCATTATCTTTGAATATGAGTTGATTTCTGTCCTAGTTTGAAATGCGGTGGTCGGGACGGGTAAGGCCATGCTAAGGTCAAAGATGGGTCATCACCCCATCTTCCAACCAATTTGTAAAGTTTACACCGTCTAAATGGACTATATGCCTCGGGTAAACTTGGCCTTGTTGCTTTTTAAACACCTCACGGATGCATTAAGTTAACAAAAAAAAATTAACCACCGGTTTTTGACAGCAACTTAGTGACATGTCGAGGGCAAATAAGGCCAGGTATCACCGCCATAGAATCTAACCCGCAAAATTTGCGCATCGTGTTCCGGACGCGATTTTTACCAGTTTATTTTTCGGCTGTCCAGATTCATTCTTTTCATCACAGTGGCTATTTTACAACTCTGAATCTCCAAACTATTTCCCCTGAAATTGTGTATGTTTTGTCATTCACTGAGGTTTAGGCCCCAGTTATTTTCTATCGTGTATTAAAAAAAGAGTAAATAAAAATTTAAACCACAAACTGGTTTGCTTTTTAGGGTTTTTGACGATAACTGGCAGGTGTTGTTAAGGGGGGTCATGTTTGCTGAGCACCAGTACGTGCTACTGTTTGCTCCCACTTTAAAGGAAAATACTTGTGAATAGGGGTAACTTTACCCAAGTACTGTCCCGGGCCAGTAACCCAAATCAAACTAATGCTTGCCCAAACTCTTCTTTATCCCTAATTCCCCTTGTGGACGCCACAGCACTATTTCGACAGCCAGAAGCAGACATTGTGTGTTTCAGATTATAGACAACACCCAAAAAAATCTTACCTGAGATTTGGGGATTTTTTTTTTTCGTTTTGGATTGAAGTTATGGGGAGAAATCTTGGGGGAGTGTGGGATGCAAGGGGTGGACCAGTTAAACTGGGTCGGTACCGCAGTTTGCCCATTATGACCGGAGCAGTCGCTCAATCACGCGCGGGGGCACACGGCCGGCCTCCCATTGTTGACGGCTGACAATGGCTAGTGCCACGGTCGAAACACGGGGGAGTGTTTACTGAACGGAATGCGGTGTTCGCATCGAGTATATGGAAAAGGGAGGCACTCTGCGACCCAAAATGTAAGGCCTGTGTTTACCCAGGAAAACGGGTGCTGAATAGGGGAGAGCATTGAGGGGTAGCTGTGCACACAGTAAGGGGGACCACAAACCTGCGTCTTGGGACTGAGGCGCCCTAGTCTCTCAATTCCGGTGTTATTTTTCACTTTGGGAAAGAAAAAAAAACCTTTTCAATTACATTTCTCCCAAATGTTTTTCAGTAATACCAAAATCAACTTTAAGGCTAATATATAGTAGGTCACCAATGCGTCCTATTTAAAATCGGGTTGTAAGGCCGACAGATCTGAATACAATATGCTTATTAACAAGAAACTCCTCAACCAAGGATTTCCATGAATGTCACTAAAATTGAGTGACATAATAA